CTGATGAGTATGAAGTATGAATGAAGTACGTGTTACTCCTAACATTCTTGGTTTTGTTTCGAATTTGACCTTGATAGGTTCCCTTTCATACAGCTAGCTACCTGGTCTTGTCTTGTATGATATAAACTTTCATAAAATTTATTACCTACTTTGTACTCTTTGCCTTTGATTGGGCTTAGCTTCAGATTGCATCACTATCGATAAGCATTAATAGTAGCATTAATAGTAATAGTAGTAATAGTAGATCCGCTGCAAGCACTGTAAGCTTTGTTGTTTTGTGACCAGCCAGGTACCTAAGGTTAGCTAGCTACTCAAATGTCATTCCCACGTCAGCTATCTACTCTGTAGCTAGGTAGATACTCACCTAATATTTATTATTTACAATAACATCACCACTCCATCTTGCTCGACTCCGTGAATCCCTCCGTCACAAACACTCGGTACATCGGAACCAGCCGCTCGAATGATTATAAACACGATAAGTCGGGGTATGTAGAGTGAGAGCAACCTTAACCTTTGTCTGTATCGTATTGTGTATGGATCACTCCGGGGCGAAAGGAATCCCCTCTCATGTTCATGGTATTCTCAAAAAGATACTAGTAGGTACATGAAGTCTATACGACCGGATTCCGTATATCCAGAAATCCAAAATTCTCACCTCATCTTACGATCCTTTACGCTTTTGCCTTCTCAGATATCTTGGTCTTTGAGTCCAAAGCCATCTCTCATACCGTGTTGTGTCAGCCAATATTAACCACAATGAATCACTCCACTCAATCAATCAATACACGTGCTGCTTCAGAGATTTTCTTTTTGCATGATAGAAGTTACAGCTGTTGAGTGAGTCAAATGGTTTATAATACATCTCATCTCATCTCATCTCGTACATTTGAGTTATTATTATTGAGCATGCTGAGTAAAACTTTGACTCTTAAAGACGCGGCCTCATTTTCGGAGTTTCTATTTTTCTCTGATAAAGCCCCACGCATTCCAGCCAGATTGTAAAAGCTTATATAGATTATTGGGTTTTGAAGTTGAGACTTGAGAGGCTTCTTGGACAATCAGATTGCATATATTTTATGCATGTTTTGTATGCTAGATACATACATAACCTAACCTGCTACTGTACCTCGTTCTCTGTAGAGCAGAGCCAGCCAACAAACCCGCGTTTACCACGCAGAAAAATGCCCACACTACTCGTATCGTAGATACGCCTACCTACCATTCAGTCCCCTCGGATTCAACTAGCATAGGCCGGATGTCAGCTCTAGAGACTGGAATCTGAAGTGATAATCTCAACATAACTATCTAACTGAGTTGTTACTAGAAAGTCATGTTGTGTTACTTCCAACCTAACCCAGCACCAAGCCTGGAGAGTCGAAGTCACTGCAGTATCTCAGATGTTGAATTTAAAGTTCCTCCTGCCCTCTTTCATATTTATAGTAGAACTCGGGTCTCTAGCAATCAATTCGCTCAGAGACAAGGTTGATGGCCACCGGCCGGACCTTTGCACCCCAAGTCAGACATGGAGGATATATTCCGGCAAAGCAACCACGCACCCCACAATCGAAGAACTCGTCCCCATTTCAGGGTACCTCAATCTACCGGGGATCTAACAGCATTGCTTCTGTTGAAGATATATCGAAGATTTAAATTTTGTATTGACCTCGAAGATGGTACAGGATTGTTCAATATTCCTGCCGTACCCTCATCTGTAAGATCTTACTTTTCGCATGGAAATGATGCAATTGTCAAAAGCGGGATCCATCCCGCCGGTAAATAAATTTATTTCTGTCTTTTTTTTTTCCTCTGGCCCGCATAGGAACAACCAAATCACATCTCAAAACTGTATCTGTCTATAAACTGCATACAAGTATAGAGTAGATATTCAGTCCTCAAAGCTCAATATTCGAAGATCAGCATTTTCATATCAACACCAATGTAACAGTGTTGTTGCATACAATCGTCGCCGTCCAATCGAGAATCGACAATTTATAAACGTGCAAAATATTTAGTGATGGCCAACCGGATGATGTTGATTCGTCAAAACGAAAAGTCTCTCCATTCGAGCATATGAAGGTATAACGACATCCAAAGGCATTCAATCATAACTTCGAAACCCATCAAACATGTAGACCAGATTGATTAAGTTGTTCATCTTTCATGAGCTACAAATCTGAAAAACTTGAAGATATAATTGACCCACGTGACTCTTGAAAGTGGATCTCTACCTCGCTTAAACAAATTCCAAAGTCATCCGATTCCCCATCCTCGACCACCCATTCCGTCTCGTACGCAGCTCTACCCTCTACAATCTGCACCTACACTTACACGCACCCGTAACACCTCTCGATTTCTGCCCCTCACAATCCTCCCCGCCGCAAGCATGCTCCGCACATCAATTGCCCGCGCTGCCGGCGCCCGTGCTGTAGGATCTGTTGTCCGAAACCAGGTTCGATGTGCTTCATCTCATGCAATCAGTAATCCTACCCTGGCCGATATCGAGAAGAGGTGGGAGGGTATGCCGCCGCAGGAACAGGCTGAGCTTTGGATGAGCTTGAGGGATCGTATGAAGATTAATTGGGCTGAGTTGACTTTACAAGAGAAGAAGGCTGGTATGTGAGGTTCTTTTTCCCCGCTATATATGGATTTCATATACAAGATGTTTTGGGACGGAGAGGGGTAGTTGGATAAGCTTCAGGAGGCTGGCAATGGGAGCGGCTTATTTTATGAGTTGATGGTTGGGGAGTTGCGGGGTATAATATATCTGGTAGAGATGAAGATCGGGATTGAGTTTGGGAAAGACAGCAATGCTAACTGATATTCATGAACAGCTTACTATATTGCCTTTGGCGCCCACGGACCAAGAGCTCAAACCCCTCCAGGAGAATCATGGAAGGTTCTCGGATACACATTGGGTGGAGTTGGTGTATCTCTCGCCCTCTTCCTTCTCATTAGATCATTCGCCAAGGGAAGCCCATCTACTATGAACAAGGAGTGGCAGGAGGCTACTAATGAGTACTTGAAGGTATGTACATTCTTTTTATACTCTACCAACCTCATTTCCAGCGAGGAGATTTTTATATTGGAATTGAAATCTTTTCAAAGCAAATGAGAGTTCAAATCTAACATACTATCCACCACAGTCACAAAACTCCGAACCTATCAGTGGTATATCCTCAGAAGGGTACTCCGGCCCCGGTCAAGTGCAATCCGCTCCCAAGAAGAATTAAATCCTTCCTTCGACCAACTATACATAAAGCCAGAAAAGAAAAGAACACAACCTCGTTTCCTCCGCTCAGAATCCTGGAAACTTGCTAATCAAAACTACCTGCATACAAACCTTATTTTTCTTTTGTTGGATGAATGTAAGCCTTGGAAGATGGATGGGATAGAAATGGACGGAATATTGAGAGATGGTCGGGGAGTGGGAGGAATTTCTCGTAAAGAAAATCATGGATGGGAAGGAAAGTTTTGTGCATAGAATTTGAGATGCAGAGAAATGGGGAGTGGAATGAGATGATGAATGAGCGGCAAAGACAAGAGATCGAATTTTTACAATGCAGCATTTGTACAACAGTTCGTGAATGACTTTGATTTGTGCATTTTCGTGACTGTGCAAATAAATTAGGGATATGGAAGTAGAGTTTCAAAATTGTCTCAAGCTCCCGAAACTAGAGATGTGGTATCTATCCTTCTTCATATACTGAGTAAGGCTATCAATATGTGATGTTTTTTGCACAAACAGACAAATAAAACTCACAGTAATCCAAATACCATTTTCTTCATTTCCATATCATATCTGCCTGCCGACCTACCTATCAACCTACCAACTACTTTCTACTAACCTCCCAACACAAAACTCGCCTTTCTTTCGCTCAAGCCTCAAGAAGAGATCGGATGGGGATAAGTATCTAAGTATCTAAGTATCTAAGTATCTAAGTATCTAAGTATCTAAGTATCTAAGTATCTAAGTATCTAAGTAAGTAAGTAAGTAAGTAAATATCTAAGTAACTAACGACTTACTCGCCTACATATACCAAATGCTAAATATCAAATAAACCCCCCTACGTATATACACTAAGCACACCAAGCAGCCAGCACACCAGCTAGCTAACCAGCTAACTAAAATCAAATGTAAAGTGTGAGATGTGAAATGTGAAGAATCTTCTTTTGCTGGGGGTGAGAGTATGAGTGAGTGTGTGAGTGTAGATGTAGATGTAGATATGAATCTCATTTGTTTATTCGAACCGCTTACTATATAAAAACGAGGGTTTGTTCTTTACTTCTTTCTTTCTTTTTTGGGTTTGTTTGTTTGTTTGTTTGTATTTCGTTTCAGGGTATTTCATTGTATTGTATTGCACTGGGTTGTGTTATGTTGTGTTGAGTTTCGAAAATATCTTTCCTATTTTCTCCTTACGTCCGCGCTATACCCAGTGCTCCTCTTCTCGTTTTTACTATTCAATGTTCATTGTAAATTGTAGATTGTAGATGGTATTTCCTTGCAGACAACAAACAAAATCAGTCCATTCATCACCAGCTCAGGCTCATCCTCTCCCAGAAACTCGACTTTCCTCACACAATTCACAACACATCACATTCCACTCTCAACCACAACCCTATATTCCTGAAAACTTTCCATCGATTTATCACTTCCTCTTCCACTCCCATTTCTCTTTTTCTTATCCTTGGCTTCCACGATCCCTTTACGCTGTTTCCACACCTCTTCTTCCTGCTCTAGTGCTTCTTCAAAAATATTACGTTGATTGCGGGAGAAACAGCGAGGGAGTCGTGTTTCACCATTCCCATCTATTGCTTCTCTGCTGATTGAGTTTTCTATATTCGAGGAAGATATGGATGTAGATTTGGAAGAAGAAAAAGAGGCGGGAGTAGGATATTGAGAAGATTCCGTATCGATACCTTTAATAAATGCTTCGTCCACGAGTACGTAGCGGATATTAGGTGATGAGGGGCCTATGAACATGATTTCCTGAAGGACACTTTCCATAACCGAGCGGAGACCTCTTGCTCCGATACCTGCTTTTTCTCCTTTACCCTTGCTTTCTTGAGTGTCTCCAGATGAAGAACCGTAGAGAGCTCTCGATGCGATAGCTTCGAGTGCCAATTTTGTAAATCGTAGGATAATCCCGTGAGGACCGTATGTTTCGAATAGAGCGGTATATTGTTTCACTAATGAATTTCGTGGTTCGGTGAGGATGGATACTAGTTGGGGGAGGGAGAGTGGGGAGAGAGAAGTGGTTATGGGGATGCGGCCGAGGAGTTCGGGGATGAGACCGTAGTTTTGAAGATCGGTGGGGGTGGTGTGGACGAGGATGTCTTTTTCTGGTTCTTTTGTTGGGATGGCCGAGAAGAAGGATGAGAGAGAGGAATTAAACCCGATGGAGGAACCAGTGGATAGACGTTGAGATATTATCTTTTCGAGTCCGATGAAAGCACCGGCAAATACAAACAAGATGTTTGACGTATCAATTGTATATTGTTCGCTTTTACTTGGGGGACTTGTTTCACGTCCTCCACGATCAATTCCTCGACTTGAGTTGGACGCATTTTTATCAGATTTGGCGTTGATAGTGACGTTAGTTCCTTCAATCATCTTGAGAAGACCCTGTTGAACTCCTTCACCTGATACATCACGGCCATGGGTCATGACAGCTGGTTTGGCGAGTTTGTCGATTTCGTCAAAGAAGATTATGCCAGTTTCACATTTCTGAACGGAATGGGAGGAAGCGAGGAGTAAGCGTTCAATGGAAGATTCAATGTCGGTACCGATGTAGCCAGCTTGAGTTAAAGATGAACAATCGACCGTTGCAAAGGGAACTTCAAGAACACGGGCGAGGGTTTGGAGTATGTAGGTCTTCCCAACACCAGAAGGTCCTAATAACATGAGATTTGACTTCTCGATGATGGTCCGGTTTTGTGAGGGATCTTCTAGTGGTCTAGAACCCAATTCAGGTTCTTCATCATACTCTTGTTCACGATATGGAGCATTTAGGTCGGCGGTTTGAATGGCGTGACCAACGTATTCATCTAATACTTTGTTAGGGTCTGAACATGTCATATGAAATGTAGATATAATTACTGTCAACTGGATGACTATTACGTTCCCTTTCATATAAGTGTCTCCTGCTATACTGATCCCTTCTTTCCTGCTCCTCAGCTTCCTGCCTCTTTAATTCTCGAATTCGTTGATAATGATTATAAATAGCCACACAAGTGACTTTCTTCGCCCTATCTTGTCCGACAACAAATTTATCCAGATGATTTTTCAGTGATAAGGGTGTGAGAGATGGAACCCCATGTTTAGAAGCTTGAGATAGAGGGCCCTTTGTTGGGACACCAGGTTCATACGATGAAGTCCAACCTTGGCCATCATAATCTGAGCGTCGATACTGTGCATTTCGATAGCTTCTAGTAGATGAGATGTGAAAAGATCGGTGGCAAGTTCTTAGAAGTCGAGGGTTGGAAAGGGAGATCCAGTTCAGTCCCGACATCGGCGACATGTTGTCGAATTGTATTTTCTCATCTGAGCAACAAAGCCGTCACGAAAGGCTTGATTATTTGATTATATTTGCAGAAGTATCAACTTTGATCATCAAGCTACCTAACATGTAATTCATTTGAATTCGAGGGCTGGACTGTCATGCACGTGAGCGTGAGACAAAGGAACTCCCCGTCGGAATCGGATTACGGTAACCGAAGCTATGCCCATGTTGTTGTTGCGGGGTGAGAGTCTCTACTTGGCCCGAGCTAGCGCTAAAATCTGGAGTGGATGGAGTAAATGGGAATGGGAAGTGGGATAAAAAGCGATGGATGGGAACTGAAGAGGAAGGTTACTAGGTGCTTACAGAGTACATGAACTTCAGAACGACCTCTCTTGGTAAATATCCGTATGGTGAGATTAATAAGAGATGGGCACTAGGTAGATAGATCAAACAAATCTGAATAGCTTCATATTAGCATCTTGGAATTACCTTACGTGGTAGTAGTATGCTTTAATGTTGATAATTTATTTTCTGATAGTTCGTTCACTGATGGTTCGTTCATTTTCTCATTTAACAGGGATCGACGTCACTATCAGGTAAGTCGGGTAACAGCCAACATCATAGCTTCAGGCCTTTACAACAAGGTCTTTTTCCCACTTGTTCTTCGCTTCACTCTATTTTGGGTAGCATCCTTGGGATCAAGGAGTGGTAGTTGGGCTGGTTCAGGCTGGAAAAATCGAGAGAAAAGCTCACATTCTCTACAGCCTATTTAGAAGAAGAAGAAGAGGAAGAAGAAGAAACTGCAGATCCAGAATAGGAAACAATCATTCATTCACTGGATACTCGAGTAGCCACTTGTAAAATAGCAAATAAAATAGCCAAAAAATCAAAAAAAAATCAAGGGGACAAAGACCCCGCACCCGCAGGCAACATGCTGCACATTCCCCTGCAAAATATCATAAATTGATTGAATACTTTCTTTCATCCCTATTCTCGCTGTGATAGACCCTTTTTATCCACAGTTGAAATTATTTAAACGGCCCTTTCCCTTATCTTGTTTGCGCGGTTAGAAGAGAGTTAAGCTAATCATATCCATCATACCCCATCATCATAGCTCCCCCAAAATCTGGAGAGCACTTAAGAACTTGCTAGCTTGACTTCCTCCAACAAAACTCAATTTTAAACTTTCCAGCCTCATAGAATCTGTCAAAAACAATATCTGCGAGAATGGCTAATGTAAATGAACTGGCAACTACTTCAATCATGGAGGATCAACCACCAAAGGGAATACCAAATGATGGGACTGGTAAGTTAAAACGTTTCCCCAGATTAGACTCAGGACTGACCAACGTAGGTGTTATTCAGCTTGATCCATGGCTCGAACCATTCAGAGATTCTCTGAAGCACCGATATTCAAAAGCACAACAGTGGATTAAAACTATCGACGATACAGAAGGTGGCCTCGAGAAATTTAGCAGAGTTCGTGAAGCTCCCATACATTCCTTGGATCACAGCTAATCATACCAGGGCACCGAGAAGTTTGGATTCAACGTCGATAAGAACAACAACATTACATACAGAGAATGGGCGCCGAGTGCTAGTCAAGCATTCTTGATTGGTGAATTCAGTATTTCTCTCCATCTGTCATAACTCTCAGGGTATTGTGCATTAACATTGTCTAGACGATTGGAACCGCGAGTCTCATCCTATGAAAAAGGACCCATTCGGAGTTTTCGAAATTGTTTTACCAGCGAAAAATGGTAAACCAGCCATCGCACATAATTCTAAGATCAAGGTAAGCTGTCCTGCCGATAGCTGAGTTATTACCCCTCACTAACCCCACCAGATCTCTATGATTACACCTAGCGGCGAACGAATTGAACGACTTCCTGCATGGATCAAATATGTCACACAAGATCTCTCCGTCTCCCCAGTTTACGACGCTCGGTTTTGGAATCCACCTGCATCCGAACGATATGTCTTTAAACATCCCAGACCAAAGAAGCCAGAAAGTGTTAGGGTATATGAGGCACACGTTGGAATATCGTCCCCAGAACTACGAGTTTCTACATACAAGGAGTTCACGAAGGACATGCTACCAAGGATACATCATTTGGGTTACAATGTTATTCAACTCATGGCTATCATGGAGCATGCATATTATGCAAGTTTTGGTTACCAAATCAACAGCTTCTTTGCTGCGAGCAGTCGGTATGGTACACCGGACGAGCTGAGAGAGCTTATAGATACCGCACACGGGCTTGGTATCACGGTTCTACTTGATGTAGTTCACAGTCACGCTTCGAAGAATGTGTTGGATGGACTTAATGAGTTTGATGGAACAGACAGCTGTTATTTCCATGAAGGTCCAAAAGGAAAGCATGAGCTCTGGGATAGTAGACTTTTCAATTATGGATCTCACGAAGTCTTGAGATTTTTGCTAAGTAATTTACGATTTTGGATGGATGAATACAACTTTGACGGATTTCGATTTGACGGTGTTACGAGCATGCTTTATACCCATCATGGTATTGGGACGGGTTTCTCTGGAGGCTATCATGAGTACTTTGGTCCATCTGTTGATGAGGATGGTGTTGTCTACCTCATGCTTGCCAATGAGATGTTGCACCAACTTTACCCAGAGTCAATATCTATTGCAGAAGATGTATCAGGAATGCCTGCCTTGTGCTTACCATTAGCACTTGGCGGTGTAGGATTTGATTACAGACTTGCCATGGCCATTCCCGATATGTGGATCAAGATTCTCAAGGAGAAGAAAGACGATGAGTGGGATCTCGGAAACATCTGCTTTACTTTGACAAACAGACGCCATGGTGAGAAGACTATCGCATACTGCGAGAGTCACGATCAAGCCTTGGTTGGAGATAAGTCCATCATGATGCACCTCTGTGACGCAGAGATGTACACAAATATGTCAAGGCTCACAGAGTTCACACCAATCATCGAGCGTGGAATGGCATTACACAAGATGATCCGCCTTTTGACTCATGGTCTTGGAGGTGAAGGTTATCTGAATTTTGAGGGCAACGAATTTGGTCATCCGGAATGGCTCGACTTCCCTCGCCAAGGCAATGACAACAGCTTCTGGTATGCTCGACGTCAATTTAACCTTCCAGATGATGACCTTCTTCGCTACAAGGCATTGAACGAGTTCGATGCTCACATGCAACATCTCGAGGCAAAGTATGGATGGTTACATAGTGACCAAGCTTACATTAGTTTAAAGAATGAGTCTGACAAGGTCATTGTCTTTGAACGAGCTGGTTTGTTGTGGATCTTCAATTTCCATCCAACACAAAGTTTTGCAGATTACAGAGTCGGTGTCGAACAGGAGGGTACTTACAGAGTTGTCCTCAACACTGATACCAAGGATGTCGGAGGCTTCGAAAGAATTGATGCTGGAACACGCTTCTTCACAACACCTTTTGCATGGAACAACAGGAAGAACTTTATTCAAGTATACATTCCAACCCGCACCGCACTTGTAAGTTTCTCATCGATCCGACTAATACAAGAGACTAATCATACACAGGTGTTGGCACTCGAATCTACGCTGTGAAATTAGTATGAAGAATGACTACTCTACTTTGATAGGTAAATGAGGGGAACAAATGAGGGGTAAAATAAAGAAAATATAAGTGAGACAATGGAGATGGAGAAATATGGAGAGTTTGCTTTTCAGCAGTTCAATACCTCTCATGTTGATAGATTTATTTTTGTATGTGAGCCGTTGCGGCATTACAGCGAAGAAAAAAAAAATAGATTTTTTACTTCCCCGCGTTCAACTAAAACATTCTGCTGAGGAAATAAAACGTCCCGTGTATACTCATTCATTCCTCACGGTGTCAAATTTGAACGCGTCAATCTTCTGAAAATACTTGTAATATCTATTTTTCTCAACTCTTGATCTCAGTGTTACTACTGATCGATGATGTTGTTGTCGTTGTTGATCTCAACTCGGGTCAAAACGGGAAGTCGGAATTTACGCCATCACGTGGGGGTATACGCTAACAAATTAGTCGAGAAGCTCATTTTGCTGCTGGCTTCAATTTACCTCCTCTTTTCGCAATATCATACCTCCATCGATCTTTGTATCTCCACTCCCATCTTCAACGCTCTTCTTCATCCGTAAAGATGTTCAGGAGGTATGTACCAATATTTAGATTTTTTTTACCTCGTCGTAATGGGTGGCCATGGACCAATTGAGCTGACTTTTAAACCTGGTACAGCGCCATCCAAAACTCTGCCCTCCGGGCTTCCAGAAGCGCCTTCAGACCAGCTTTATCGACTGGTTTAAGAGCAGCTTCTGCTAGATTTGCGAGTGACAGTGCCATACATGGCAAGATCCATCAAGTCATTGGTGCCGTCGTTGATGGTAAGTGGCATGGAAAATTCTTTCTCGGCAACGACGTCAAACTTCCGGATTAATGGATTATATGGGGGACGAGCTTCAAATACCCTGCAACTGCATACTGACCACATCTTAACAGTAAAATTCGATACCGAGAAGCTCCCACCCATTCTCAACGCCCTCGAGACCGATAACGGTGGTAACAAACTCATCCTTGAGGTCGCAGTACGTCAACAAAACAAGGAATCATGAACGTCGAATCCGGACTGACAAGGGTAACAGCAACATTTGGGAGAGAATGTCGTCAGAACTATTGCTATGGATGGTAAGGGAACTCGGCCTTGACGGATACAAGTACAAAGATTGACCCAAAGTGTTACAGGTACCGAAGGTTTGGTCCGTGGTCACCGAGCAACCGATACTGGATCACCAATCATGGTACCAGTCGGTGCAGGAACCCTCGGTCGTATCATGAACGTTACTGGTGACCCAATCGATGAGCGTGGACCCATCAAGACCGACAAGAGACTACCAATCCACGCCGACGCCCCACCTTTCACTGAACAATCTACCACTGCTGAAGTTTTGGTCACTGGTATTAAGGTCGTCGATTTGCTCGCTCCTTACGCTCGTGGTGGAAAGATTGGTCTCTTCGGAGGAGCTGGTGTCGGAAAGACTGTGTTCATTCAAGAGTTGATCAACAACATTGCCAAGGCACACGGTGGTTACTCTGTTTTCACTGGTGTAGGTGAACGTACACGTGAGGGTAACGATTTGTACCACGAGATGCAAGAGACATCAGTCATTCAACTTGACGGAGACTCCAAGGTCGCTTTGGTCTTCGGTCAAATGAACGAGCCTCCCGGAGCCCGTGCCCGTGTTGCTCTTACCGGAGTTAGTAATCTTTCCTTACAACTTCAATTCACCGCCGCTCCGCCCCGCCCCCGCCGCTCCCCCCTTCCACCCGCAACACACTTCACAACATTTTTTTCACATTGGCCGGATAGATGTGCATAGTTTACTAACGATTTGTTCTAGTTGACATTAGCTGAACAGTTCAGAGAAGAGGGACAAGATGGTAAGATTGCAATACTCCAAAAATTCCAAAAACCTCTATACATACTAATTTGACATAGTTTTGCTCTTCATTGATAACATTTTCAGATTCACTCAAGCCGGTTCTGAGGTGTCTGCTCTTCTTGGTCGTATCCCATCTGCTGTAGGTTACCAACCTACTCTCGCCGTCGACATGGGTTCTATGCAAGAACGTATCACAACCACCACAAAGGGTTCCATTACCTCCGTTCAGGCTGTTTACGTACCAGCCGATGATTTGACTGATCCTGCCCCTGCTACCACCTTCGCCCATTTGGACGCCACCACTGTCTTGTCCCGTGGTATCTCTGAGTTAGGTATTTACCCAGCTGTCGATCCCCTTGACTCTAAATCCCGTATGTTGGATCCCCGTGTTGTAGGACAAGATCACTACGATACCGCCACCCGTGTTCAACAAATGTTGCAAGAGTACAAATCCCTCCAAGATATCATTGCCATTCTCGGTATGGATGAATTATCAGAAGCTGATAAGTTGACTGTCGAGCGTGCCCGTAAATTGCAAAGATTCTTGTCTCAACCATTCACTGTCGCACACGTTTTCACCGGTATTGAGGGTGTTCTCGTTGACTTGAAGAACACAATCTCCAGTTTCAAGGCTATCATGAACGGAGAGGGTGATGATTTACCAGAAGGTGCTTTCTATATGGTCGGTGACTTTGCATCAGCACGAGCAAAGGGAGAGAAGATTCTTGCAGAATTGTAAGTCATTACGAATTGAATATCTGCATGTAATGATAAAATATGCTAACATGAGTGACTTTACAGGGAGAAAGAATAGATGAGATGATAGATAGCGGATGATGTGTATAATTCCAGATGGATGAGAGACGAAGATGATGAAAAAGGGAAGGGGTAGGCAGCGTTGGAGCTTGGGCTGTGTACAGACTTGTGAAGGTCCGAGACAGAAAAGAAATCCTCTGATTATCGCATCTTTTTTTTAAAAGCTAAGCCTTGTAACAACTCACCAGCAATTTTCTTTTTTGATGTTAAATGATTTGATGTCTGCCTATCTACTTGCCGAAGGATATCTAAAATGATATGATGTGATATGATTATAAGTATTTGATATTAAAGTTTTAAAGTATTTAGAACAATTAAAATCATTTTGTAAGATTTAAACATTTAAATCATTTCAAATATTTAAATTATTTCAAACTCTGAAGTCAATTTAAACCTTTAAATTTTAAATCTTTTGAAATAGATAATTTTTATTCAATCTGATTTCCTTTGATACTTTTGTATAGATATAAATAATATCTATTAAATATATAAATCTTTCTTGATTGTTTTCTATATACTATATCCATCCATCCATCCGTCGGTCCATCCATCCATTCATCTGTGGATCAGTCCGTCCATTTTTAAATCCATTCTATGATACAACGACCCCCATTGAAAAATCTTCAAATACTTTGTAAGCTACGAACCCCATCCATCCATCCATCCAAGCCAACCTCCGATCAAAATCTCAATATGAGAAAGCTAAAATTTGAAATCCTCCCTTTGAACCACATGACCCCTATCCATCCACATGTAAAAAAAAGCAGTCGCAAAGATTTCTGGGTATAGTGCCATGATTCCATCCCAAATAGTAAACCGTGTAATGTGCAAAAAAGTCCAAGAAGCAATCTCGAAAACGCCGTCCACTCAGCACACCACACACTCCCATCCATTCCATTCCCAAATGCCCATTCATCCGAACACTATCCTCAAATACGTGCGTCAAGTATTGTACCTAGAAAAGTGTGTAAAAACAAAAAATATGAAGAAGCGAATTTTATAATAGAAAGTCAAAGAGGTAAGATTCCGAATTCCTAAGTCACCATGACTTTTTACATCGAGTACTCCGTCGTGATAGCGTAGAATGTAATACCTGTCTAGGAAGCAGAGTTAAGGTATGAAAAGTGACTAGAACTCAACTTCCTTTATCCAGCCAGATTTCTCCTTCTTGTTGTATGCTGTACAAACTTCCATGCAATAGGCTGTGATGGCATCAACACTAGTCCAAGGTCCAATGACAGTAGGCTCGCCCTTCCAAGACAAATCTTTTAAAAGTCTGTACCCGACATTATGACTTTGTCGCCAGGCATCTTGCCTTTTCAAATCGGCTGAATGCTGTTTAGACCAAACCCCGCGATCCTTTGTACGGTCCTCTTCAGAATTGCCTGGTGAATTCCGTATCCCGATCAAAGCACGAGTTAGTTCTTCGAGGGCAAAGGCTTGAAGATGAACAAATAAAACTTGCAGAACAGGAATATCTTTACTGATACCTCCAAGCCAATTGAGCATTGCAACGATGCCTTCCCAATTATTGGCGTTGGCATGTCTTTGGTTGTAGCTATTTTCCTTGGGACTAGCACAAGGGAGTCCCTTGAAATATCTCATGTACTGGCAAATGCACTCGACCACAACCATTACCCCAGCTGTCCGTTCAGCAACAGGTTTAAGGTTGAGTTGATCACCATCAACTCTCGTCATACGTTCACCCTTTTTCTTGAGGCTGCGAGCAAATTCGCTAATCTGCTCAGATTTGCTTGCCGAGATACTTTGAGGAGTCGTTGCAGTAATATTAGCACCCTGAGGGGTTTCAGGATTTCCATCACTAGAAGTAACCCTGACCATAGCTGCACCCCTGGAACCTTCCTTTTTCTTGGGTGTGGCGAGTAAACCTTTTTGAGATGGTCCAGGACGCATAGGAGATTTTAGTGGACTTGGAACTGTTTTTCTAGCAGACGCAACCTCAAGATTATCAGGACGTCTCGCGCGTTTTGTTGGGGGCTCAGAGTTTGAAGGAGGAACATCGCTAGGGCGTTTCTTAGAGACTGTTTTTCTGCTTTGAGTTGATAAAGGTATCTCCTCTTCAGATTCCGATGCAGATTCAGCCAAAACGACATCGGCGGAGAAAACAGGAGCTTTCTTAGAAGATCCATGAGCCATCATGGCTTCATACCCATCTCTCTTTCTAATAGCCTCAAGTTTCAAAAAATCTGGCGAAGGTCGTGGTGATAATCTGACAAGGCGCTCAATAGTCGTAGCCTTCTTTTTACTATAAGGCAACTTGACAATATATGATTGACTCGTAGCTGGAACTTTTGAAACTTCGCGAGGCTTCTGCAAAGGCGTATTTGATGCAGATCTTTTGGGAGGATGGCCAATTTTGGCACCACCGACAGTTTTGCGAGCGACACCAGGTGCATCAGGTTTACGCGCTTGTGTGTGACGCTCTTCAACTGTCAACAAACCTGATTTCTCTTGACGATGCTCAGGCGCAGGCGTAATCTTTTCACTTTCTTTTTGCTTATCAGCTTTCTCCTTGAGCTCCGCTAATGCTGCTTCGACAACGTCAGGAAGTGTTGGTGAAAGTAAAGGTGGAAGTTTGAAGGGTGACGCCGTTCTTGGAGGTGTGGTTGGCGAAGCTTCTCGTTGCAATGACAATTCTTTCGGTGGAAGTTTCTTCCCATTAACAGAGGGCTTGGACTTGGATGGAGTATTCGACGAGGAAGCTTTTTGATCGACTTTCTTGGGGCTATCGAAGGTGGTAGGAGTAGTTAAGTCAGCAGGAAGTGGTGAAAGTAATGGTGGTAAATTGTGAACAGGTTTCCCGGATGGTCTATTTGATTTCGCTTCCCCTGTTCCTTTGGAGGATCTGAATGCATGGTCATCTGACTTGCTCGAATTGGAAGGAGGGGCTTTCGCCTTGGACGAATTATTTTCTGGTTTGACGATTTTTTGGAGATGTGTATTTGCCCGATCAGTTCTGGCACGCTTCTCTGCATAAGATGGTTCGTCTAATTCCGTTGGTCGCTTGTTGTTTCTGCCATCGGAGACTACTCTTCGTGGAGATTGTGGGCGAGGAGGTAAGCTGTGCTTTATGGGTGCATCCCAGGTAGGGATTGAAGAGCTCATTTTTGTAGATGGTCTGCTTTGTGGTGCATTCAATTCTTTAAACCTCGAGATATCCTTTGTTTGTTCCGTGCGGCTCTTCATGCCATTGGCGAGATGTTGTGGTTTGGTAGAATTGTTTCGTGGAGGGTTTAGATTTCTATGACTGTGTTAGTGGTCTCTAGCGGAGTTATGAATATATCAATCACTAAAACATACCTATCGATACCATTCTTGACTCCATGCTCTGCCTTGCTCGCAGAGTGTATCGCATTTCCATTCTTTTGTAGGTCGCCATTTAAAGAACCCTCAAAAGAAGACCCGCGACCCATTGGAGTCGCATTGGAGACATTGCTTGCACTTCTTGCATGACCTTTGGGAGGAGCTGAGTCCGGAGTTGCAGATGTTCTTGATACAGGCTTAATTCCGTCTTTCTTCATCTTATGGTAAGCTGCAAACGAGATCTTTTTGTTCGGGTCTCTTTGAGGAGTATTCAAGCTACTTCGACCTGCACTGTTCGAGGGGCTCCCTACCAGATCTTCATGATCAAAGGCTTTTGGGACTTGAAGGTCGCGATCCCCTGTAGAAAAAACAGTCATGTATTGAAGCTTGCGAGCTTCTGAGTGCTCGGAAGGTAGGTTCCAAGGTATCCCTATGAGCTCTTCGTGGGAGCGCGAATTCCATTTTCCCTTTTCGGCATCGATGATTTCAAGGAGGTGCGGCATCTGCGAACAGTCAGTCAACCTCATCTTACATTTTGAGAATGTGCGAGCTTACTTCTGGGAGTTCATCTTCGGCAAGATCACGAAACAGGTTCTGCAACCCCCCGATGGTAGTGGTGGATCTGCAGGCGACATCCATAGCCATCTTCTTTTCCATCCTCTCTGTAGCATCCAAATCAGCGATCACGAATGAATCAAATCTCTCCTTCGTTATAAGTTCGCGGTGTATGATGGACATCTTTGGCGGTGATATCTTTTGGTGATGTCTTCACAGGAAACACGACATTGAAGGAGAGCGTGGAAAGCAAACTTACAAAATTCAAAATGAATGTATGATGTACGCGCAACGTGAAGTGATACCGTACTGCAGACTGACAATAGAAGGGATTTGCTATTGTGACGTTTCGTAGCTATTGGTAGATATCACGGCCTAAGCATTGTCGCAACAATACCGTATTGCAACACAAGAGAGTCGCGACAGGGCGAAATTATGCGGAAGAGTGAATTGAATTTATTCCCCAGGTGAATCAATCTTTCTTTCCTTCCTTCCTTATCTTCCACGATGCCAATCAATAATTCCTCTCTCTCTCTTTTATTTCCTCGGCCTCTCTCTTCGATTCGTGAAGTGGTCGAGAGTATTGATTAATTATATGGTTTGCGGTGCCGGTGCCGATGTGATAGGTAAGGTTACGAGGCGTGGTTTGATGATTGTCGTTATGGGATTTGTTTTGTCGGGGCTATCTTGGGGGTCCTTGTCACTACCATTCTATGCAGAACTCACCAATTTTTCTATTCTCTAACTGGCGAGCCCATGTGAAGGCTGGTATGGTTAATCCCTACCAACGCGCACATCACATCTTGATTATATATTCTTATCGGTGGTAGTTGGACGTTGTTTATTCCTACTGCATTAACTTTCATTTCCTTGTCCAGTATTATTTTTGGTCATGATTCGGTGATACTCGTCGTCTTACAAAGAACACCCACTAGATAAACATGTATAAAGACATGTATAAAGGCCTAGCACTCGACTCAAAAGGAGTAGATTCACGGACACCCCTCAAATCTTGAACACGACCAGCGACAGCATTTCCACTCATATACTGGTATCTACGGAGTACAAGCAATTGCAAAGATAATTCGATAGTTTATACAATATATGAATTTGAAAATGAATATAACATTATGTCCAAACAGAAAACATCCCTCCGAATCATAATTAATTGAACAAATCACCTATCTCGATTTCCTTCTCCTTCTCCATCTAAAATCCATTCATCTATCTGTCCTTCCATATCTAATCCTCTCCCCTCTACGCAGTATATCTCCAACCCTCCCTTATCAACCCTACCAGGCCTGACGTTACATAAATAGCGTCTGAGTACAACAGTAGATGAAGTTTGTATGCCATGTCACTTGATTGATTGGTTGGTCAGTTGATAGTTGCTTAGTTGGTTATCTAGTAGGTCGTTTTCGGGGATTTCTTTTAGGGTTGTGGTATTTGTTTGAGGGCTTGAGAGTTTTTGTTTTTGTAGGCGGTAGGATAGGTGAGATCGATCTCAACGTACCTAGACAAGGCGACAAATAAGATCATGCAGGAAAAAGATCTCTGTTCATGTGATGCAACGCTTTTTTACGCCTATGACATTGGATGGGAGGGTCAAGCAAGATAAGGCAATGCAAGGCTGATGGTTGGAAAGTATGTACTATAGGTAGGTATGTATCGAAGACTAAGTGATCATGAGGATTTCACGTGTGAAAGGGATTGACGCCAGTATCATATGCTTGATTCATTTCATCTATATAAATAAGAGTGAGAAAATTCAGATTTAGCATATCATATAATGATGAAAGATCGTATACATTTACGTTCTGGTAATAAATTACGTATCCCCTATTTCCTCAATCTTCGTCTTCCTCATTTGAGATCATTTGATTTTGGTATTGTCAACGAAATGTAATCGGTAAATGCCTCTCATCCAGGCTCTTCTCGCCCAGCTACTAGCTACCTATGCTTTTCGCCTCTTCTTTAGAATCCTGTCCTCAAGAATACCCTTCAGTGGAGTACCCGTCTTCGCCGCAACTTGTTTCATCGACGCTCTAAGATCACATCGATCACATAACCAAGTACCCTTTGGCAAGATTGGGCGTCCAGATTTTTTGGCGCACTCTTTATGATAGTGGCGATCTGGACAAAACTGTAGAGTAGTCAGTACGTATAGAATAAATAGATGGTAAATAAACTTACTTCTCCACTACACATAACCTGATCAGGAGTCTGAACAAAATTACCACATACACAGTCAGTGCCTCCCCTCATCTCCCGATCCAGGTCCGTCTCTGGCTTCGCTTTTGGGCTTGCCACCGATTCAGAAGTTGGCTTTGAATTCTTTGCGTCTAATTCCTTCTTCCCCAATTCGAAAATTCTCTCGCAACGGGACATAAGCGGTTGGTCTGCCAGACCATCTCTCGCTACGAATAACTCAATTTGCTTGCACCATTCCTTCTTCCGAGCCTTCTTCTCGGCAAACCAAACGCGATTTCTTGACACAAATCTCATGATGGTTTCCTGAAGATGCGATAGACCAGTCTGTCGCTCGCCCATGATAAATTCTTCCCATTTGATAAAGTATTCCTTCTCATCGTCTGTGAGATCTGTGAATTCATTGATAATACATTTTCGTTTGTGTAGTAGCCATGCCTCATCCTTCTCATCATCACTATCGGGTAATTCCTCTCCAGGTTGTAGAACCCGCTTCGTGCGTAGATCATAGAATACCCGGTCTACAATACCGGGATAAAAGGCCGACCTAGGATATGGACCATTTCTGATATCAGGAACGTAGTGCCGACTCTTGCTTCTGGCTGGCAGGCTAGCTAGACGTTGAATATAAGGAGGTACAGAAGTTTCGCCCTCGTTTTCCTGGATAGCATTGTTCAATACTTCTTGCGAGCTCCAGCGCGAGCTTTGAGCTGGCGGAGATGGAGAAGCTCCAAACCTCAAACGAGCAAGGGGATCTGAATCTGGCCATTGATTATTCTGAGGCCCTTCCCTGGCTTCGGCCCAAGAATTGTCACCAGAAATATATTTCTCCATATTTAACCAAGTAGTGGCTTTCCCAAGCTGGACGATTTGCAAAGGGTGAACTTCCCTCGACTTTCGAGATTCTTTGTTGATTTCAACGAAAAAAGAAGACTTGGGACGAAGACGGAATATGAATCGATCATGTGTGGCCGAGAAATGAAGCCGAAGACTTTCCATACCTTTGGTGTCCATATCGCATATAGGGCATGAGAACCCAGCTACCGAATGCGTTTGTTTGATACCATATGCTTCCGCTTCCGCTTTACTGAATGTGTAGGTCACATATTCACCAATGTCACTTAGAGCTGTAGAAGTCCCTGACCTTTCTTTGCCCCAGTGAGCTCTCAACTTCTTACCTTGAGCTTTCGCACTTAACGCTTTGAGATTGTATGTGGGAATATTTGCACGACCACGTCTCTTGGCACGAGAGGGGCTTTCCGGCTCCACTGTCGCTGCCTTCTGAGGGGATAGAATATGAGGCAAAAACAACTCAGGAGCTATTTTTGGACCTAGCGTGGGTGACTTTGGTATTTCACCAAGTTCTTTTTTAATCAGACGACTTGGAAGCGACCATTGTATATCCAGTTTCAACGAGGCCGAAGTTGCAACCCTATCCCCTCCATAAAGCAGCTCTATCTGAGCTGTACTGTCCTTGCTGTCCCAGTCTAAGAGCAAGAACTCGCATACCATTTGGCGCACATCAGTGAGCGCTGCTTCCCCTTTGAATATCTTTGTCGCGAGGCGACTGTTGTGGGGGAGACTGGAAATTGTCAAAGGCAACCAGTCCTTTCGATTAGCGTGATATGGCTCGAGTAACAACTCAACCCTATACTTGCCAAATTCGCCCGAGCCTTGCAATCGACACGATGATTTATCAAAGGATGGATCTTGAGAGAGAACATCTGAAGGGATTATAAAGGGTGGCAAGTATATTGGAAAAGTATCGTTTTGACGACCATCGGATGTCCTTTTAATCCTTCCTGTCTGAGGCTGCCGATAGATATTTGTCAACGTTTCATCTTCATCACCTGAAACACGGAACAAAGCTAAAGTACATTTTATGTTTGAGTATTGACTAGTGACTTCATCAGTTTCTTCCAAACTCGAGTTCTGAATGATGCTGGCAACCCGGATTCGTAGTAACTTCTGGAAGTCCACAGGAGGTTCCGTTAATTTGAGTACAGAGTCAATCCGAATCCGATCGGTGTTTGACTTCACAAGTGAAAAGTTTGCATTGGATCCTCCAGAACTCCGTGGTTGAGGGCCGTAAAAATCGGTGGATTTGATCTTATTTACTTGAGACGTGGGAGGTGTATGTGATGATGGTATTTGAGAATTTTCACTTATAGAATGATTAAGTGAAGCTGTCTCCTTTACTGAAGCAAAAGCTGAAGACGAAGACATAGATCGATTCGAAGAATTATGAGCTAGTGCAGGTGCAGAAGAATCTGTATTGGCGGTCTTTCTTCTTTTTGCAGGTCTTGGGTCTTCTCCCTCTTCGTCTTCCTCGTCGGATGCAAAAATCCCACGTTCCTTTTCCTGAGGCGGTGTGACAGGTTTGAGTGATGAGTACGAGGAACCCATCCTTAAGTTTTCGTGATACCTTATAGCTTTTTCAAGGTTGCCTCTCAAAAATGGGCGGAAAGGAAGACGATGATCTGACAACCAATATTCAATAGCTGCTTTCCCAGTTCCTCCTCCATTGATACCTGCCGGTGACATTTCATTATCGTTCGACCTCTCACTGGCTACCGCCCAACTTTCAAACTTAATAACTGGTAAGACGAGGGGATTTTATATATGAACTTTGCAGGGATCAAGCAGATCAGGGAAAGACTGAATGAGATTTGAGTGCAGATGAGGGCTTGGCTAAGCTGTGGCAGAGTATATCAACAATGAAAACTTTGAGAAATGACACGCGTGATGTTGTGTTTTGGTAGAGAGGCACAGGAAAGTTTGTTAGCAAATTATGAAACAAAACACTAGCAGGAGCCTCGCACGATAAACCACCACAAAAATTCAAGCGCTTTACAGGGTTAAAAGTTGCAGCATCTGAGGAAAAGATAGCCCTAGATCAAAAGAATGTGAACACTATACCAGGTAAAATTAAAAAGGAGTGCCTATCTAATATTGTTGTTGTGTTATAATCAGTACACCACTTGGTAGAAAGGTAGAAACTCTGATTGATACTATTGGATATTTGGGTTGCATATAAATTTATTTGTATCACTTGTGCGCCGTGTCAATATTCCGAAATCAGCATGTTAAATAAAAGATATATTATACTAGTTAGTAAGCTTTGTTCCTTTATAAAACGTAGCATAACCACATCAGCCGTTGCTCTTACTAGTCTAGCAAGTAGCTCATCATTTGCATACTTTGGATAGCCTCAATTCAGATACAATGGAGTCATCCATTTATTATGCTTCCTACCGCTCGAGGTGCAGAGCCTCTCTCGTTTCTACCTACTTTCGAAAGATTCCAGTAATGCACAACACACAGTAGTATCACCACACCAACGTTACTCTTACTCCTGTAACTTATCCATATGCAAATCTTGGATGACTTCGATTCCAATGAAGTAGAGCCATTGACATTTCTTGCAGCTAGAGATGCAGGTGTCCGTTGAGAAGGAGCTACCGAGGTAAGTGCAGGGATTATGTCCTTCTAGCTTAAAACCTTAAATCTCTTATCGGATTAACCGATATCGCGATTAGCGTACTCTGTAGGTACCTGGCCCTGGCTTAACATCAGATTTCAAGTGAGCAGTGAATCATTTCATTGTCCTTTGAAGGAAAGCAAAGAACTCCGTCTAGTCTCTTTTTCATTCATTATCATTTCTTTTTTAAATCTCTGTCGTTTACAGACCGGTCATAATTGAGATTGGAACTTTACTAGCTTACGGCAAAGAACCATCCATATCTGCCGTATATAACCCATATAGTCTCTGACTACTTCAGCTTCGACTCAAACTACATTCATGAATCACAACCAGCAAACGATTCACTTTTATAGGCATGAATAGAGCTTCAGTATCTCGTCGAGTCCTACGAACTCCTCCCCGGTCTACTCGAGGAAAGCCTACTATTTCATACGCAGAACCATCGACCGACAGTGATGACGATTTAGAGGAGGAAGAGAACGGCAATGCTGCGGAACAACCACATAGAGATACCTCTCGCACTCCTCGCACGAGGGTCCCTCGAACATCCACTCGAAACCCGCCGCCATCTCGCTCTGCGAACAGTAAGACACATGTAGCTACTACAAAAAGCACCCGGCAGAAGCCGGTTATCTCATACGCGGAAGCTTCGACCGACACCGAATCAGAAGAGGAGGAAGATGAGGGCGAAGACAATGAACAATCGCATAATTCCTCCTTTCATACGCCTCGTTCAAGACTCCCTCGGAATGCTTCAGGCTCTCGTGCTTCTACCAAGCGACTCCTTTCTAGATCCCCTGAGTCGATGCCAAAACGAAGGAAACAAAAACGGTCAATCTCTTTCAGGAGGTCTATAGTCCAATCGCCATCTATCATTTCCGCAGAGGATTCTGGAAACATCCCGCCATGGCAGACTTTACCCTACCATGTTCTCGTTCAAATATTCGAATACGCTACGTACCCATTGTACGAGGAACGAACTTTTCAACCTCTTCCATCCGGGAGATGGCTCTTGGATGTCGCATATCTCTGTCGGGGATTTGCCGAGCCAGCTTTTACAGTTTTATACAACTCACCTCCTCTTGTTCCCATGGATAAAGCCCATCGGTAAGTAGCTTCGGAGGTCTAATTTGAAGTCTTCTAGCTCTAATGTGTGATTAGACTCGTTGAATTACTCAAATCTGACCCTGCATCTGTGACTTTTGGTTATAGGCAGAAGGTTGTCAATCTTCGAATTGAAGTCAGACAAGTCGCTTGCTATTCTTTACCTGGAAGTGGACTTTTGGATTTGTATGGCTTAATAAGAGACTTACCGAGATTGGCGGATCTAGAGTTCTTCGACGAAAAAGATTCGAAACCATTCAAACAACTTGACGAACCGATCAGATGGGAATATCCAGCGGCTGTCTTTGAAGCACTCGAGCATGTTGAACCGGTGGCAGATTCCACTAAAGGCGATAAAACCAGCCTGTGCAAGTTAAGGAGTTGGCGCTGGTCATCCAGGCTAGGTGGTAAGAGGTGGCCTATCGAGAGAATGCGCGAGATACACCTTAAACCATCCTTCATCGACTTAAAAAAGGTTGCGTTTGTCAATTACCAAATCCGTCACCCTAAAAAAGGCGAGGATGATCCAATGCTTGAAGAAATACTTGCCGAATCGCTGTCCGTCCTGGAGAACCTGGAACACTTAATATTTGAATCCTCAACGCTACTTAATGCGAAACTGATGCCCCTCTTGCCGTCAAACTTGCGTAATCTAGAAATTACTAATTGCTGGGAGGTTACCGCTGAAATGCTTGGGGAATATCTCGTGACCCGTGGCAGACAAATTCGTTGTCTCACGCTCAATCATAACTCGGCCTTGAGTTTAGCATTCCTCCCTTCACTGGGCACAGCATGTCCATATCTAGAAGCTTTGAGAATGGACCTGCAATATTTCGATGCACATGTTTCCTACCATAATTCCGAGCCGGACTACGACCAATTACTCAAAAGTGATCAAATCCCAGTGTGGCCACCCACACTCCAAACTCTTGAGCTTGTTAATCTACGTAAATGGGATCAAGAAGCTGCAGAGATGTTCTTTCAAAGTTTGCTAGATAGTGCAGGCGAACTTCCAGATCTCAGAGTTTTGATTCTACAGGCGAGCATTAATACTGGTTGGCGAGATCGGGCTAGTTTCAGAGACAAATGGATTGGAACTTTGGGGCACGTCTTCAAAAGAATCTGTGATCCTCCAAAGCACTTCACAAAAGCTTCGGAATTGCCAGAAGCCAAACCTTCCAAATTAGAATCGGATCCTCAGCATAATGAACAGAGCCCTGCGAAGAACAAAAAGGTTCAACCAAAAGGAAATTCCCTACCAATTCGCCAGAGCACGCGGGCCAAACGTACAACAAACTACGCCGAAAGCCCGGATAATTCTAACGATGAAGATGATGAGGATGATGAAGATGATGATAAGGAGGATGAGGAGGATGAGGAAGTCGACGATATGAAATCGTCCTCTCCTCGTCCCTCTAAATCAAAACTGTCGGACCGCGAACTCGCTCAAAATCGTCGTGCTTCGCGGGAGGTTCGAATGTTAAAGATTACGGCGGGTATTGATGGGTTTCCTTCTTCGCCGCCCCAAACTCCTGGCTCGGGAGAGGAAGATATGGATGACGCGAGCAGTGTAAGTGAGAGTGAAAATGGGAACCAGCATGCTGGAGGAAGAGGAAAGAAGAAACAAAAGCAAAATCTCGTTATTCAAGGAATGTGTGAAGTTGTGAATATTATAATCGACAATAAGAGACCGGCAGAAACGCAGTTTGGCGAGGCAGACTTTTTGGACAGTGAGCCTGAAGGTGATGATGATTGGGATGGGGATGATGGATTAGTGGAGGGGGGATTGGCTTGGTGATTGGGAGTTGGGCGAACGGAAAATTGAGGTGGATGCATGCATGGTATGTAGCTTTTACTTTTGTCTTAACAACTAATCAATCATGGGGGGGAAGAAGCGGAGTCACAGGAAGGCATTATGATATGTATATGGTGCATGAAGAAATGGCAGGGCAAGATTGGCTAGATTCATATACATTGGATGGATGAATGGATGGATATCTGCTTTTGCTAGTTGGCTTTCTACTCCCTACTCCCTGCTGATACAGGGTTTGAATGGATAATCGCCACAAATGAATACATGAATTTAAATGGGAATGATGGATGGATGGATGGATGGGCGCAATGGAATGGAATGGACTATGGATAGCGATGGGTCCCCATAATGTATATATATATGCATACACTATCGCATAGAATGGCAAGAAGCATAGGCTAGGCTAGGATATCTTTGCTTTTTCTTCACGGGCTCTTTTGTTGTATGGATGTAGTATACCTAGTAACTTGCTTTAATCTTTATTTAATACTTGTGCAAATATCATTTCTCATAAATGAATGAATGAAAGTATCTTCACCCGCTTCTTCTTCTAAGATTACCTTATTTTCAATTCAATATTAATATTAAAATGAACATCAATATCAACATCAAATTCACATCCATATTCCAATGAATCAAGCTCAACTCAACCACTAACATTATAAGATATTATATCCCTTATCATTAGATAGATAGATATGTAGGTATCTATTTATCCACGACTCTGTAACTATATACGCATACACAACCATTCTAATTAATGATACAAATCCGAATCCAGGACTGGTGAACCGTAAAACTCCATCTATGATTCTTTCGAGTATGTGAGTACCTAGAGACCGTATGTAGCATATTCAAGATTTCTAATATCGTCCGACCTAAACGCCTGCCCATTTGCTCCGATTCATGGTGATGCCCGTGTATGTGGGTAGGTATTTATACACCCAAGGCACCATTCAATGCTTGCGCATGCGCGTTTCCGTCCATATCATGAGTAAAGTAATGTTAACTAAAGTAAAATAATCGAAGATTCAAATCAAAATCAAACCCATCTCATCTATAATATAAAACATCATGTGACAAGCACCGCTAGTTAATGGAAATGCCACTGCCGTTTCCATTAACACCGGGCCCATTCGCAATAATTTCCCTTGGTCTCCAAGTATCCTCTTGTCTAGTCCCAGGCGGTAACCAAGAAGCATTACTACTGCCCCTCAACCTCCCCATTTTATCGTAGGAATTATCGTCAGATTTTTTGTTATCCGAATTACCCGAAGATAAAGAGTAACCGCCGCCTCGGGCTTGAATTGGTGATTCAAATAGGACATGGGCTTGGGTTCCGGGGTTAAGGTTGCCAGAGGTTGTGTTCAGGGGAAGGAGGGTTTCTTCTTTTATATTCATCAGTTTGGCTTTGCGATCTGCTTTATTAGAGCCCTTGGTGCGATCGTAAAGGTAGAGACCAAAGAATGTGAGGGCGATCCCTAGACCTTGAATTTTGGTGGTGGGGTTTTGGAACCAAATGATGGCAATCACGACGACAAAGACACGTTTAATGAGGGAGGCGACGGAATAGGTGACGGGTGAAACCATGCTGAGGAGGACGAAAGCGATGATGTTCTGGCCGAAGTGAAAGGTTCCATTGAAGATGAATTCGAGGGCTAGACGTCCGTGATCGAAGGCTTCTGGGTGGGAACTTAAATCAAGAGACCCGTCGTGGAAGAAATCACCTAAGAGAGTAATACCCTCTGACCAGAACCAGATAGGTGACGTAAGGACGAAAGCGAGACCAGATGAGTAGCAAAGAAGATTGAGTTTGTCTAGTTTATTGGTACGCGGTTGACCTGCCGCTTCTGCGATTGCGGCTTCATTGAAGAGCCTTTTCGAGAATATGTTTTGAGTGACGAATATTATCGCGGCGAGGAAAGCGTATATTATACCAAATATGTTCCCCTTAAATTCTGCCGAGCAGGCAAGCATGACGCCGAGTGTGAGAGGGACGAGGGAAAGATATGTAGCCACTGGGTAACGAATATTGTATATAAGTCGGTATGCGACCACCGTAAATAAGGGGGACAGCCCTTTGATAGTGTGAACCAGCGAGACCGGTATTTTGGCTGTCGCAGTAGAAGATAGCAGATGACCACCAATTTGGAAAGCAGCGAGAGGTATTGTGGTCATGATCACTTCTTTTGTGGGATATCGAATTCCATGTCGTAAAGCAGGAATCGCATTTTTGAGTTGTGGAAATGTCGAGGAAAGCCAGGAGAAAAATAGGCAATAGAATGCGACAAATGCAAATTGTATGAGAGTAAGAGTCGCAGGTTTTGGAAATGCATTCAGAATAGATTTTGAAGATGTGTTTGTCAGGGCGCTTGAAAGATACCATACTATACATAGGACCTACATAGATTAAATTAGCATTCATGGACAATATGCAGGAGATGTTCACAAACAATTAATTTTGGAGAGACTGGTGCCTTTAGGGCATCCGATATCTCATGCACATTCGCACTCATACTTCCTTTCCTAGATTTAATTGTCTTGAATGCATCACTGAGACTCTTCTGTTTTTTATGCCCTCTACCGTTACTCGACTCTGCATTTGTCCAAGAATCCCCTCTCATTCTACCATTTCTTTGTGGCTGCCAACGATCCACAGGAGGAGGCCCTCCATTGGCATATCCATTGGACCTTCGTGAGTTGTAAGATTGCTGTCCATCGTATTGATCGAATGTATCAGAAGTATCAAGGTCTGGAAATTTCTCCATGGATGTGCGCGAGCTGGCCTTCGTGTCACCAGGAAATTTGAAGCTTGTTTGAGCAATTCGACCAGGCGATGGACCTCTAGTCGAATGAGGCATTGCAAAATAAAGGATTATGAATTGGGATTATCGTCTGAAATGTTCATCGCGGGAAATCAGTATTGTTACTTTGAATAATCTGTAACATGAGAATGCTCAATTCAATTACAATACCCAATAATGACGATACCGTAAGGACCTGGTGGACTAAGGACTTAATTGGAACATGGTGAACGAGATGTCTCTTGATTGCGGAAATTCTGGTGGAATTTACCGACGCTAAAATAATCGCGATTTGATATTGGACTCTAGATATTCGATGGAACTCTGAGCATCGCGACGATCTTTTATTTATCTCTTCTTGACCAATTATTTGACCGCACAGCTATTGTCGGAATCTAAATACTAAACACACTGAGTAATAGGCACAAAGAATAGAGATAATTCGAATTCAAGCCACAATCGTGTTGATTGGGCTCGTGGCCCCAGGTCGCAAATATGGCGCCAAAAATGACCAAGAATCAGATGCGGCGAGCTAAGAAAAAGGAGCAGAAGAAGGCAGCACAGGTAAATTGTAATTTTGCATTGGTATTTATAGTCGTTGACCATTTCTAGGAGACTCCAACAGCAGAAGCAGATGGCCACAAAGATCCAGAAGTAAAGGTCGAGGAAACTGATGCAACTGAGCTTACCGAAACCACCAAGCCCATTGAAGAACCCAAAAAGGTTGATGAAGATCCTTTGGAAGCAGATCTTACAGGGTTTAATATCAGTGAAGATGATCCTAACTTTGCTATGTTCAAAGATATTATGGATAGATTTGGTGTTACCGCTGAAGAAGACCAGGCTGCGAAAGATGCAGACATTGGCGACAAGGGCGAAGTTTTCTTCGATGAGGACGACGAGATCCCGGACGAGGACGAAGAGGCAGACAAAGAACCCAAATTATCCAAGAAGAAAAGAAAGGAGAGAGACAAGCTTTCTGTTGCGGAATTGAAAGCTCTTGTGAAGAAGCCAGAGCTTGTGGACTGGACAGATACCTCAGCCTCAGATCCTCGATTACTTGTTCACATAAAATCATACCGAAATGTCGTACCGGTACCGAACCACTGGTCCCTCAAGCGCGAGTATTTATCGTCAAAACGTGGTGTTGAGAAGCCTCCCTTTTCTCTCCCTAAATTCATTCAAGAGACTGGTATTGCTGAAATGCGCGACGCAGTATTGGAAAAACAGGATGGAGCTAGTTTGAAACAGAAGCAACGGGAGAGGGTCCAGCCGAAAATGGGAAAATTGGATATTGATTATCAAAAGTTGTATGAAGCCTTCTTCCGGTTTCAAACAAAGCCGGAACTAACACGCTATGGTGAGGTTTACTACGAGGGAAAGGAATACGAGACGAATTTACGACATTTGCGCCCTGGAGAGTTGAGTGATGACCTTAAGGATGCGCTAAATATACCACCCGGAGCCCCACCTCCATGGCTCATCAACCAACAACGTTTCGGCCCACCCCCTTCATACCCCTCACTCAAAATTCCTGGCTTGAATGCACCACCTCCACCGGGTGGCGCGTGGGGATTTCATCCTGGTGGTTATGGAAAACCCCCCGTTGATGAGTTCAATCGACCTCTTTATGGAGGAGATATCTTTGGTGTCCTTCAACCACAAGTTAACAATCAAGCAGGTGAACCTATTGAACGAACACTGTGGGGTGAGTTACAAGCACCTGAAGAGGAGTCCGAAGAAGAAGAAGAGAGTGACGAGGAAGAAGAGGAAGGTGACGAGGAGGACGTGGGTGGTTTACAGACGCCTAGTGGCATGGAAACGCCAGGTGGCATGGCTTCAACTGTACCATCAGAGTACCCTGGTGAAATGAGTGTCGGTGGTGACTTTGATCTCCGCAAGCAAAAGAGGGGGACCGAGACCGAAGAGTCCACCCACCCGAGATCTGCCTATACTGTCATCCCTGAACGCCAAATTCGTGCTGAAGGGTTCTTTGGCGGTGAAAGAGCTTACGATGTTCGTGCCGGTCAAAACGCCCATTTGCCAGTACTAGGACAAGAAGATACTAGGAAGAGAAAGAAGCCAGGAGATGTAGATGTTGCATTGGATCCAGATTCTTTACAAAATGAGGATGGTATAAGTAAAGAAGAAGTGAAACGAAGATTTGAGGCTCAAAAGAAAGAGGAACGAGGAGCTTGGCAATATGACGAAGACTTAAGTGATATGATCGCTCAGGAGAGTAGGAAGAAGCAAAAGAGAGATGAAGAAAAGCGAGGCGAGAAAAGAGAAAGATCCTACAGATTTTAAGGTATGAGGGAAGTAATGTGGCGTTGGAAGGGGGTGACAAAGGCACTAATGGTGCTTTTCATATGTAATATAAGAATATTGGGAACCAATGAAGGAATGTGTGCAAGACTAGACCCTGCGATTTGAAATTCGGCGGTTTACTTTGCTTCAATTGAATTATATGAAACATTCAGAATCTTGTTTCACCTCTTCCATTAGCACGTGATGTGATATACTCGGAACAAAGCGGCCGCTAGTGTACATTTGACAGCTTGGAAATGTTTTGGGGAGCTTAGGAACTGCGATATGGTTATCATCACATCTTCAATTCAGTCTACTCCATTTTACGTTTATTGCCTACGTAACTTAACAGCGACTTGAGACGATATAGTATCAAACTTTAGGTATATTTTAGACCCTTTGAGGCAGGCTCGAGTATCTTCAGCGAATATCTACGGCGAATATTTCCAGCGAATATAGTAAAGAGCGCAAGATGGATAGAGGTCGAGACAGAAGGTTAGTTCTGATTTATTTTATTCACATGTATGCAGCATTCGAAGAGCAACATGATATATTGAGTTGGAGACATATCTCATTACCGGATCGCCGCAATAATTTTAAGGAACCTGCAATCCCAACATAAAAGCCAAGAACCCCAGGAGAAACCCGACAATATATCCCGTGTGCAGTTGGTCAATGCCGTCGTTATCCTCGAATGGATATAGGAGACTGCCTAGGAAGGAGATTCAAAAAATTGTGTGGCAGTAGTTAGACGGTGCTGTACAAGTTGAACATAACAATTTCGCTCGAAGAACCCACGAATATTGCACATGGTCGCACAACGCTCCCGATTTCCAGATTTGCGCCTGCAGGAAGAGCTTCAGTGGTCGAGGTTTTCTGGATAGCCAAGAATGGGCTAGAAAGAAGACGCTGCGAGAGATTACTTCGTCAGTCGTGCGCGACTAGAGCGATGCCAATTTTCGCCTCGCGCTGTGCTTGAAGCTATGAACCAAGCTGGTAACAGCCCCATTATCGATGACGGCCGACATACCTCGCAATAGGGCGCTTTTTCTTCTATCCACCTATCACTTGGGGTATACGAGCTCACAAGCGATGAGGGGAGCTTGCAGTATGGTAACTTGGGCATCCTTGTGAATAGCGATGAAGAAAATGTTGCCTTTAGTCTAGGTCAGCCAATGGTTAGCAACGCAAACATCAATACGATAACAAATATGCCGGCCAACAGTGGAGAATAAATCGACGTTTCAGCTCTTGGATCCTTACGGTCGAACAAATAGGTATTGCGAAGATAGCTCGAAGGTCGAAAAACGCGGAATTGACGATAGCACATTTACAGTGAAGGATAAGGAATCGCTAACGAATGGTATTTGTAGAATGGATATCCGAGGTGATGGCGAAGTCACAAGGCTGGGAGCTGGTGAATCATATAGACCTAATCATAACCGACGCTCACCACCGCGAGCCGATACTTTCAGGTCCGACCGGGACAGAGACAGGTCACCTCGCAGAGATCGACGAACTCCACCATTATCCAGCGACAGTTATCATCCTGGCGGACGTGATCGTTCACCAAGACGTAGATCAAGAACGCCTCCATATCGCGCAAGAGACCGATCACCACTTCGAGATATGACTTGGCGTGGCAGACCCAGGTCACCACTTCGAGGAGCTCGAACTCCATTGAGAGCCCGAAGTCCAAGGAGATTTTCTCCTAGACGAGACGATGACCGCAGAGAGCGACCTAGATCTCCAAGAAGAGACGACAGGTAGGTACTTGATATTATTACTGTTAGGTGAGAATGAGTTGTCCAAGTCTAACAATTTGCAGGAGACGTTCAAGGTCACCTTTTGATCGTAGCCGTACACCCCTTCGAGCTAGATCCCCCATCCGAGCTAGATCTCCCTTGCCTCGCAGATCACCACCGCCTGGCCCGAGAGGCTCTTGGCGCCCACGTTCTCGCAGTCGCGACCCGAGAGATGTTCGCACCCCTCTTGGACCAAGTTCACAAAATTGGAGACGTCGTTCACCTTCACCCATACGCCGGAGATCGCCATCTCCAATCAGGCGTCGGTCTCCTTCTCCAGCTCTCCGTGATTCAGAAAGATCATCAGGTAGAAGTTCTGGCACCAATTCCCGTAGATCATCTCCACCTGTCCACCCTAGCAGGCAAGCTTTAACGCAAGCAGCAACCCGCGAAGCAATACGTTCACCTGTGCCAGTCAGAGACCGATCCCCTCCAGCTTTGGCTCATAGACAAAGAGAGCAAGAAACTTCAAGATCCGCCCCGAAAGATCGGTCACCAATTCGTCCTACGGCCCCAAGATCACCTCCTAGGGGCCCAGCAGCAACGTTCCGAGCCCCAACTGGACCCAGTGGAGGCCGCAACTTCGCTGCGCCTATTCCATCCGGCCCTTCTTCAAACTATAATTCGAGAGCTGGTTCTGAGAGCAATGGTCACATCGCTCCACCATCAGGCCCACGTGGTTACGCTCCACCTCGTGGCCCTTCCGCTTCTTTAAGAGGTGGTCGATCATCGTTTAGCAACGACCGTCACAGCCGTCCAGATACCTCGTCTTGGGGAGCAGCACCTCCGGCTCGATCCAACGCAGAATTAAGCTCAAGAACTAGTCTACCTCCACCGCGTCCTCCTCCAAGTGTCTCACCCTCACCAGCTAGGGACACTCCCCCTGCTGCCCCCACAGGCCCTTCGGGCATTCCCACAGGCCCTCGCGCAGGCACTACAGTTCCTTCTCGTCCCTCACTTCAACATCCCTCTAATATATATCATAGCCGCGGTTCCATCTCGGGTCCCTCATCTGGTCCTCGTATACACCCAGCAATGGTAGGCATTCCACCCATCATACCGGGAGGGAGGATTGATCCAACAGCCTCTGGAATTTCTGCAGATCTAGCAGCTCGTCTCAAGAAAAAGGAAGAGGAAGCGGAGGTTTTAAGAGAGGAAGTGAAGCAAAAACAGGAGAAGCTTAGGAAGGGATTAAAACATTGGGATAGATTGAGCAGGGAAAGTGCAAGTATGGGTTTGAAAAGCGAGTTGAGCGAGAGACATTTGAGAATTTTAGCTGGTGAGAGCGTAGGTGGAAAGGCCTTTTAATCGGAGCTGATGATGGGGTTGAATTCGATTATTTTATTTCTTTGATCACTGTCTTCGGCTTTACAGAGGACTGCTGAGAACCTGGCATGCATGGATCATTTCAGGGGCTACCAAGCAAAAAGACTTGAATTCAAAAGGCTTGGTAGTGGTACTATTACCTACGACGTTCATCTGTCCTGCCGCAAGCAGATGAACCATTAAAATCTCACGCATACCAATACACGGATAAACATCTGTGATCTGTTTTCTGTGGTTTTTTCTTCTTTCCCTCTTTTCATCAAAGAGGAGCGTCTAGGCGTTTTTAGTTTATGGATCTGGAACTGGAAGGGGATGGGGAATGGCTCTTTTTTTGCTACTGCTGCTGTTGCTGCTGTTAATGAATGGATGGATCGCATTGCCTTGCTTGCTTTCTTCCCTTTTTTACTTTTTTACTCTCTTTCAAATACCAAGGAATCGAATCCGTTAGTTGATACGGGATGCGAGGTACGATATGCGTGGATTTTTAAAGAATACTGGCGCAAATGGATGGATGGATGGATGGATGATAGGGAGTTAAAAATAAGTAGTAAAATTATACTGATTAATTCATCGGTCGTTTTTGTGCGTGAGGAGAGAATGGATGGATGGATGTTGAGATTATGGGTTTTGGTTAATTGATCTTATCTATATAGTGTTGTGAGGTTACGTTACATGCTAGATACGCAGATGCAGTCTGCTTCTCAAATACTTATTGTAAGACCTCAGAAACGCCAAGCTTCCTCGTTTGAAGTCTCTTTGCTTGGTGGTATAGGAAGAATTAGGTAATAGCTAGGCGTCGGTTCTCGGAACCAATAGCCTCCTTCATCAAGCTAGATTTCCTGAGTACCCATAGCAGCTTCTCATTCAATAGTAAGCTTTATTCTCCCCTAGGTTTCCGAACACTACCGGTAGTTCTACGGCTAATGTAGTAGTACGAAATTGAAGCATCTCGGAAGCGGCTCACCCTAGGGAATCCTCCGTGTGTTTTATGCTGGTCTTTTGGTTGGCCTGTTTTTCCATGGTCCAACTAGGCAACTCATTCCGCTAGATAATCCTCTGCCTCAACCCCCACACTCCTCGCAATCCCCCTTACTACCTCCCACCCAACTGCAACTCTCCATCGACTACCTCCATCTAATGTATCTGCCGCATTTACACTTCCCATCTTAGCAATTAAGCGCAAGCTAGCAAGTGTGGCAATAGCCATTTGTATGTCTGCTTCTCCCGTGCCCAACCCTTTGGTTTTCCTTTTAATATTCCCATTTATAGATGAATAGCGGCCCCGCCCATCGGCATCCTCGAGTAAAACGTGGTAGATAGCAATCATTCTTTCCAATAGGAATGCTTGAGGCCCTAGTAGTTTGCGAGGGATTTTGCGTGATTTCGAGACGCCAGGTCGGGAAGTTGAAGCTGTGAGCGCTGTCCCGCCGCCGCGCTTTTTACGCCTGGATATTGACATTTGCTGTAGGAAATGATGCTGATCTGTGCGAGGGGGGTTGTGGGAAGCAAGATAGGAAGCGATGAGGAGAAGACGAGTATGATATGGAAGATGGGTTGTGATTGTGTTTTGGATTTGAGGCTTGGTGGTGCTTGTTATCGTTTTTGTTGAACTCGTGGTAGGAGCAAGTACAGATGGCGTGAGAAGGGTATCATTTTGGAGAAGTGCACGATTGGCAATGAGAAGGCGAGAGAATTCGTTAGACGTGTATGTCCCATTAAGTATTGGTTGTATAAATGTAGGCCATAATTGGAGGCAGATTGTGCGAAACGAGAGGAGGTCACGTCCTGAATGTTTTGAAAGTGAATCATAAATCGTTGGAATTAAGCGTTCCCAAATAGAGAAGGTTTCTTTGGAACCGCCAGGGAGTCGAGGGGAAGGTTTGCAGATACGGGAGAGAATTGTCACAAGTTCGGATTTTGTGTATGACGGGAATTGAATATGAGGGATCCCAGGGAGATGGAAAAAGCTTGGTCGAGGAACTGTGGTGATAAATATTGTGGTAAGATGGGGGATCTATGCGTGTTAGAATACAGACTGCGCTGATTGATGCTGAAATTGAACATACAATTTCACCCATTCGGGCTAATGCTGGTAGCAAAGTTGGAGGAGCTTCTTTTTGCCGATCAATGCCATCAAACACAAGAACAAATCTTTGTTTTGTGGCTTGTGCCTCATTTGTGGAAGTCCAACCTTCGAGTAGCTTTCCTACCTCGACGACTAACTGTGCAAGATTCTCACATCTTGGTATATTGCCCCTCCATTCCACAGCATTCGCAATAGCTCCTATAGTTTGTTCCAACAAATGTCTCCCTGATATACACTCCGCGCTTTTGATTATGGAATATTTTAATTCATTGTTGAATTGCTCTTCTGGAACGTCGTTGTGCGCCAGAGAATTGGCTGATAATGCTTCGAGGATAGCTTTCGTGATGGCGGATTTCCCCGTCGCTTCCAGTCCATGAAGTACAATATTTTTGCTTGGAGCTGTTTGAATCTAGGAATTTCATTTAAAGTAAGCGTGCGTTCTGATATGACTTGCGGGTCGGAGGAAGACTTACAGAAAGTAAAGTAGCTAATGATCGAATCTGCTGGTCTCTACATGGAAATTGGGATGCTAATGATGCGAGAAGCAATTCATTTGGTAGAGTAAACAGGGCAACCATTTTATTGTGGTTATTACTTCTCCCAGGTTGTTTTCGATGAACATTGATTGATTTTGAAAGTCTTTGGAGACCATGCAGCTGGATGGATAGTACAGTAACCAAGTACACAAGGCTGATGAATTACTAGGTCCAGTACCGAGTATTTACCTAGCGTGCCTAGGGTTGGTGACAGTGATAGGCTCAAAGGGCAAGAGGGGAGGCGCGTGAGCACGTGAATGAATTGTTTTAATGCCCGAGCGGGAGCTTTGCATCTACCATCTACCGACTTCTTACCCACCTGCCCACATGCCCACCTTCCCCCTGTATATCATTCACTCACTAGGGAATAAAGTATCCTAGGCAAGCAAGGCTTAGAATCCTTATGAATCTTTTGATTTATTGAATGCCCATTTCCACTTTTTTACGTACTTTCTTCATATTCTTCTCAGGTACTCCAGTGCCAGTACCCTTGGTATTCTTCGACTATGTTGTTATTTTATATGCATTACACATCTACCCTATATACTCTATCGTCCGTTCGAAATTCGAATAGCCTCCAACTTCCAGTCTTCCACTTGTTGTGGAACAAATTACCAACAAACTGATTACTACTTGTCACTTACCGTCGCCATTCTTGAATTCCGTATACTCCACACCAGCTATGATATGAAGGCAATTGGGCTGCTATGATGCGAACCGAAGCTTAGGGATCTCACCACAGTAACAAGCATAACTGGATTTTATGTTAATACTTGACCTCCTGCTCATTTTGTGCCTGCCTCAAAGAAATATTGAATATTAAATCAACATGACGAGTGTTTTCACCACCAAGAGACCCCATAAAAAGTCAAGGGGAGGATGTCAAACTTGCAAGACAAAAAAGATCAAGGTATAATCAATCATTGCCTCATTTGTGCTTTATGCTCACTGACCATCAATGAAAGTGTGATGAAGCTAAACCAAAATGCTCCTTTTGTGACCTAAGAAAGCTTTCTTGTCAGTATACACAACAGGCTACCAAGGGAACAGAGACTTCGTATTCTGCGAATTCCAAACAAAATACATCTTTGGAGAAACGTGGTACTTCTGATGAGCCTGTTCAATCAGTCCAAGTCTCCTGGGACTTTAGAAATTCGCCATTCCCTCCAATAACTGCAGCTACTGGGGTTCTTTCCATGATGGATGTACGTATGATGCATCATTACTCTGCATTTACAGGACCAATTGTGGCTCTCGGACCCGAGGCTTGTCATGTAATGCAATTTGCCGTTCCATCTCTAGCCTTTGAAAATGGGTTTCTTATGAATGGTATGTTGGGACTGGCATCCCTTCATAACCAACATTTACTTCCACAAAACGAGGAACATAAACGACAAACAGCTCTTTACCGTGTAAAAGCAATACGCGATTATCGCGCTGCAGTAATGACTGTTACAAAAGACTCGAAGAATTACGAGGCAGTTCTTGTAATGGCATTACTCCTTGTAGTGCTCGCATCAGGAGACCGGAATGATAACGATGAACTCACGGTAGTGAACTGGATGGGTTTATATAGGGGATTGCGTCTTATCGTTTCGATGAAAACTCCTGAAGGAGGTGTAAACACCACAACTACTGTCGGTCCATTGTTCGTCCGAAATATAAATGATTTGCTCGCTACCCCCATGGTCCCTAATGTTTTAGTAGACATGCTCTACATGGATCCTAGTGATCAGGACTTCGGAGACTTGGAGGTATATTGCCAAACTTTGGATACTCTTGGAAACCTTTATGCAAGTCTTCGTCAGGATGAACTTAGCGAACCCTTGTTCATTCGTATCATCTCGTGGCCATCTTTTACACCCCAGGCATTCACGGATTTAGTAAAGAACAAACGGCCGAGAGCACTGATTATTTGCGCTTATTATATGTCCTTTATCAAGCTCGTCTCCGGACTTTGGTGGCTTGAAGGTCTAGCGGATCGTGATCTTTTCGCCATCATTGAAATGCTAGGTCAAGATTGGAATCAAGTACTAGATGTCCCAATGGAAATTCTGCGCACGAAAGAGAAACAAAAGATAGTCGAAATACTACTCCGATAATATCCTACCCAGCATACATTGAAGATATTCTACCTCATGGATGATGAGATGTTCGAGGCTCAAACTAGACAAACTGTAGCAACACATGTCCAATGTTCCACCGGATAGTTATTTAACCATGTTTCATGTTGGTTTCGCCTCTGAGGAATTGACACTTGTCCAAGCAGAGAGTAAACCTGGAGAAGACAAAAGTTCCGTCACACCGTGAAGTCAATTCTCGTATGACCGTTGGACGACATACTACTTATCCACAGTCTCCGAACCATTTTCACCCTGTACAGCATGTTACAATAATCTCGATTAGAACAACATCTACAAGATGTTGAATTAAAAGCATGTGTCCAAAAAGTCGTCAATTACTCCGGCTAAAGGATCAAAAATTTGACCGTCTATTGAAACGTTTTCCGCAGTCAAATAACCATCATCCAGGACGTCGGCTCACGAGCATTATTGCGTGTCACCACACACAGCAAAAATAAGACATGAAAGCGACACAATTGCTGCGCCCTCTTCAGATCAGGTTTCAGTGTCCAGGTAATCTGGAAAAGTTATACATATTTTTGCAAAAGACTTCTCTCGGAAGCGACTTTCTCCTGTGAGACTTACCTCAAAAGCTGATCACACATAACCCTTTTGCGTTTGGGATTGGGGCGGTGGGCCCAGAATAGAATCTTATGCAGGGGTTCATCCGTAACAAGGGGTTACATCAATATTTTTGAATTAATGGTTCGGATGAAAGTAGCCGAACTTATCAGATGATGTTCCGTCAGCCCCAGGAGTCTGGGGTGTTTTGTATATTGTTTTATCGAGGTATATGGAATACATGCAGGACAAATATAGGATGAATTCGGTTGGTTACTAGGAGCCGAAACTTGGGGTCGTGCATTTGGGACCGATATGGGCGGTTGAGTCGCTGTATCGGTTTCGAATGTAATTGAATGCGAGGGGGCCAATTGAGTATTTCATGATTCATGATGTGTTGATGGTGAATGGCTTTTTTACTGCGGTGTTCAAAAATATCAAAGAACAAGGCTCTGTGTGTTTGTTTATTTAACTGAACAGTTTGTCTTTGTTTAACCTTTCATTTCCTCTCAACTTCGATCTTCACATCACTTCAGCCTAAAAGCTATTTGCTCGTCTTGATTTCTTTCAGTCATTCAATCAGCCAATATACAATTTTTGATTTCATATCGCAAACGATTAATAATACTTCAACATGCATTTCAGCAAAATTACATTCATTCTCGGTCTTCCCTTCACTTTCGCTGCATACGACGCTGCCGATGCTAGCTCCTCTTCCACCGCCGTCACTCCCTCCACCACCACCAGCACATCTCCCTCAGACCCAACCCATACCATCCTCGTCGGTGCTGGTGGTCAACTCACTTTTTCCCCCAATGAAACTAAAGCCGATGTAAACACAACTCTCGAATTCCACTTCTACCCCAAAACTCACTCGGTCGCTCAAGCTGCCTTCGCATCACCATGTAATGGCACTGGCTTCTTCTCTGGACCAATCGCAACGACTAGCGAAGAAGGCAACCTGACGGTTTTCAGTGTTCTTGTTAACGATACGAAACCAATCTGGTTCTATTGCGGATTTCCAGGACACTGTGAGAGCGGAATGGTGGGTGCTGTTAATGTACCGTAAGTATTTCTTTTCCTCCCCGTCTCCTCTTCTCTTTCCTTCTGTATACCATCCGCATATCCATACTAACATCAACGTAGATCCGATAACACCAAAACCCTAGAAATGTTCTCAGACGCAGCAAAGAAACTCGCGAAAAATGCTACCAAGAATCCGCAGGGAACCGTAGGCGGTGCTCTTGCCCCCTTGAAAGAGGACTCGGGCTCGGGATCGGGATCTAGCACTACGTCGACGTCGGGTAGTAGTGCGACGGCTGCGACGACGGGGGCGACGGCTAGTTCTTCAAGTGGAGCGGGGATTAGGGGCGTGGGGTGGATGACGTTTGTGGGTGCGGTGGGTGTTGCGGGGCTTTTGGGTATGTAAGGGTGGTAGTGATTGGGTGTTTGGATTTGGGGGAACGGGGGGAGGAGGTGGCGAATAGTTGCTTTATTGAGTGATTAGATGAAGAGTTTGTTGTTGCAAAGCATCTGGAGATCTTTTATTCATTTATGGTGTTTTTGGCGTCGGTACTGGGTTGTTTTCGGATTTTGGGTATAAATCATTTAACTTAAATCATATGGAAGAAAAATGCATTGGGTGCAATATTTATCTCTACTTAATCTCGAGTTTAACCTCATGTTATGGACTTTTTACTCTTGGTTTCATTTCATAAATTTTATTATATTTGAAATACGGTAATAAATTAATAAAACTATAATCTAATAATTATCTTGTTACGTCGGACAGTAACATAGGTCACGTTCTTGATCACATGATCAAGAAACCGACAAATCGAGATCGGCTTTGCGGTGATCGATTTGTCGGGCTCATAGCCATCGGTTTTTTAAGGAGGCACAAAGGTCTATATAATCAAGATGGATTCCCTTTGTATAGAGCTTCGTGCTCAAGATCAATCATTTAGTATACTCTACTATTAGTTACGAATTGCATATCATTATTGTCATTACTTTAAGTCCCTGCTTGACGCCTAGTTATAAACCTACTTCGAGAGCCTAGAGCACTTCCACGTGATCTAGACGGCAAACCTCGTAACATATCTATCAATAAATAAATAAATAAATAAATTGTTAAAAGGAATAGAAGTTACCGGTACTAATCACGTGTCGTGATTAGTAATACGGTTACCTAAACAGGCTAGATTAGACGAACCATAAGCAGGCATATTGGTCCCCTCAGAGGATACTAAGAGGAGATTAATATGCCTACACGCGTAGTAATATAATCAATATAGAGGCCTCTTCCACCCAATCTTTTAATATAAATAAATGAAAATTTCAATTAGAATTTGTAAAAACATTATAATTAATTATATTAAAATCAGAAATAGTTTTAAGTTTAAATTTCTGTTTAAAAAAATTTACATTTATAATTGATATAATAAAACGAGTTCTTGATATTCCGACCGTTATATTCGACAGGTTTCATCACTGTTTTTTTTTACGTAACCTCAGCGCATGCTAAAGGCTAACGGCTAACGGCATCGTTCATATCCATCAGTGCGAACTCCAATTTCATGGTCCTTATCCAAACCATTTCCTGTTTCCCATTTCCTAATTATTTTCTATGTCACTATTCTAATTGAGTAAGAGCTAAAAATGATTATATTCAAGTTTAATTTCATCGTGGCTTTTACATTTCTTTATTTCTTTATTTCTCAATACTTTTTTTTTTTTTTTTTTTTTTTTTTTTTTTTTTTTTTTACCTCAATCAGCAACATCTACAGTACTAATCTTCTGGCGTATGTGTTCTGTTCGTAGACTTTTACACATTTTAATATCCATTTTTTGTAATGATTTTTTTGTCATAGTATTACAGTATTACACCCACTTCGCTCCTTCTCATCGTCATCCTCCCTCTTCCCCATTTTTGCTATCCCTCTTCGTCATTATTTCCTTTTGACTCCAAACTTGAAAGCTTTATAGATAGGAATTTTTTTCCTCTTTCATCGAAGCTTATCTTTTTCGATAGGAGGAGTACTAGTATGCTTCTCTGGACAGAAAAAAATGAGCTTCTATTTTTGCAGTATTGAAATACTTCTTGTTATTGTGTTCTCGTAGTCGTAGATCACATGGAACTTCCTTCCATTTTTCTTGATTTGTAACAGTAGGGAAAACTATCATATTGCTTTTCAATGGGCCGGTACGAATAACCTATTTTGTTGCAGTTGATCGATTTCCTATTCGCATATTTCGAACGTCTAATCATTCGTTCACTTCTTTCTGTAGATCGATTTGAAACTCATGATAGGGTTTTTGGAAGAGATCGTTGATATTGAATATAACATGTATAGATCCATATATTCTACTACTGATATATCAATCGAAAAAAAATCGGATATTTAAATCATGTGTAATATCCTCTATCATAGGATTAAACGAGGGCTTTAGCGGATGGGATGATAATCGACGTTGTGGGGTACATGGAGTGCCAATGGAGGAGCTTTTGGAGTGCGAGCCGAAGCGGTAATGGCAGCAGCTCTACTACATTTGATTGCTTCTTTTATGACTCTCGTGCCTTTGAAGGAGGCTTATGGAATGAGGGAGAGAAGGGTGGAATCACTTTGACTGATTTCCCCACGAGTGTTTGTACCTCTTAAGCTTTTTTTTCGAAACCTTACGTTTGTGCACAACCTTCTGGGGTGGAAGGGGTGGTGTATCTTCTTTCTAGGCGGGGTATTTTGATCCTATTAATGGTGAAGATATCAAAGGTTGTTTAGTAAATTCATGGTTGAGATTCCCGTTTGGAGCAAAAATAACCGGTTAAGCGAATATCATAAAAAAGTGGTTTTGGAAGCTTGTTGTTCGCTGCCACCTTAGATTTTGCATGCTCAATCATCTAATCCAAATTCCAAACACATGCGGGGTTTCTTTCGGAATGACAGGAAGTTTTTCTGCAAATACTACTTGTTGATAGTAATCATTGGCGATACTATATAGACTCTAGGCCTAATATGGCTTAGAATCATTTCCGAAGGAGGCTCAACATGCACCCAGCCCTACCATATTCTTGTATAACTCCTCCGCTACTTTTCCTTTCTCAATGTATCGGTGGGAGGAGGGGAAGGAAAAGAATAATATTGGGTAGTAATGAGTTGTTTTGTATGAAGGTTCAACAATGGGTGCAGAAATTCCGTAAGCACTTTTTCAATCCTTACCAAAATCAATGAAATATTGTGACCAAAAGGGTGTTTATAGACCAGCAATTGTATTTAACTTAGAATCTACAGGTGAAGAGCACCTGTAGATGGGGATAGCTACTCTATATATACACAAATGAATGGCCTAGCCGCAATGGCTAGACAAAAAGAAGTCATATTTATCCCTCCAATGATCTTACTTTACCGATAACCATTGATACCTAGTACTTGTCCGGACCTGATCCTCAGGTCACCTAAATCGTATACTAATCCCGAGTAATCGTATCATGTGTGGACATGGTTAATGTACCTGGGATTTCTTATATAATAAGGGTGGGAGGAAAGCAGGGGTTTTCGTCACAATAGATTTGAAGATATTGAGTTTTGATATTTCACTGAATTATACTTACAGAATTTCTACACCCACTTGTCACGAATCACGGTTTAGATTATGGTAGTAATAATAATGATCAGAAACAACGTAAAGATCAAGTAGCCAACGTGGGAGTTCCAATCTTATCGGAAAATTCGTAAGAATTTAGTGATAGATCGTTAGTCTTGCAGGGAATTTTCTACAGCACATGCAGCACCAAGTTTTTCTGGGACACTGATCCTCCGAATATGTATGTGTGCCAGTACACTGGAAGATAATCCCACTTTTACAGAATTAGGAAGGAGGTTAAAAGTACGTCAGATATTCGGATATGATATCTCGATGAGCATTTTCTTATATATATTTTTAAACACATCCTGAAATATAGTTATTGAGGTTTACAGATAAGATTACTTGGACTTCATATTCACTCAAATATCTTCCTCACATCCTCAGTCATCATGAAGGTCACATATGCATTAACAGCCTTGAGCTTGCTCGGCGTAGCTGTTGCTCTTCCCACTCTAATCGGTAAGTTATGTAACTTTGTTTGAATAGAGAATAGCAAGCTAACTATAATAATAGCGAAACGAGATGCTCAACCTGAGGAGGCTACCAATTACATTTATGCTGTTGGAGTTGAGAGTGAGAAGAGGGATGCACGACCTTCAGAGGAAGCTACCAACTACTTTTACGCTGTTGGAGCCGAAACTGAGAAGAGAGATGCTAAGCCGGAGGAAGCCGCTAATTATTTCTACGTTGTTGGAGCCGAGACCGAAAAACGTGATGCACAACCTGCAGAAGAAGCTACCAATTTCTTCTATGCAGTTGGAACTGAGAGCGAGAAGCGGGATACTCAACCAGAGGAGGCCACCAATTATTTCTATGTTGTTGGAACCGAGATTGAAAAGAGGAGTGCTAAGCCTGAAGAAGCTACAAAATACTTTTACACTGTTGGAACCGAGACCGGAAAACGGGATGCTCAACCAGAGGTGGCTCTAGATCTCGAGTACACTGTGGGCGCGGAGACAGAAACAGCCAACAATGACTCCTATATTGTAGGCCCAGAGAAGCGGGATGCTTAGATTGAGAAAGCCACCAATCTCTTCTAGACTATACAGTAGGGTCGGAGAAGCGGAGGTCGAGAATGCTCACAAAGGAGAGGTATATTTTGGAACGAAACGTCATGCGTAGCCAAAGCAAATCCCATTATTGTACATGTGGCGGAGTAAAGAAATTCTAGATCGCAAGATGTTAGATTAGGAAATGGTGTTTTCATGAGACAAGATGATAAATCTCGAGGATAGGATCTATTGAATGCATGTCTAAACAAACAAATCACTTCACTTGAAAATAATCACACCTGTCCATCATTTCCCTATTTTGAATATCCGTCGCTAGAGTTATAATTTGTCCCATCATAGAACAAACTTCAACATTACGACATCAGATTCTTACAATATCCATCAACAAACGGATCCACAAGCATGCATACAAAATGCCACATTACCACGAGCTTAGGTAGTATGCGGGGTTCGCTTCTAGTCTTGGCCATAAGGGTAAGGAGATATCAGCCTTGGCGTTCCTTGCATCATTTGTCTACCATTGGTTTGGTACGACAGATCACTGTGACGATCTTTTCGTGTTCTTATCAAGAGGAGCATTGTTGATGAAGATTCAAGAGACTGTTGATTTTAGTGTTTATGATGGTTATCCATCGTTTTGAAGCTGATTGCTAAGAATGCGCTCGTAATGCTGCTTGTGGAAGGTAGATAGATATTTGGGAATGTTTGTTTGACATCATCGAGGGGATTTGGATGAATGGGGGGTTTTGGTGACGGCTTTTCGGTATTTGGTGATTTTCATGCTGGTTCCGCAATATGCCTACTCGTATGGATTTTCGATCTTCCAAACTGTGAGGTAGTCTTACCTGCGTTCAAACTCATACTTGAAAATTTATCATCGATTCGGCAACGAAGATGGGAAATTCACATGATTCAAGTGTACCATTTCTTGCCGATTTGGAAAATGAGTACGCAGCGGCTGAAAAATCTGATGCCTCATCTAGAGATTCACCTAAAACCACAAAATCCTCGAAAGCGCAGACTTATCTCTGGATATCATGTATCATAGTCATCACACTTCTTTCAAACACCGCAACATATCTCATCACCCATAGATTTAAAGAGAATCTAGAAAAAGCATGTGCTAAGCATACGGCTCAATATTTGAGTGAGTTGCCAAAGTTTCATGATCCTCTAAAACACATGACATACGTACTGACTGTCACAGGCCCTATACTCGACAATACAGATATTAAATATGAAACTGTTCGATTCAACGGTTCACTCTTTACCAACACGATATATAGAGAAGATCCTAGCCCAGAAGTTGACGAAGCATGGCTTAATCTGGGGATTAAATGTATGTCGTCCATCTCTATTTCACAAAGCACAAAAGCTAATACTAACATACGGAAATAGACAAAGCAATGATTATTCCAATAGAAGATGCGCCTAGAGCCGGAATATCACTTGATCATTTCCGAGTCGATGAAAAGGATGGAGGTCCTGGATATCCTGCTACCGTTGAATCGCTGCATCAATTGCATTGCCTGGTGAGACTTCTCACACCTAACTGGCACTTGCTTGCACAAATCAACAACTCTAAGCCGACTATAGAATCTCCTCCGACAACGCCTCTACTATAACTCAGAATACTACCACAAGCTCGGAGAAGGACCCTTCAAGAATGAAGAATATATCTTAAAAGCTCATATAAGTACGAACATCATCTCCATCATCGTAATTATAATCATTAACATCCACAATAGATCACTGTCTAGACACTATTCGTCAACGTCTAATGTGCTCAGCTGATACAGGCGCACATCCTTATCTCTGGGCAAAGTCTGGCAAAAATGCTCATTTGTATCCGGATTTTAACCGTGATTTTAGATGTAAGAATTTTGATGCTATAAGACAGTTTGCGGGGGATCATCAGGCACCGTGGCGTGAAGATGGTCAGCTGGATGTGAATCCCAAGGAGGGGGAGGTTGTCTTACCGGGTATTCCATGAGTTGGCCATACACTCGTACATCTAGAGAATATTAACGCGTTTATGCTCGACTTATATTGTGATGATTGCATTATCATTACTTTCACAGTTACTACCTCATGAACCTCGTTTATCGTGTTCGTCCCCTTTAGTCGGAATCGTGACGCCTTCAAACTCTCCATTGTCCGTCCATACAATATTCGAATCCGGCTAGTACCTTGTAACTCCACCATGGCCGATTTTCTTCCCAATTCTCCTTCCTGTTTCCTCATTTTTCTCTGTTCCCCTCACCTATCCCCATCCCCATGCACACCCACGCCTACCGACTCCCATCCAATAAACCTACAAATCCTATCCTATCATTTTCGATTCCGACGACCATTTTTCATCAATACTCTCGTCTTCAAATAGGAATCTTATTCATGTTATCATTAGATATCATCATCATCAAAACACCATCACCCCTCCATACAAATCCTCCCCACAATCCCCACTCAACTTCCATTTTCACCTTCCCCCTCCACTCCTCCATCTCCCATCCACCTCTTACTCTTCACCCTCAAGCCCCCCTCAACCCCTTAACCTCCAACCAAGCCCCCGCAACCGCCATACCCCCAAACAAAGGAAAAATAACCGCCTGAGGAAATCCATCCCCAAACTCCGGATCCGTCGCTCTACTCCCCGGATACAAAATCGCACTCAATCCCGCAATCCAATACAAACTCCCCGTAATCGCCGCCGTAACCATACTATCCCTCGTCATTTCCTTCCCCACTTCCTTCCTCATCCTCGACTCCAATGTCTCAGACTCTTGCTCTTTTTTCTCGACTTTGGCTTTGGGGTTTACGGATGGAGTGATAGGGATGCGCCAGGTGTAGTAGAGGGTTACGAGACAGAGTAATATGCCCATAGACATTGTTTGGCCGTTGTGGAATTTGGCGTGGGGTGGCCAGCGTGGGTTGTAGATGTGGGTTTCGTTCCAGTCGGCGATGAAGGGGGAGATGCCTTGGCTTAGGGCGGAGAGGGTGAGAAGGATGCGACCGAGCATTTTGGTTATTTGGATTGGGTGATTTGATGTTGCTTTGTTGCTTTGTTGCTTTGTTGCTTTGTTGGTTAATGGGCGATGGGTGATGGTGTGGAGAATTATAAGAAGCTCAAGTGATTGTTGTGTATAGTTGTATGTCGTTACAAGCGGCTTGAGTTAGGTTGCCGGGATGCCAAAAAGAACAAGAGGTGGAGACAAATTGAAATTCCACTAGTATTTAGAGTTAATCTTACAATTAAGCTTCGCACGACCAAAAGTTTAAAATCTCATTTAAAAGATCGACAACAGCTCAGCTCAAATAACCCAACCCCGCTCGAAACGTGAGATAGCGGTGAGAAATGGCAGAATTACGTCACATTAGGCAATTGGCTCGATACGAGTATACGTACCTAGTCCATCTTTGGGGATATTATATTGTCGTGTTCCGACTTTGACAATAAAGATAGAGATTTTATAAAGTATTGCATGATTGTTGAGGAGCTGGGTTTTGTAGAGGTAGGGCTCTGAAAATCTCGTCCATTTCATCTCTAACCTATTGATTTAGTATCTTTTGCGCTAATGTCACGCACAGAGGCTATTGAAAGAGGTATACTAGTTTTTCTATTGAAACTAATGAGGAGGAGAGATGAAGAGAGGAGAATCCGTGCGACTTATGTCTGAGTGTTGATAAGTATATTTTTTTCGACTTGATGTCGCTATTAATATATTAAGGATTACAAGTGAGACTTTCAGAGGATATCTTAATATCTCTGAGATAGTAGCGGAAAGATAATCTTAGATTCTTAAAAGAGGACGACCTAATATTCTGTTTTGAGATATTAATTCGAAGATTTCGTTATAGAGAATAACATAAAACGTGACCTGTGATTTGATTTGGGAGTGGAATTTAATATATTTTCAGATGAAACTAATTATTACTCAGAATGAATAGCTAAGTAGTTTCCCATACTGTGATTATTAAAATATGTTAAAAGGAATGACCTTACACAGGGAATAGTGGGAAGCTGATAGGGCAGAACTGAGGCTATATTGGTCTTGTATATGAATCACTCATTATCTAAGTTCTACGGAAGTGCGAAGCTCTCCTACAGAGAGCTTCTCAATCTAGTCCTAATAGGACTAGTGCCATGTGCACGTGCTACGCAGGAACCATTCACTTTAACAATTTATTAACTAATTAGAGATGAGGATATTAGTGATTTAGGAAAATAACGTAAGTATACATGTGAGAATTTTTGTAATTTTAGAAAGTTATAATATCGATGAGAATGCCAAAATTGGATTTGTATTTGTATTGAAAGTTGAAAGTCAGGATGTTTATATTTCTATGTATGTGTTCTATATAAATCTTACTCTCATATCTAGCTAGCTATTTGTGTAGGTAGGTGTTACGAGGTTTGCCGTCTAGATCACGTGGAAGTGCTCTAGGCTCTCGAGGTGGTTTATAACTAAGCGTCAAGCAGGGACTTAAAGTAATGACAATAATGAAATTCGTAACTAACAGTAGAGTATACTAAATGATTGATCTTGAGCACGAAGCTCTATACAAAGGAAATCCATCTTGATTATATAGACCTTCGTGCCTCGTTAAAAACCGATGGCTACAAACCCAACAATTCGATCACCGCAAAACCGATCTCGATTTGTCGGTTTCTTGATCATATGATCAAGAACATGACCTATGTTACTGTCCGACGTAACAGTAGGCTTGCTAAGAACATAGCATAGAAGTAAAATTACATGTAAAAATTGGTATCAAGTAGAAAAAAGGAAATGTGTTATTGACAAAGGAGAAAGTAATATGACCTAGAAATATCGACCTAGAACTCCGACCAGCAGAGAATAGAACATTCTGAAATTATCTTAAATACCCACACTCTTAAACACCCACTTTCAAAGTTTTCTTAGCTCTATCCCAGAATACCATTCGTCCAGGGAGATCCTGAGTAGCACCAACACACAACAGATATGCCATCCAGCCAACATTGGAACCAGCCGCGAGGCCCTGTCTCACACTAGCACCACAATGCGTCTTCAGATACCATGGTGCACTTCCCCATGTATACTCATCCGTAGTAACCAAAGCCAAAATCGCATTCAAAGTCGCATTTGACAGACCCTCGGTGGTAGTAGCCGTCGTAATCTTTGCAAGAGGTTCTTTAAGAGCGTCAATAGATCGCGCATACTGGAGATTATAGTTTGGATGTTGCATGTTGCGGGTTCCCTGACCTGGGTTACCGGGAAAATGGTTGATGTTGTATTTGAAACTGGCAGTTTCGTAGGCCATGAGAGCGGTCATGGCTCCGATTTCTCCGGCGTAAAATTGTGCTTCTCCTACTGCTTTGAGGATACCGATGGCTGCTTGGGCGGCTGTGGCACATTCGGCTGGAAATTCTGCACCTGCGCAGCTATTTACTGCATCGGGGGCGATTCCGTTAATGAGGGCGATGGCGGTGGTTGTGGTTCCACGTCCAAGGATGTTATTTGAAGCAGTTGGTGCTGCATAGCAAAGGGTTGAAAAGAGTGTGATCTGAATTGCCTTGAACAACATATTGAGTTAAGTCTTTCGTAATGATCTAGATTTGTGCTGAAGTTGATGTATGAATTAAGGAGGAAGAGAGTTTGTAGTTCTTAGAAGTTTTATGTAGTTGTAATAAGAAGAGTTGTTCTCGAATATGTTAATAGAAATTATTAACAATAAGATTGTTTGTGGTTGAACAAAGAAAGAAGAAACAGCAGGAAAAAGTGATTGTACGATCTTTTTGTACTACAAACAAGGAGGTAGTGTTATGACAAAGTACCACTGAATCATAGAATTGAATAAATCGCGTCTATTATTATTAATAAAAATTCGAGCGGATTCACAAAGTTTTCTGTGGAGTGACTCTGTATATGTGAATATAGAAAGTGGTATGATTCTCAATCCAATACTTCAGATGGAGAATGATTCATGGTCATACTTGACCTCTATATCCTATATTCATTGGAAGAAAAAAAAATTGAGATGGTTGATGGGATGAGGTTTAAGGAAAAATCAAAGTACGTTCAAATCGCGGATACAGCCATAGCCAATACTTGGAGATCAATACATCAATCTGATATCAACCGAAAGTTTCATGTTTCATGAAGAATGAATCATAGAGAGAAATCCTTGGTCAATGCTTTGTGATTATGTGATACGACGTCGACTTCTGACGGCCCTACACTTTTAGGTCATGATATGATTTCAAAATCAGAAGTCGAGGAAGAATGATTGATCGAGGATCTATAAGAATAACTCGATAGTTCAACTTATCAGTTGTCTTTCGTTGCAAAAGCCGAATTGTCCTTACATACGGAGTAAAGATGAGTGCAACCACCAAACTTCTCTACGATACTTTGAAGATCCAGTACAATAATTACCTACCTAGCAGTACCTAACAAACGAGCCTTCAAACCCGCTCATAGGATCATAAACGCCCGAGTAACCAAATTTCCGCGTCACTAAATCACCCAGCCTATCAACTCAATGCATTCAAAGTCCAAACCATCTAATTCCTTCGTGACACACACACAAAAACACAAGAGGGAAGGAAAAAGTGATCACAAACCGATGAATCATTATACCTAGACAGTGGGACGGGAAAGCCTTACGAAGGAAGTTACAGCGGGTATGGAAACGGATCGTAACGGGACACCCGATGCACCATCGATGCATCATCATCGAGCCGAGAAAGTGTGCTGCTGATTGGTTAATCCTACGAGTTGCCGAATGTAGGTACATTCGCATAACTGTACGGAGTAAATTGATTAGTACAGTCTCTATGAAGAAGTACTTGACTAGAAGAAGTATTGATTGGGGTTGGAGATAAATGATAGATAGGAAATACGGAATAATGATTTGAATTTGATAGGTTGTGTGATTTGTCTGTTACAGACTTTGGTCTAGATTAGAGTGTGGTGTGTGGAATTTTAAAGGAACTTTAGACTTTGGAGTCTGAGAAACAAAGAAAATGAATGAGATCGACATACTAGGTAAATTTTTCAGTTTTTACATAGGTTGTAGGGCTGGAGCATGAATGGATCTAGAATACTCTATTGAAGGAAATAAAATAATCATTATTGAGGGAATTTTGTAGTACTTTTGCAGCTTGCTTGATGCATGCACGAGATCAATTATTGTGGATTTCGAGAGGCCTTCCTTCCTTCACAGGGCTCGAGGCGCAGGGAAGAATACTGATGGTAGACCGTCCGTAGAGCTTTGCTGCATATGTAGTTCATTATTATGACGAGGAGGTATTTCTGCAGCCCTGCGATAGACGATCCTTCATATTTCTTTACTACGTACTCGAGTACTCGAATATGTTATCATATTTTTATGGATCTATGTTGAGTCATCCTTGTAAATGTAAAGGGATCGTCCGACCCGTTCGGATTGAGAGTTTGAGAATGGCTTTAAACTTTAGAGTTGCGGAGATGTGGTCAATTTGGAAATTTACATTTGTATTTACATATCATCCGCCGTGGTCTCGGTCTTCGGGTCGCTTGGGATTTTACATTTGAACACCTGATACGGAGTACTTGCAGCTTACTCCAGTATATATTACGATTCCGAATTCAAGGTTGAAGTTTACTAATCTATTGATGTGATGAACTTAATTCATTCTACATGCGAAGGGTGTTAGAAATCCATATGTATTGATGCAGATATGAAGGTTTTAGATATCAAATAGGAAGTTGGTTATCATTTTTAGGCCTAATCTTTATGGGGAGGGGTTCAATTGTTGGTACCTAGAGAATATGACGATATATGTATCTGCAAACGTATTCATATTCGTAAGATGCCAAGATTCGCTGGCGAGGTAAGTATGATCTTATTAGATTTAATTCGAATTTCATGTTACTTCTAGACTCCAGTCATCCATCAACTCTCCAAACTACATTAGCAATCGAATTTTGCGGGGAATATTCTCAAAAGATTCATATGAACAGAAAAGGTAAACTAAGTACTCCGTACGGAAGCGTTTTAAATTTACCGGTCGTTAAAAAGGTTCACCGAAGCAGACCGAATAATTCTCTTTCCATTGGTTTACTATACGGAGTACGTACATTTGATACTTTGGACCGGAGAATGTGGCTTAGACTGAGGGTTTTTGTAGACTTTTCTGCCACTTGAGGCTCTTTCAGTACTCGGTGAGTCGAAAATGGACTCGGGCTATTGTTTTCTCCGTCTTATTCCGTTGTACAGTAGGTACAGAGTATATGCTAAGCTCTAACTAAAATGAAAGTACAATTGGACCCTTGTTCCTGATGATGGGAAAGCGTCAAGCTTTGGCCCTTGGTGCTTTGGATGGGTACTCTGCTAGCTTCGTTTAGGTATGTGGGCTTCCCGTTTGTTCCGTGAATTTGAATTGAAGCTCGGGGCTCGAGTTTAGAGAATGTGATCTTTATTCTTATCTACCTACCTCTCGCTCCGATTGATTATTAATCGTCTTGAATTGATGTCGATTTTATATATAAATACCTAGGTAGGTATATAAAGTTTGGGTTAGGGAGTACCTTAGATACCTCCCCTGTACCAAGTTCAAAAAATCATATAAATTCAAGTATTACAAAAAACCATCCAAAAACCTCGACAATCTTTTACTAGGATAAGCGTGCTAATACCTACCTAGTATACTTTGATTGAAAAACAACAAAAACAGCATCATAATCATGGATGTATTGCTATGTTCAAGGGGTGTTGAAACTTAAGACATGAAAATAGCATCGCCTCCCCACTAAATGTCCTAAGCGCGAAGACTAGGGAGACTATAACAAGGGTACATTCATGAAGCAATCTGGCGGGGACTCCCTTGTGAGTGATCATATTGACATCCATTTCCACGTTTTTTATAATTTCACCCGTCTACTTGGTTATTTTGGAATTCTGCCATTTTTGCTTGGATTATGTTGGATGCATGTAAATTGATCTCGCGAGTTGGTTGGTCTATCTATTTGTCTATTAATCGATGAGATGAATGAATGAGTACGTATATGTCGTACTTGGGTCTTCTTATGATTTCTTGGCTTAGGTTATAAAGATTTATCTATAGCTAAGATCTGCGAATGGATGTACGTAGGATTCCAAACCGTAGGATTACTATACTCATGTACATTTATTCGTACCTCCTGTATATTTTTAGCAAGTCGAACATCTGGTTATTTACTCCATGCAATGTGCAACTGTTTGCATTACGACCTCGCACAAAGAAAGCAGGGCTGTTTATTGGTCACCGAGTTCTTCAAGTTTGTAGTATATTTCCATATTAAGTTCAGGGTTTCTATTGCGGGGAAGCGATGAACCAGTATCTAGCCAAAAATTCACTGTTTCGAAGAGATACGCGCGAAGATTAATGGTTATAGTTTTGTTACTTGTAGGATTGGGGTTGATATGGATTTAAACGGTGACGATCAAAGTATTTATGGAGTCCCGACTGTTTGGTTGATGTCTAGACTAGAGAGGTTTCGTGATTGATCTACTTGTAGATGGAGATGGAAATAGAGATTATCATTATATGGAGAATTGACAATGTATATATAACCATAAGCGCACAAGGAGAAAGGAACCTCAAAAGAAGCCACCTCTTATGCCGTTGAGAAGGAATCGGTAATTAAGCTTTCGATAGTAGTAATAAGCGCCGTCGTGGAGATTTTTACATTGCACAGAAGAAGAATGCGATGTGCTAAGCTTTCAAATGTTATTATTTTTGGGAACTTGATCTTGAAAGACTCGTATGATAGAAGCCAAGGTTGGAGTTTGTTTCAAAGAATGATGGATGGGGTTTGTTGTTGATTGTTGACTGTTATGAGTTCGAGTTTGTAGATATATTCGATGTTCTTTTTTATATGGATAGTTTCGGTGCTATGTATAGTAGATACCAAGTAGCTTGCTTCATCAATCATATATCAATTCAATTGTATATGCGATCCTCAATTGAAGTGTTATTAAAGATCAACATGTACGAAAATAGAAAGCGGTAAGAATAAAACTGTTTGTAGTGAAGGATTAAATTACAATTACCACCCCTCAAATATAAATAATCCTACTCCACTTTTCAGTTACTCCGTACAATTGATTATCAAGCTAACTTAGTTTTGATAAGGTTAGCTTTGATAATCCTTGTCATGTTGAATTGATTTACAAGCCCATTTTCACTGCTGCCTAAAATACCTTGACAAGGCGGATTTCGTATCAATTGATCTCTCTCAATCTCACTCTTCGTCCCTCCCTTTTCCCTCCTCCTCTCTCAAATTCATATACGCACACAGTACAGTACGCCAAGTTAATCGACAACAAAATAAAGTCATCCATCTTACAAACCCAACAGAGCTACCGTTTTTATTCTTCATCGGCCACGAATTCACTAACGCGTTCAACTCCGAATTCACCCAATAACAAGTCCATATCCGAAGTAATTGATTGAGCGTTGGATTGCATTTGAATCTAACCTTCACCAATTATATCAATCTCAATTCAATTTCAGTCTATCCCTCATTCGTTGGACATAACTAAGGGTCCAGGCAACAATCACTCTTAACTTTCACAACTTTAATATTCACCTCATCCGTTTCCACCCTTTGCGCTGCTCTCTTCCTCTTCTTGTTATCACTGCTATTCATCAAGAAAAACTCCTCATCAATCAGAGCTGTGCTACGACCAAAGGAACCAACATCGAAGCATTAAATATCGACAAGAACTACATTGTCGTCTCTCGAGCTTATTTTGCCTCGTTGAATAGAGTTCACACCGAGAAAGGCTGACAGCCTCGGAAGGTGATATTTGTACAGCCAACTATTAGTATGCTCCGATTCATTCCTCTCCCTTCCCCATACTTATTTCCTTCACCTATCCATTCAACCTTCTCAAATCGGTCAAGCATCAGGCGATTATTGGTGGGGAAGTCGAGACATATACATATGGATTGATTAATCTCATCCACACATTTTTACACCGAAGCTACTTTGGACCTATTTCATATCTGGTTTTATATACCACATTTATACTCCGAAACGGCTCCATACATCCTCATTTGTGACTCACATTTCTTGCATGCAACAAAAGATCCTCAGGGCTAATCAATCTTATCCTAGTCCTCGAAGATTTCTTAGAGCTAAAAGACCTAGCCACTCAGCATGTCGTTCACACATCCCCGAAGAACTACAAAGACTACTGTGACTCCTCGTTGCGAATGCGTCAGGCCGTCCAACTGTTAATACAACTATCGCTCCCCTTCGCAAAGGTGCCACCTTCCACTCACCTTCTTATGACAGAACGAAGTTGAAGGTGCTTTTAACCTTTCATCCCTCCAACGTTCCTTATCCAACCTGGAAAGCTTCGCCGTCGAATCACACAAGCGTCGTGCTGCCGATGCTATAGAATCATTTGAACTTACTGCTACCGGCAATCAGTCCTCTTCTACATCAAGCCGACGCTTCCGTGACGAGTCTGAACCTGTTCCTCGAGGCGTCGTCAACGTCGAGAACCCCTCCAACAAATCATACAACACCCCACTGATGGAAGGAATCATGCCATCAGAGGACTCTTCTGTTAGACGTTCGACCCGTTCTCGCCGTACTACACCTAGATATGCAGACAGTGGTCTCGGGTCATCAATCGGGTCGTCATCATCGGACAAAAAAGTATTCACCGACGACAATGCCTCCAAGTCTACCAAGCCATCAACGATAACTAGATCAGCCGCTGGCCCGTCTACAATCATCAAGACTTTTCCTAGACTGAGTGCTCGTACAACCGCTCGCATTCAACAACATATCCTGAAGCCACTCCTGGCAAAGAAGTCTTTCAGACACTTGCATCCTCTAGTCGAAGATTGTCCAAGACGAATTCATCAAAAGGAAATCGTATCTCTGCGTGATTTAGAGAAGACCTTAATTTTTACCGCACCTGTAAGTGAAATCTATAATGATGTTGCTTGGGGAGTTGCTCACTGGTTCTCGCAATTGAAGAAGTACACAAAGAGCGCCTCCTTGTACCTCGACTTTTGCCTTGAATCGATCCGCTGTATCCAAGCTACTGTCGAACTTGTTAACGAGCGCGAACAAACACGACCAAACGATCGCCCATATACTAACGGATACTTCGTCGATTTGGTCGAACAGATCAAACAATACGCTGAACAGGTCCGGGAAGCTAAGGAGAGGGAGGAGAAAGGAGAGACTTTGGACGAGATGGACGCTCACCCGTATGTCCCTTTTCAGTCTCCAGACCTGAAGTCTAAAGAGTTCCTAACCATTTTACCATACAGGTCGGATGAAGTCAAGCTTCACGGTGGGCTGACCAGAAATGGTCGCCCTGCCGAACTCGTCCGCATCAACAAGAAAACTGGTAAAGCCGTTTCCATCGCCACCGGTAAACCCGTCGACATGGACGATGATGACAATAAGTCTATGAGATTTAAACGATCCTTGAGTGAAGAAGCTGAAGATGAAGAGTCAGTGATGAGATCGATGGCTCGTCGTAAGAAGGATGCCTCTGCTGCCGAGCTTGCTCCTAAATTTTGCCGTGAGAAGGGATGTGACAAATCATTCAAGCGTCCATGTGATTTGACCAAACATGAGAAAACTCATTCTCGTCCTTGGAAATGCCCCGTTACTTCATGCAAGTACCACGAATATGGTTGGCCAACCGAGAAGGAAATGGACCGCCATCAAAATGACAAACATTCGGCTGCTCCTCCACTATTTGAGTGCCACTTCAAGCCTTGCCCATATCGCTCAAAACGTGAGTCGAATTGCAAGCAGCACATGGAGAAGGCACACGGATGGGAGTACGTCCAGATCCAAGAGTAACGGAAAAGAACCGACCCGCTGCACCAGCTGTTGTTCCAAATGGCCTGCCATCCCCTCAAGCTACTATCATACACACTCCAGGCAGCGACTCAAATATCGAATCCCCACTTATTGCTGATGATGAGATGATCTATGAGAATACTTCATTGTACACCACAAACCACAGCATAGACTTCTTTCCCGCATTCCCTGCCGAGATGAACATGTTCCAACCTCCACAATCATTGAACATTGAATACTCTCCTGTGACGGATAACTCCTTCTCTACTGATGGCCACTCACCATTTGATGCAAATTCTCCTTTCAACTCCACATCTGTTCTCGGTGCCCAGGATCAGTTCCAAGAGAACATACAAGCCTATCAATCAAACGATGAATGGGCGGCTTATGAGCAGACTGATCTCTATAGCGCTCCAGCTCAGCTCCAAATTCCACCCAACCACCAAATTTATCAAGAGATCATGGGTCAAAATACTATGGCTTTTGAGACATCTGGTGACACATACCAAACAGAGCATCAGCAAAATCAGCACCTCCAACCACAACCTATGGCACATATCTCACCTATCGGTGAAGGTAACACAATGCTATACACCCCAAAATCTATGCAAGATTTTGATGAAGGCTTTCAGGACTTTATTCCAAACAACACTCGCATGACCACCAATGGTGTCCAGGATTTTCAACTCTTTTCTGCACCTCAGCAAAGACACAACAGCAATCCTGCTCCACTCTTTGGTGAGATCACTTCTCAAGCCTCCCTTGGATTCCCTGGCATCCATCCCCAAGATCTGATTGCTTTCTACGCTCAAACTGCAGTTAATTCCGCTGCTGGTACTAGCAATCATCAACTTCAAAATCACTATCAACCTCATCACCATCGTCAACAACAGCAACAATTGCATTCAAACATGAACATGACAATGGATTGGTCTTCTGATGAGTATGATTATGGCAGCCATTGAATGGCACGTATGGGCAGCAGATAAATTCCCTGCTCGTCTTAAATCGTTCGACCCGAACACATACTGTATTAGCATATCTGCATTTTTCTTGTAATCTTTGGCGCGCTTTATTGGCATTTTTTTTTTCAAATAAGTCTTACGAAAGTTTCGAAGCTTGGTGTGTTTTCTCTTCTCACATTTTTTTCTCGATGAATTTACGAGTAGTGGTTAATTTACCAGGATTCCACGTGGAATGATCTGGGTTGGACTGGATGGTGGCTGTGGAACATGATTAAATTTTCTTTGATCTCGACGGGTGGACCATTGACCGGGACTGACCGGGGATATTTTTATTATGATTACTTTTTCTTTCTGGAAGAGATGACAGATGCGTATGCATGCAGATAGATCTCGGTATTAAAGTAGCTGGTTTTGATGGATGATATGGATGGATCTTGATTTGATTTGGCTGGCAGTTAGATCGTAAATCGAATTGGGATTTCTATTGGGGGTTTTATTGGATGGATTTGGATGGATTGACCGGTATTGATTGGGAAGAGTAAAGCTTGATGGATTGAATTGAATGAGGTGGTGGATCAATGGTGGACAGAGCAACAGAATTTGCCCAGGCATAAGATACAAGACAGAAATACTTTTGACAAAAATGAGAATATTATCATCTTGATTTTTATTTTAATTCAGGTGCTTGTTTGCTTTGTGATTTATACATGATGATTGCTTAATGGTTCATTCGATGAGTGTTGGAAGTAAGTAAAGTTTCATGCTACAATACTCGAGTAACCATTTGGTTAATCATGTTAAGTGTGTAGATGGTATATCTACTTACGTAGTAGCTATTTGACATATAATTGTTGAATGTCAAATGTAGGGTTGGAAGTGTGTAGTTATTATTGTAGTGTAGGTTCTATGGAGAGCCTATATATGAGGCTTTAAGTACAGTGCGCTAGGGTGATTGCTCAGCAACCTTCAACAACAATAATAGCTTGAGATTAAGAGAATAACTGGATTGCGGAATTATGGTTTGATGGTTATAATTTTTATGCCCATGTTGGGAAGAGAGCCTAGTGGATTTGCGGTTGGGGAACAGGTTATATTAACCGCGCGCTAGTTGTGGTGGGAGAGCCGCAGGGTGACCTGGATTTGACCCGGATTTGGCTTTGTGTTGATTTGTTGGTCAGCACTCAAACTTCTTACCTGTCGTAAATGTTTACTTGGACCACTAGTATGTGCGACTTTCATCTGTGTAGTTCGGCTTTTTGTAGGTTTGCACTCTGGGATTCGATCTCTGTTTCTTTCGTTCCCAATTTTTTAGTAGTAGATTATCCTGTACGTTTGCTATAGTTCTAGTGCTAGTGCGGGGGATTTTTGGTAGGAAAGGTCCAAGGGGCCGGGGAGGTCGCCGCTCATTGAACCCAAAGTTTAGGCGTCTTAGCTTGTCAAACCTGTCATTCACGTAACTTATGACTTTCAGGACAGGTTCCAGGTCAAGCTGTGGTCAAGCACGATGGGCTACCACTTACAGGTGTTGTTAATTCAAGCTGTGATTCCCATGGTACAATTCCTCGACTCAAAACTCCTAAAAATCAAGTTAAACTATCCGACATAGAACGAATGGCAGATCAGCGAACGAGACATGCGGAGAAAAGACATGGAGGAGTTAGAAACGATCGTCGAGTGAATAATGACCCAAGGACTCGAACTCACGGTAAACAATTCTTTGTTAAAGGTCGTGTTTTTAATACTTCATCCGAAGACGGAAGTGGTCTGTCAAGTCAGACATTTCTTGTCATACGAGAAGCTCAGGAAAGTTCGGATGATCAGGGGACTCATTGTACCTGTCTGTCTGTTTCGCCGTTGAGAAAAGACTTGGATTTGTCAGAATGTGGAGTCCTTCATGCCAGCTCTACCTCACCTCCATCAATCAAGGGAGTCAAATTCAAACCACTTCAAGTCGTTGTTTCGAGAGATGTCAGATTTGATGCCCCAATGCTGGTTAATTATATTAATATGTTTAATGTGGATACGAATTCCCAGGTGAACGATGTTGGAAAATTACGACCGGAATCATTGCAGGATTCTATGGATAATTTTAAGGAATCTTTGTTTGATTCGCCAATGGATAGAGATGGGAGAAATAATAAACAGGGGAGGAGAAAGGGGAAGAGTGAAGAAGGGAGTAGCAAATTGCAGCATGGACATCGAGATCAAGGCAAACCATATTCTAAGGGTCAAATAGCACCTAGTGCACGCTCTGCAGCCACGACTCCATCTGGTCCTGGTTCCAGCCCTGGTTCTGGTTCTGGCTCTGTACCTAATGGAGCTGGGTCGGAAGCTACAAGTAAAAGACCTAAACTGCGTAATCTGGAAGTACCACAACACACGAAAAGACAAAAGCCAAAAGGAGCATCTTCTTATGATTCAGATGGATGGAAAGATGGTTCAAATTCACTAACAAGAACAAGAAGTGCAGAAAATAAGAGATTACAGGATACTAAGAATCATCAACACAAGCAGGCTCCTCCTCCAGTAGACCAAGCCCGTGGGACCAAGGATCGCTATGGAAGAGAAATACCAACAAAGCGAGCAGAAGAAGGAGAGATACCCAAGGGTTCTTCACATGCAGATATGCCACGTGGTAGAGGAGATGAAAGGACAGGTAAACCGACGGTAAATTCGCAACCACATTCGCCTACCAAGCGAAATCTTAATCATCGTCGAGATGGCGACGATGTTCAAAAAGCTTCTAATTCTGGAGTTCCTGGTTCTGTTCCTGTTAATTTTGAGGATTCTTCTGATAGAGATAATAGAGGAAGACAGCGGGATAGAAATTATCCAGGAGCTGCAAGGGATATGGTACCATCACGAAGAGAGGATGCTCAGAGGAAAAATGATCATTTACGGGGAGATGATGGTGAGCCTGTGAATTCTGGATCTCGTGCTCAGTCTCCTGATAGAGTAGTTCATGATGGTAAACAGGGTTATGGATCAGAGAAAGAAGATAATGACGCTGTAGATGGGAGACATGGTCACAAGGGAAAAGCTCCGTCTTCTGATGCCAGACGCGCTGTCCCATCTTCAACGGGAAGAAGAGACATGCCGCAGGATGGAACTTCTAGAGATGTGCTTCCTTCTGATGAAAATCGTAGTCAGGCAGGAAATATCAAAAATGAGCATTCTATACCTGGCAACGAAAATACCGGACGATCATTAGATAGAACAAAACCTGACCCCCGTTCTATGGCTACCGAAACAAGTCTACCTAACAAACATCGACCTGACGAATTACCTGGACGTCATAGAAAAGGATATCCAACAAATGGTAGCGAAAATCATGGACAAGCACCTAATCACAGATTTCAGATGTCCAATAGTCCACCCTCATCAGGCCCATATGGACGTGAAAACTCTCAGTCTGATACAGGTAATCGCCAGCAAGTGCGACCTCCGGGAAATAATACTCCTTATCGATCAGAACCTGGAAGATCTAATTATAATGAACAGCGTCCTGTTTCTCCTAGATGTTTTGGACAAGGGGGTGGTTCTTCGGGTCCAGCGGGGGGTGCTGCGGGTGGAGATGGATATTCGAGGTCACCTCCGCGGGTTCCTTCTCGAGAGGGAGGATCGCCTCCTCGTGGAGAATCGCCACTAAGTGGGAGAGGAATACCTGGGAGGGATACTTCTCCTGGTAGAGATCTGCCGCCACTGAATACCCCTGGGTCTAGATCTTCAGGTGATGATTTTTCACCCACGGGAAGTTTATCACCCATGAGGGAAGAATCTCCAGCTGGTGAATCACCTGGTTCATCGTCTGTTATGCCAGATGGCTCATCTGGTGGTTCACCAGGTAGTCTATCATCGGGTAATTCAATGGCTGGTGATTCACCAGGAGGATCGCCCGGAGAATCACCCGATGAATCTCCAGAAAGCCCGCAAGATTCCCCATTAGACTCTGAAATGGGCTCTCCAATAGAGTCACCTGTAAATTCTACAGCAAGTGGATCTCCTCTCGATTTAATCCAGGAACAATCCCCAATTGAAGATTCTTCATATCGCTCACCAATGGGTAGTGAACCCGCCAGTCCAGCAATGACGGAAAGATCGCGATCTTTAAGTCCTCAGTCTCGCAGAAGATCTCCATCTGGAGGATTTTCTCCGGGTTCAGTGTCAGAGTCTGAGTTTCCTAGGAATTCTAGTCCTGGAGGTGAATCCGGAAGAGATGGAGGAGGAGTCATCAGAAGACGCGGTCACAAAGGTAATTCGAGAGGTTCGATTGATGAGGGACAGTTATCATCATCTAATCAAGAAGTTGATAATGAAAATCCTTATTTAAATAATGATAATGATGATAATTATAATGATGGATGTTGTGGTAATGGTTTCCTTGCTTGGTGTAAAAGTTTTTTGGATTGGTGGAATGGTGTTGGTCGGGAACAGGAAGAGTGGATTCAAATGGATGATCGGGAGGATAAGGGGGGAAGGATGGAGAATTCTGAGGCGAGTCGTGGTGAGGATAGTGGAGATTCGGGTTCGGTGGGTAGTGGGTTGGATGATGGGGACTCTTGTTCGGGGAAGAATCCGTTTGGTGGTGGGGAGGATGAGGATGAGGATGGAGAGGAGGATGATGATGGGAGTACGGTGGTTGGTGATGACGGGGATGATAGTGGGGATGATTCAGATGAGGAAAAGAGTGCTAATGATTTGGATGGTGATAGTGATGATGAGAATGGCTCTGATCAAGAAAATTCTGATAGCGATGCTTACTCGGATTCTGACGTAGAATCTACTGATGAAAATGAAGATGAAACAGAATCCAAGAATTCTTCAGCCGCAACTTCAAGGCGGTCATCCACAGCCGTAGCTTCAGAGTCTGATCATCAAGATTCTATTCACCAATCTCCTAACAATCAAACCGAAAACTCACCAGAAAATATCTACCCAGCAAATAATCAGCACATACAAACACCACAAGATACCTATAGTTATGCACCTAACGACGATCGCTCATACATGGGTCAACCCAATTACCCATCTCAAAATACCTACACCACAAATCCAAACCCCAACACTATCCCACCACAAGAACTAGAAACCGCCAACCCAACCACCCAGCACTCCACCGAAACCAGCACAAACCCCTCCCAAAACATCCCCTCAAACGCCGTAGAACTAGCAACAGACAACAACGACCCTTATCCACCACCCTACACACACATGCCCTTGACCCCACACCAATTATCCCGACCACGCTCCACACGCTTTGAGCTCGCTTCTGAGCGCGACCCCGTAGAATTAGATGTTCCATCTATTGCTCCCACAACGGCATCAACTTCACGTGGAAAATCTGAACTTTTTCTTCCGCCTTCGTTGACGCCTGGGGTGGTTACTCCGAATTATGGCGTTTTTCCTTCTTTTTCTGCGAGAACGCAGACGCCTCAGGGTGGTTGGAATGCGAATTCTTATCATGTGCATTCTCCTCCCCCGACACGCTCGGGGAGTGGAAGTGGGAGTGGAGCTAGAACTGGAACTCCGTCTCGGAATCAATTTGGGGTTGTGCCTTATAATAATAATTATGAAGTACAAACGCAAATGCAAATGCAAACGCAACCGGCATTACGAGAACCGATGAATTATTCTTCGCAGATGGTACCACGGGTAGATAGTTCAGCGCATGTACATGTTTATCCTCCTGCTCCGAGATATGATGCTAGAGGGAATAAATTCGTGGATGGGAGTGGGAATTCTGGGGGCATTTTTGGTGCTGCGGATTTTAATGCGTCGTCTACTTATGTTCCGGGGAGAAGTGAGGAAAGATCTAGAGCGCCAGGTTCGGTTGGGTATGTGGGAAGCGGAAGAAGTGTTAGTAGGGACGAGGATACTGAGTCGGATTTTGGTGGGGAAAATGAGGGGGGTGATAATGAGAGTGATAGCGATAGTGATAGTGATGAAGATAGCGATCTTGATAGTGGATTTGGGACGTATGATGATGATTTAGTTGGGAGAGAGGATGATTTTCAGTTGGGGAATTCGAATTATGGTGGACCTGATGGTTTGAGTGGTTCGGATTCTTTACCGGGGAGCGTTGGTATATCTACTCATGCTCATACTCCTGTTCCTGCGAGAGAAGGATATTATAGTAATAATACTCCTCCAAATGGAAATGCATATACTGCGTATACAGCATATAATCAAACACCTCCACCTCCACATTCCAATCAACAATACAGAAATCCTCCACATCCTGGGTTTTTATCTTCAGCTTCTTCAGCTTCCTCAGCTTCTTCAGCTCCTTCGCATCCTATGTATAATACGTACCATGGGCAGAGAGAAGTTGGAATGGGAGATAAATCGGGTGTAGAACAGGTTGTGGGATCGAGAGGTAAGCGAGATGTATATGGGGAAAATGTGAGATTACCTCGTTTGGATGGGAAAGCTGGGGAAGGTCGGGAAGATATTAGGGGGAAAAGTGGAAAGGAGATGAAGAAGGGAAGGGGAAAAGAAAAAGGAAAGGAAAGAAGGGGGAAAGCGGAAAATCCGAAGAAAGATAGGCTGCCTGTAGATTCGTCACCTTTGGATAATTCTTATGATGGTGGAAAGGGGGATCCTGAAATTTCGGGGGGTTCGAGGCGGGGTGGACGGGAGAGGGAGCGGGAGCAGATATCGGGGGAATATGAGAGTGGGAGTGAGAGTGATGAGGAAGTGGGGGAAGTAGAAGCGGAGGAATTAGAAGAGGAATCAGAATCTGAACCTGAAGAAGTAGGAGAGGAAGATAGCGATATGGAACTCATAATCTAGATGTTGATAATGATGAGGAGATGGATAACGATGGGGAAAGTTCAGTGTCGCCCTCTGCAGATGTGGGTAAAGAGAAGAGAGAGAAGAGAGAGAAAAGAGATAAAACGAAAAATAGAGGTGGCGAGGGAAAAAGAGGGGGGAGGGGAAAGGAGAGAAATGGGAGTGGGAAGGATCGGAGGAGTGAGAAAGGTGATAGAAGTGATAGAAGGAGAAATGGAGGAAGAGAAAGAGAAAGAGGCAGAAAGCAAAACGAGGGCGATGGTGTAGATGTTAGTGGAAAATTGAAAAAAACCTGGGAGTTTTTGAAGAAGTTGGATTATCATGAGAACCAAAGATGATAGATATGTAATATGAAAAGGCTAGATTCGCTTGGATTAGTAGTCGTTAGATATAATTAGAGAAAGATCCTTTTGAATTTTCACTAGTCTTCCGTTCATTATTGAAAATAAATTATCAAATTTTTTGAAAATTTAAATAATCATTAATTAAATTAACCAATTTCCTTAAGAAAACAATTTTTATTTGATATTTTATTATCATTTTTATTTCATTCAAGATGTTTCAATCTTTTAAGTTTGTTTATAAATCTTATATAAAGTGAAATTCAAAACCTCAATCATTAATATTTCACTGAAAAGAATTATTAAAAATCTGAAATTTTCAGGATTAACTAAAATATAAATAAAAAACTCGTAATTAGAATTTTAAAAGATTAAATTAGTAAATAAATATGCTATCAATAGATGAAAATCATCATTTTTGATATAAAAGGGTGATCCGAGAGTGGGGTACTAGATTTTGCTACTAGATGAAATGTACACCCTATACCTCTGTACCTTGATGATGATTCATAAATGGTATAATTATGATTTCTGGAATCTTGTTTCGAGTCAATTATTTGATTCTTTTGACTGGTATCTACAGCTACAGAGAGACAGAGAGTGGTACAGTGTGAGGCCACCCACCATTGAGTGTGTTGACACTGAAAAAAATATTGAAATCTTGATATTCAACATCTTTCAGTCCGAATTCCACCAAAATACTATTTGAGTAGTAAAATGGATTACATCTTAAAGTTTCAATTTGTTTTAATATTTAACAAATATAAAATATGATATCATTATAATTTTGATTGGAACTTTCGTTCGAACCTATGTACTCATTCATTGGTGGATGCTGCTTATGCACAGATTATGTTAGATTTATTTAGGAAAAATCAACAACGCACCTTCATCATCTTTATTTTCCGTTGTTATACTTGGATCTTCTTATTCACTGTATCCATCGATAATTTCATTCTCATTCTTTAGTTTCACTATGGCAGAAGCACTCGGTGTTGCTAGCAGCGCTGTCCAACTTGATGATGGGATCTTGAAGCTCAAATATTTCTGGAATGCAGTGAAAGATGCCCCAGAAGAAATGCTGTATATTCTGGATGAATTAGATACTACACATTTGCTACTCAAAGAAATTGAGGATAGTCTTGGAAGTCAAACGATGTCACCTGCAGCGGCTAGATCACTTCGGTTGTGCCAAAAGGGCATGGATACATTGAACAATACGGTAAAAGAGCTGGGTAAAGAAATGCAAAAAAGAAAGAAATGGAGTGGAGTGAAGGTGGTGATGAGAAAGGAATTACTTGAGAAGATGAAGAAAAGGCTCGAAAAAGCGAATTCATTGATGACCATGGCCCATCAATACTACATTGCGTGTGTTTATCTTCTTCAATTTTCATTTTTGGAGTAAAAAATGTCTAATTTATTACCAGGAGTCTAAGCAAATCGACATACAATGAACAGGTGAGATTAGCTATGCTACAATTCTCAGAGTTCGTGGGTATCCGGAACGCCTTGCACAGCTTAACATCAGCTGGATCTACCTGCATGGCTCAACAGCAGACTGCTGAAGCCAATACATCAAGCTCCTCGGATACGCTGACTGGAAAAGATGCAATATCAATTTCCGTGGCTAGAAAAGCACTACCGGGACATCAAAAGATTCTACATGCCAAGCTCAGACTCCCTTTCTTCTCAGGTGTATGGGGGCTTTGTGGTTATCGACAGTCAATTTCTGGGTGGAAATTCACTCCAAAGACATATAATGTTGTTGGATACCGTGCACCAATAATGGTTGCAGCTTCATCGGGAGATGTAGCTAAGATGCAAGAACTATTTCAGACACATCGGGCAAGCCCGTTCGATGTAGATCCTAAAGGGCATACTCTTCTTCACGTAGGGAGCCTTTCATTCCTGTCAAAAAAAAAACATTTATATTGATTTGATAAGAAAGCAGCAATGTCGGATCATAGCTACCAGTCATGTCAGCTTTTGGTAGATCAAGGCGCAGATCCAAATGCACAGAATCGTTCTAGTAGGTAAGTACACTACATCGTTTTATTAAAATTAGACCCCAGCTGCAGTCACTTATAAAGCTTCCAGTTTTGCATGGCGGGGTTGTTGTTCGTTATTCGAGGGCCAGGAAGCTATTTTTGATACCCTGCATTATTTAGTTTCCAGGACCGATTGTGATATTGTTTATGAATTAACCAAATTTCCGATGGCCTTACGCACCTTTTCTTCGGAGATATTCCAATGGCTACTCTACTCAGGCGAGGATCCCATTCATGAACGAAGTCATCGAGACCGCGCAATGCTTATGCTATTAGTAGCTCAATACATGGGACGACATTGTCGCATAATTAGACGAGATATAAAGACTTTCCTGTTGTTACCCCTTGCCGGGATGGATATGGAAAGTTGTTTTCGAAACATGAATCAATCCGAATACTCCCAATTACTGGAGGACATTCTATTTGTGTTTATAAGCCATTTTTTGGGAGCATTGAAGATGCGAGGTAAAGTGGCCAACATTGATGTTAATGGAATACTGGAAATCACATCTGATAATGAGGATCTGGACGTAAGAGATGAGCAATGTTTGAGGGATATTCACGATCTCATAGATGATATAATATTTTCTGGTTCGAAGGTTTACTACTTCGGCGCTACATTCGAAGGCTTTCCCCGTAGTTTCCTCGATCAACTTATATCCGGAATCACCTTTTATATACACCAAGGCCGCGCTGATCCTATATATCCAAAAGAATTTTATGTTTTTTTCGAGCCAAATATCAGATATATCTTCGGGATGTGGCTCGATAAACTCGTATCTGCAGGGGTTGATCTCATTAGATACGGCCAGTGGGAAGAGAAACACTGTCATGAAGTTCACTACTGCACTTCAGTATATGGAGCAGATTATTACCGACGGGGAGACTGCCGAGTAGATAAGTACTGGAGGTTGTTAAGTTTTACATACGGCTCAGCGAAAAGCGACTGGCAATTCTGGTTCACTGAGGATGTTGAGTACATATTGAATGACGAACTCGCCGATTTTTGGGATATGGGTTGAGAATCCCGAAAGACAAACGCCGAGCGATTGGAATTCTGATACGTAGTCCATGGGACAATCATCTGAGGGAGGGGTAGTTGATATGTGCGGCTGGGAAAATACATGACTTTTTTTCATGCAACACTTACCATTCGCCATCGATCTTGAGGAGTCTATCTGAATGAGTTTGAGGAAGAATTTTGAGGCATTGCTTCATATATGAGAATTTACTTCATTGGGTATTCTATGAATGGTTTCACTGTGGATTTTGCTATGAGAGTGAAAAGGGCTTGAAAGATAAATTCCAGGCGGCTTGTGGATATTGAGATTTGATAGGGATCCGAAGAAGATAATAGAAAGCAATCAAATTTAACTATATGAATGACTCACCAGCGTACCAAAATAGTAATTCATCACCTCCATACAACTTCGGATCAAATGCAGGCAACTACTAGTGCTACGGTTTGAAATGTGAAATCAGCAATAGCGCTGCTATCTTCAGCCGTCTGGTAGTACTTTAAAGCTCAAGCGATGATACCACGTTTGCGAAGTAGATCAGATGAAATATGCTACTTCAAAAATCATAATGATGTTCTTCTAGGTCACTTGATGCGTCTACCTCTCATACTCCATTTTCAACCAATTTAACCAAATCAGATAAAATCTAAAAAGAACAATCTATCACCAGTAACAAAACTCTAGCAAATAGCCATCAGGAAACCCATCTAAACATATCCTCGGTATCTAGTACCCCCATATCCCGATCCACTCTCATATCCATACTCCCTCTCCCTCTCTCTCATAATTCTCGGTCTCGCATGTCTTTCTCTGCTAAACTCACTTCTTTCTCTCCTCCCTCGATCTCTATCCCTGTCACCAGAACCCATCCTCCAAATCTCCCTCTCCAAAATCCTCTCCACACGATCCTCCACCCGTTCTACCCGGCCCTCAGCCCTCTCTTCAAATCTATTCATCCTAAATCCCCTCTCATTATCCCTATCCCTCACAGCAAGCATATCCCGATACCTCTCCGCATCCACCAAGCGGTCATTTCTCGCCTCGGAAAATCCATCATTGATTCTGCGAAGAAGGACGTCCTCATCTATTCTTCCCCTATGTTCTCCTTCAACTCTTCGTTTCGTATTCTCCGCCTCTTGATCCTGACCACGGGTTTGGGGAATACTGCGATTAAGATCTCCATTTGCATTGAGCCAGGATTCGCCAAAAGTACGTCCGGTACTGGCATTGGGAATCTTGATTCCCATTACTTCCATCCTACCCTCTCTTCTACCTTCCTCCCTCTCAGATTTCATTTGTAAACCCTTGATATCTCCCCTGATCCCATTTAATCCACCATTTAACTTCTCAATCTCCTTTTCCCGCGCTAACTCCTTCTCCTTCTCCAATTCTTTAATTCTGGCTGCTAATGCTGCTGTATTCGGAGAATTCTGGTTTGCTTGGGCTATGGCAGGGACAGTGTTATTACAGGCACTTGAGAAAGTATTGTTGCCTGCGTTTGAGTTTGAGTTTGACTTCGAAGGCAGAGGTGGTGGAGGTGGAAATGAAAATGGAGGTGGAGGTGGAGGTGGTGCAGGTGGAAATGAAAATGGGGGAGGTGGCGGTGGTGGTGGAGCTGTTGGATGCGCAAATGTCGTATTCAACCCGTTAAACCTCTCGCCTAGCCGTTGTATGACATCGATGTTATGGAATAAATCTGAGCAACTAGGTCTTCTTGCTCTTTCTCGTGCCCTTTCCATTTCCTGATCTAGCGCCCGCTCTCGCTCTTCCGGATAATACATATTTCTCTGGTAAGGATTGAAAGGGACGAGGGTTGGCTCAACAACATATGCAGATCGGTAAGGAGGAGGGATAGGATCGACACGAGTAGGCCGTACAAATTGATATTTATCTTTGGGAGACTTGGAACGGCTAAGCATTTTACCTCTGCCTTTCTTTTTACGTATAGTGTAGAGACGGGGCCAGCACATTGACGGTGGGTTGAGGAAGGGAGTTACGTACTCAAATTCATAAATTTGAGCTGATGTATCAATGTGCGAGATGATTGATGGAAGAAAAGATATGTGGCCAAGGAAACATTTGTTGATCAAGGGTATATTTAAGCACACACTAATTGTTATACAGATATCTCCTTCCAGTATACATTATAGGAGCCCTGAAAACATAAGGAACAAAATAAGTGGAGAACAAGGATTAAATAACTCATGCACATAGAACTAGGAATATGTACGATGGGCCTAATGCACGTTTCAATCTGTGAACTTATTTGCAGCTTCTTGCAGAGGTTCTTTCAAATAACATAAAGGGGAATTACCCCTCAACGTGAAGCTGCATTTCCATCCTGAATAATGACGTTGCAGTAGAACAAGAAAGGCTTTCGGAGATTAGCAAGGTAAAAGGTATCACTGCTTATATGTACATTTGTATCAAACTTTGAGTCGGTTCATGCACCTTCCCGATTGACCGAAACGGTGATTCCAAAGCCATGGACAGACACCCCTACTTCAGCGAAATATCCTCAAATGCTCTCACAGCTTTGCGTTTTTTGAACTCTTCTTCGAATCTTGCTGCCATGCGAATTCCTTCCAACAGGTTAGCTAAAAGATTATATATAATTATTTGAGGGATTACTACCAAAGTCTTCTGTGCTCCCGCCTCTATAATAACATTTACAATGACCGGAGCACTAGCTTTAAACCCCTCTTCTGTAGCTTTTGAAAGCTCATCAGGAGAACGGACTAAATAACCTTTTCCCCCACACATCTCCGCTACTTTCTCATAGCCAACCTCCCATCCTAAACTTGTACTTCGTAAGCCTCCCTTTATACCTCCTTCACTATTCTTTTGCAACTTCAGCCACTCGTCTGAACTTTCGCTATCGCCTTGATACACTCCACCATTATTCATGACAAAGATAAGGATATCCATCCCATACCGCGCCATTGTTTCAACTTCTGCCAGTGAAAATCCGAAAGCAGAATCCCCTTCTAGACAAACAACCTTCTTGGCAGAAGAGTGTGGTCCAGTTTGCGCTTTTGGCAAATGCGAATTATACGCACAATGAGCTGCAATTGCATAACCTAAACCAACGCCCATTGTTGCGTGTGTACCAGCATCAAGACGCAATCTTGGATGTTCAACGGGAAATACACTGCGTGAAATATCCATTGTATTCGCTCCTTCAGACACATAAACGACACCACCATCTCTGGGCGGAGATAATTTGTGGATGGTCTCTTTGATTACATCGAAAACTCTGCCATATGTCATCGGGATTTTATCCACCTTCGCGAACTTAGCGGCGGTAGCTTCATTTTTGCTGGCACTTGCTTTCAGTTTTTTCACGTATGCTGAAGATGCATCATACTGCCATCCGCGGAGAGCATCAATTAATTGTCTGGAAACCACACTGATATCACCGATTATTCCTAGTTCAGCATTACCGTTATTCCTTCCAATTTCTTCTGCTGCTATGTCAACCTGGATTATCTTTACATCCTCATTATATTTTGGTACCTCGCCATAATGTAGTATCCAGTTGAGTCGTGCACCGAGGACGAGCACAACATCGGCTCCTTTAAGTGCTGCGGATCTAGATGTTGCGGTATTAGATGGATGAGAGTCAGGCAAAACTCCTTTCCCCATGGGAGTTGGTAAGAAAGGAATATTGGTCTGGTCAATCAATTCTCGTATGACAACTTCGGCTTGAGCGTATGCGGCACCTTTTCCGACAATGACAAGTGGTGCCTTTGCAGACTTGAGTAGTCGTGCAATCTTTTCTACAATTTCGACATCAGCTGCAGCCTGTGGTGCAGCAGTGACTATTTGTGTTGATCTATATTCTCCTTCCTCTTGTATAACATCTGCGGGTAAGTCAACAAAGCCAGTGCCGGGTCTTCCATACCACGATGTTCTATAGGCTGTCGTGATTGAATGTGATATCGTATCGACGCTCGATCGTATAGCAATCTTCGTGTGCGGATTCAACAGAGATATAGCATCAAGCTCTTGAAAAGCTCCCTTTGTTACCAAATGTGTTTCGCTCGAGCCTGCGAGTAAAAGCATTGGGAAGGCATTGGCGGACGAGTTACCTATACCTGCCATCGCATGAAGAACCCCTGGGCCACCAACGACAAGACAAACTCCAGGCCGTCCTGTTAAGTATCCATACGCCGTTGCAGCATAGCTTGCGGCTTGTTCATTCCGGAACGCGATGAATCGAATCCCTAAAGCAATTGCTTCCTCCGCAATTTGTACTACCGGTATACCCACCAGACCAAATATGACCTCAACCCCAAGGTCTTTGAGAGTATGTGCGATCAATTGAGCTCCACTATAAGTGGTCATTGTTGGTTATTATGTGAATATTTTGACGGAGCAGCTTGGCGCAATGCCCGCTCACCTCGGGATCACCAGATTTGAGCTCTTATCAAAATGCTGATAAGCTTGACTCTGAAACAATGCGCCCACCACGCCCAACAGAAATGACATTCACGGTCCCTGAGTACTCCTGCCACAAACAATCTCAGATTTATGCCATTTGGAAGTCTATGAAGCTTTTATGAATACCAGAATTCATCCTATGAAGTTCTAATCATAACTATTTAAACGGGAAATTGCCAGCTCCTTCCTCATCTTCACGCATCACTCTGCCCATCAACGAGTCACATCTTCTCCAGCTAGATAACACATTTAGCATTCCAGCCTTTGAAAAGTACAGATATGGCTTCATCTTCTGCTTCTACATCTTATTCCACGGACCCTGCTCTTTACTTATATACGTCGTTGACTTCTGGCTCATCGCATATTGTTACTGCTACATCCAGATTAGAGACCATTTTAAAAGCAAACAGAATCCCTTTCAAGGCGGTTGACATTGCGACAGATGAAAAGGCACGAATGTTATGGGGTCGCAGAGCTGGTAAAGATGAATCAGGGCGTGCCAGAAAAATTCCTGGCCTGGTCCAAATGGGACTCGTTCTTGGTGTATGTTAGAAGTCCAATATACAGGATGTGGCTAACAGTGTCAGGATCTCGTCGAGGTTGAGGACTGGAACGAGTACGGCGAATTAAAGCAACATATAAAGATTGTGCCTGTATCAGGTCCGGGTGCGAATCCAGCAATCCAAGCAAAGGCCCCGACAAATACTCAAGAGAACAACAAGCCGGCGGTTGCTCCTGCTGCTCCTCCTGCTTCGGCGTCCAAATCTGTCGGATCTAAACCTCCTTCTGGGACTGCCGAGGCGACTATCACACTAGCCATGCGACAAGCAACCCAAGAAGCGGCACAGAAGGCAAAGGACTTGAGCAGGAAGGCCACAGAAGTATTGATTAGTACTACCAAAACCGAACCCATGAAAGCACCCGAGCCTGTTGTGCCAACTGCATCCACCCCTACGGAGAGGCAAACCTTCGCGGCAATCACTATACTACAGAATTCCGACAACTCAACCTGGAGCGCTGCGCCCTTTTCCGAGTCGACAATCTCCTAGAAAATCTACACATAAATTGGAGTCTTTGCAATCGTTTAACTACCGCAACTTGGCGACCAATTGATATTGATCCGCCTATTGTGATGCACCGAGGTTTATCTGTGTCTTTGGTACCTACGGAAGAAATTAAGCAAGTCGAGGAAAAGGAAACGATACCCGAGGAGGATGAAAGACGAATAATCAGATTCGGGCGAAAGAGGAGTGAGAAATGACTGAATTTTCATACTTGCTGCCTGCTAGATATTGCAATGCCATCTGTTTCGGTGAATACTTTCCCTGGTCTCCCTAAGGGCTATTTTTTTCTATGCATGACTGAGCGGCTTAGGCTGGTAGTGATTTTTACCCCTATTCTTCAATCTGGGAATAGTGTTTGGGCTTTAATGGGTATTTTTTCACTGAAAGCATTTTCCTTTTTACACGGGGTTCCGCGCTTGAATTCTTTATCATTTTAGATAGGTAATTCAAGTTGGACATTCACCATTACCACTTGCACCACCTAGAATCAATTCCGGATGAAAGTTCTTTTCCACCAGAGGCTGTATTCCACCGTACATGAGTGTTCTCATGCTTTCTCGAGTGATGGGTTTTTTTTCTTGAGCCAAGAGTTCCATGGAGTGCTACGAATAAACTTTACTGAGAGCCATATCGTTCAGGAAAAGTCGTGCAGATGAGATGTTCTTGAACACCCAGATCTTTTTTATGCAATAGGACAGAGGCTAAATGTCTTTCAGCTGCTCTGGAAGATTTGCACATTTAGTCTGATCGTTAGAATAGGTTAATGACATCCTAAATTGGCCCAGAAATAGTAAAGTTCGATTTTCTCATCAAATGTTATTGTGCAGCCAAGCGAACAACGAGAGCACTACATACTCAAAGAAATGTCCCCGAACTTGAATAAAGGGATATTTCCGATTAACATTATTTTTTCTCATATGTACCTTCCTTTCTTCTTATGAATATACCCTTGTTAAAGTCCGTTTTCGGCTTGTGACATTGTCAAAGAGTAACAATTTCCTTCTTACAACAGCATCAAGCTGTCTAGACTCACTTAAATTGTTCAGTTTCCACGGCAGTTAGTAAAATATAAGACACTTTACCCAGTCAATAGCCTGCAATATGGTTTTCGACTGGCTACAACGTGCTGTCTCGCCTATTTTCTATCCAATCCCGAGCCCAGCGTTTGCTCCGTTATATCAGAAGAAGTCGGAAGCTCAGAAAAAGCGTAAAAACCTAGAATATGGGATCGAACTGGAATACGTGCTGGCATTTCATGAGCTTGAACTCAACCTTGTAGACGAGGAGGGGAAAACTCCTGACCATGGAATCGAGAAAAATCTCCGATTAGCCATTCGCCGCCACCCAGCATGGAGTCCAGCAGTCAGGGCTGCCTTCGAGAGGACTTCCAAACTCATCTACAATAGTTGGGCTATTCGTGTAAATAACGTCAAGAATAAGGATCAAAACCAGGATTTGGTTAATCTAAGACCCTATCTCCTCGAACCACAATTAATAGTCTTAAACAAGTTGAACGACAAGGTTGCACAAGTTAGAGGTAAGGTTAGGCACAAATTAGCACAGAGATCTTCAGAGAAGATCCCTGGAGCCTATGATCAATGGATCATTTCGACAGATAGTACAGTCGTCGGTCAAGGTTCCTCAAATCTCCATAAATGGCTGCCGCGGATCTCTGGCAACGTTTCAAAACGATGGGATTCTTATGGTATCGAAGTGATATCTCCAGTTCTTAGAAGTAATAGCACTCGAGACAGGGTCGAGGTTGAACAAGTGGTCAATGCACTCAAAGGCGAAGGCGATGAGCTTTACGAAGGCTTTATCACAAATCAATGCGCCCTACAGGTGCATGTTGAACCCCCCAGTCTTCCCGCCTTGAAGGAATTGGCGTGTATTCTGCTAATATACGAAGATGAGATCTCAAGGCTGCACCCTAGATGTCGCCGTCCGGATCATCAGGCTACAAGAGGTAACCTTATTAGCAATCGCACTTTAACATTCTTAGGCCGCAATTTTATCCCATTCGAGGACAATGTAGGGGAAATTTGGGATCAAAATATGGATGCGTCTGTCTTCAAAAAGCGCAAAACAATTCAACAAATTCGCAGTGAGGTTGATCAGCTACAGAATGAGTCGGCAGTCGCTGATTATATGTGTTTCCCTTCGACATCTAGGCTCAGGATGGTAAATTTTCGACGATTGAAATTCACAAAATTCCCACGAACCATCGAATTTCGGCAAGCCCGTGGTTCACTTGATATACAGGATGTCAACTATTGGGTTGATTTCTGCGTGGGCCTAGTACAGCTTGCGGAATACTATGTTGAAAACCCAGGCGCTAGGATTCAATCTTGGGATGGAGGTCACGATAGCCACGACCAAAACCTTGATGTATTTCAATTAATGGAGGATATGAATTTGGATGACAGGACTATGAAATATTGGAGACATAGAGTTGCTAAGTATATGGCGGGGAGTAAAGAGGACGACCGGACTGACATTGAGAGTCTTCCTGCAATTAGGAAGGAGAAACCGTCTTCAATTACTACCTCTACTTCAAGCAAACCTCCTGTGGGACCGCCTGGAGGGCCACCGGGAGGAACATTTGGAGGAAGCTTCGGAGGATCTCCACAACCTGAGCCTTCATCCGGAGAGAAAGCTGCAAAACCTTCCGGAGATGGAAAAGCCAGGCCAGAATCGTCGCCTAGGCTCAAGGTACCACCGCTGATATCTCCTGCTTCACAGGCTGTAGCACAAGACTCATCGTTTAAGACAGAGCCTGAAAAACCCATTTCGGATTTTCAGGCGAGGTTTCTGGGTATAATAGACACCCACGCAAAGAAGACGTCCAATAGACCATTCTTTGATGTAGATACCTCTGAAGGATCCACCATTCCTCCAGCATCTCTGTTTGATCTACCTGACGTGGCCAATATGGAAACTGTCTTACCTCGAGCTGAGGTCGAACTTCCACCTAGATCAGTACCAGGCCAGGAATTTAAAGTGGAATATCCTAAACTACCGGGACTTACACCGGGCGGTGTAGTAGAATATCCTAAGCTACCTGGAGTCAAACCTGGCGGTGTAGTCAAATACCCTACATTACCAGGACTCGGAATAGAAGGTGAAGTCAAATACCAGATCTCAGGGGAAGACTCCGAGAGCTTTTTTAGTGATGACCCATATGCTGACATGTTAAAAGGACAACCAACACTTCCTCCTGATACCGAAGAGGACGGCGAGCCTGACGTTTCACCAGAAAGTTCGTCATCAGACGAGGTTGCTACTTCCTGGAATGACCCAGGTTGGAACTCAGATGACGAGATAATGTTTGGAATTTTTTCCGGTGAAATAGGGGACCCTGAACCTGCACCACCTGGAAGATCCGTACTAGAGTCATCAGAATCATCAGAGTCATCAAGATCATCACAAGAGCCAAAGCCATTCGGCTCGACTGTGGCTAATTCTAAAGCTCCAGTACCTGGAGGTCCATCCAAGTCATCTGCAGGCCAAAATGCCCCAGGGAAGAGACCCGCAGAGGAGCCTCCCGAGGATAAGCAAAATTCCAAGAAGCAGAAGGCCAAAGGCGCTCTTGATACAACCCTGTCCGTTCCTCCAGGGAAGAAAAAAAGACCCGCAGAGGATACTACGGCAGATGAGAAGGATGCAAAGAAACAGAAAACTAGCCATAAAATCGGCGCTGCTAAAACCACAGGTAAATACACGGTTGAAGGGACGATCGAGATTTTAAAGCAATTTCGTGGTTTAGAAGAGCTGGATCTTTTTGCCAACTTGTTGAAGGAATTGTATGATACGACCCCGGAGAACGTAGAGATTGTATCTGAGGCCTTCCATCAATATACGCAGAATCATCGGACGCCGCTGCCCTTCCACGTGCCGGGACATGGCACGGAAAGTGACGAGAAGCTTGCTCAACAGTTGTCGGAAGAGTTTGAAGATGCAAATATGGTTCTCATACGTCAATTACAAAATGAAGATAATGAGAAGGCTACGCGTGAAGCAGGGAGCAAAGTAGTCGCCCCAGAACTGAGAGTTGATCACCCACCTATTGAAAAAATTGGGAAAGAGGAGCTCGAAGTCATTAATGCCGGCACTCCTAATGAGAGATTTAAGATAAAGAATTTCAATAAGAACGAATGGCAGACCATCAACACAACAGCTGTGATTGCTAGTCAATTCGGTGTATGTGGTGCTGCTGCTGTTGTGCACTCGCTTCGCAATCAGTATCCCAACGAACCGTGGATGCCAGGAATGACCAACGAGCGCTTTTTGAAAGATTGGCTTCAAACAGTCCCCAATGTTGGAGATCCCGGCAGGCATAAATATTGGGATGAGGAACAGCTCAATAATGCCGTACAGAGACTGACAAAGGGCCAGTTTCAAGTTGTAGTAGTTCACAAAGGTCTCGAGAACAATGACAAGAATGCTGCTGTCTCTATCCCGGAGGCAGCCATCCTTACTGCGAATGGTGAGCCAGCTAGGTATTTGTATTTGCACTTGACGCATTCTGCTTTTGTAGTTGGTTCGAAAGGTGTCCACTACCAGCATTTCGAAGGAATGAAAAGGAAAAAGGGCTTTGTAGAGCATAAGTAATGATGAGAAAGACACAGCTGGAGGAGGATCAATTTTCCGTCATGGCACTGAAATGTCTGTTCTTTATTTAGTGGGATGATTATCTAAACTGTATTTTTTTGCATACATCCAAATTTGGTTTTCTTAAAACGTGGATTTTTGTTTTATTTAGGACGGATTGAATTGTATTTACTTACTCGCGCGCTGTCAAATCCTACTTCGTTAACTAACGGAATTTTTGATGATGAAATTATTTCCCTGAATTAAAAGCGCAAAAAGAATGGAAATCACCAATCGATAATCCTCAATGCGTGATTTTGATCCTATAGGTAAGAAGGTTTGATGTTAAGATCCAAAAGAAATTGAAAATTTGGAGCGTAATTAATCATCCTAACCTCGGAACATAAATGCAATGCATGGAAATATCCAATGTCTGCGAGAGCCACATTGAAGTATAGGGACCTTTTTGGATGGCTTATCATAGTCGTACTTCCAGTACAATGAATCGGATTAATAAAATCTGTATATACCGATACACTTTGTAAACTACTAAATAAGCGAATTTTAAGTCCCGAAGTATAAATATAGATAAAGATCGTAAACGACGATATCAACATAAGCGAGATGGAAAAAAAATTACAAGATCAAAAAGGCAATTTTTATTCTACTTGCCATTTGATAGTACACCAGATATGCCAAAATACAAATAATAATAACCACTTCTAATATGTTACGAGACATGGCGCAATATTATCCCTCTGAAATGAATTATGTTGATTCCGAAATGGGCTAACTTGTGTATTGGTCAATGCCCTGTTTAGCTCATTCGCTAATGAGCTCCATATACTCGGTTCAGGTAAAAATGAGGCGATTCACAAATGAACTTGGCTTATTCAAAAATATCTTTCGTACTCTATCATATTATTCAGCAAATAAATAGATCAAGATTTATAGAGAATTAAAGCCTATTTATGTAGATTCAAAGCCTGTAAGAATTCAAAGCGTATAAGAATTCAAGATTGAAAATAGAAATAGAGGACGATGATAAGGATGGAGGCAACGATGAGATTGAGAAAGGGGTTAAAAGGGGTGTTGAAATAGGGGCTGGAGGCGACGATGAGATTGAAAATGAGGATTGGAGGAGTCAATTGAATGTAATATCTTATTATTTTTACATAAATTTAGTTCATTTGGGAATGCCCTCAAATTTTCCTATTTCGATATCAAGTAGCTCATTTCGCAACCTAGTACATTTAGGAATGAGCCAAGTCGTTTTCAGAATCCCCAAGTTGTGCAATTTTCCCGTGACAGATAAAATCCAAGATAGATCTAGAAGGAACGGTTCCCAAAATTTATACTTTCAGAACTCCAATAAGATCTTACAAGGAGAGAAACACATACTTTTAATTCTAGGGCACAGAGTTTGATGAAAGAACCACCGAGCAGGCTTTTTCTGCAAGCAGATCACATCTAAGCATAATTATAAACTTAAATCAGAGAAGACACCAAAATTTACAAAGTGAACATTCAACCTTTCCAGTTCATTTGAAAAGGCTTGGAGAAGATCTGATCAAGGTTCGAGATGGGAATAACTTATTTTTTTTGTTGAATATTTTTGAAATTGGTGTCTACAATTTGTACATGCTAGTCTAGTGGCCGCTCATGCCACCGATGTATTTACAAACAAACAAGAAAAACTCCACAATATCCCAAATCAATGGATTTTCCGTACAAATTGTGAAGGAGAAAAACAGAAGGGGATGGTGTGATTGGTGAATACAGCCTTGGTGTTGATTAAGAAGGTGCGTATCCTGCGTTGTTTCCTCCCTCGCTCCCTCGATTCTATCTACTATTTCCATTTTCCATTCTTTTACATAATTTATTCACCCGTGGGCTTCCTTCGTCGTCCTCCACCTGTTCGTCGCTCCTCTTCTTCTAATCACCTCCTCTAGCTTGCGATTTTTTACCTCTAGCATACGAGTTTCTTCAGCAAGCCTGTCAAGTTCTTCCTCTAACCTGCTTGCTTTAAGTGTCTCATATTCTGCCATTTCATCCCTTTCTTCTTCTAACTCGCGGGCCTGGACTTTTGACAAGGTGAATGCTGGACGTCCAGGGTGGATCCCCTGTTTCAAATCCTCTCGAGCTTCGGTTTCCACGAATCGCTTGACGTAATATGGTGAGATATTAGAGAGTGGCGGCGAAAGGTACTTGTCAGGTTGTGATTTCCGCTCCTGATGTTTTGGGTTGCGCAGGATGGCGAGATGATTTGTGTATGTTTCGGGTTGCGGTGGTGGTTTTTTAAGCACAGTGTTACGTGGTACGTGCTTAGATTTTGCATCCCCACGACCAACCAACTCTGTAATGATTCCTGTAGTATAAATGGCACTGCGGTGGTGGCATACAATAGAATTCTGTTGAAAACTACAGTAGCTGGGTGGTAAGCGATAATACTCGAGATCCTCTTCATCGATAGTTCGGTCTGGGCTCACTGGTCTGGCCACCGGGAGACTGGGGTTGCCGTTAGATCCCATGGCGATTGGAGGTGTTCTGGGTCTCGTTAAATTGTTGTTATTGGTGTTAGATCCTACAGCGATTGGAGGTGTTCTGGGTCTCGTTAAGCTGCTGCTATTGGTGTTGGATCCCATGGCGATTATAGGTGTTTGAGAGCTTGTTGGATTGCCGCGATTGATTTTGGATACTATGGCGATTGGAAGTGTTCTAGAGATTGTTGAATTGCTGCAACTAGTATTGGATCCCACGGCAATTGTAGGTGTTGTAGGGCTTGTTGAGCTGGTACGACTGGTGATGATTCCCATGTCGAATAACCGGAGACCCATGAGGTAGTATAAAATGAAGCAAAAGATTGTACAGGTTGTAGCAGTGAGGTGGCGACGCTCTGAAATCTCGATTATATTGTGATAGATGAATTTAAAAACGAAATTTGGCTGTGATATAGTACGTCTTATGGTGCAGAGTAGGTTTTTGGCAGATATAAGAATCGTTTGTTGTATACCGTTGAATGGGTTCCGTTATAGATGGTGGGTTATAACTCGTGAGATTAACTGGGTGTAGAATATATATTTAGACGTGGAATGAAAAGAAGGGAAGAGGATATTCTTTTTTCTACTTGAGTGGGTTCTACTATACTAGTTATTTGGAATACAGGAGGACTAAGTACTTGGTCCATAGATGAATAGGGCAAGCCTGCTCTAGCTACATATTACTATTTATAACCAAAATATATAGCTCGAAGCTAAGCTGAACTACTGACAAGAACCCGCAAACCCACCTATGATAACGATGCATGAACTTCTAGCTTTGCTGTCCTAGAATGAAATGTTAACTGTGGCAACGTTATTTGACTTGAGTAACCACTTGAACTTTTGTTGAACCATTGAACCATGAGAGCTGGCATACTTAAAGGTTTATGGAATAGATTACAGATCAAAGATAAAAGGAGCAGAAATACTTGTGAGATAGATATCCATTCATCTATTCTTTGTGACAGTAAGTGTCCAAATTTCTAGCATAGTGAAACCGGTGGGCTTTCCTGGATCCTCCACAGCTCAAAGTATTGAGCAAACACCGAGGCTAGTCATTTCCACAAAATGACAATCATAGCATTTCAGAGAAGGCTTGGGTCCTCACTCAAGTCTTCCATAGGAAGAATCAGAGAGCCATGATAGATACTCTCCGGAAAGATGATGTTTTTCATGTTTAGTTATAGGCTTGATGCACAAGAGACAGAGAATCATGATGCTTGCAAACAGCTACATAAAAAAGTTAATTTTTGGTTAACCATAATGAATTAGGAAACTTACCCTAGATAATCCTCTTTGATACTTCCAATAGCAAACATGGCTCCAACTTCAGGCCTTGTACCTATGATTTTCACTCGGACATGAGTGCCTGGTTCAATGACAGAGTCCTCATTGTTTGTGAATTGGGGTGGTGTTGCATTTGCATCGAATTTAATATCACGAGGAATAAGCTGCATGGCATTAGTATCATGTGTGTGCCGACAATGATGGATAATAGAGGAGACTTACATGAGCAGATACAAAGAGTGGCAAAGGACCAGCATCTGCAAAAAAGCCCACGGCATTGACCGAAGTTACAATAGCATCGACCTACATCAATTATTGAGAAATGCACAGAAATTCAATCACATAGTCAGAGTTCTTACGGTCTCGCCCTTGAAGGGTCTCCAAACTACAGCACGATATCCAACAGTGAACTCGGCCAGTCCACTCCCTGGAAGGATTCTTCCTTCGGAAATATTGAAGGTATCCATAATTGTGATAATGTAGTAGAGCCCCGTACACGTTCCTTCTACATCTTTTAAAAGCTTCCCAGTCACCAGCTCATGCATATTGCGACCAAAGTATGATGGGTGCAGGGTGACCTGACGCTCAAGATTGTAGAGGAAAAACATGTTATTTTTGTGCAGCGAAAGATATAGCGTATTGGATATAGTGGTAGAATTGTAGAATCAATGTTCCCCTGATACGTTATGTGTATCTTTGGGATCGCGCCGCAGCTATCTTGCTTCTTCGTAGAAACGTATAGTACGGTAGAGTGGATAAGGTAAAGTTATCGATATGCCTGTGTAAGAGGGCGGGATTGAAATATTTGTCTATCAAGAGAGTGCTGATCTCTCAGAAGCTTTCCTCCTTAACTTTCACCGTTGAACCTGCTCTTGATGCCTAGTTATCCACCCAGCCCCATATAGCTATCGTAGCTCGTTCGGATCGCAACGTCCGTCTTCACGTCACAGTACGATATTAAAGTGTGCCGAGTCAGTGTTACTATTCTGCGATCAATTAGTCTCCTTTTTTTCGAGTAACAACCTTTTGACGGCCGGAAATAGCTTTCTTTCAACATACATTGTTTGAAAATGAATGAAATTGCAAAGACGTGACACTTTGGCAGGTCCCTGGAAGACGTTACAGAGAATGCGCAAAGGTTTGTCGATGCTGTGGTATGGAATTGTTACTATTGAAGAATCTATAATAATTGTTCAAGACAAGGAGGAAGCAATAACGGCGAGGTTTGAGGGTTACGCGATCCCAAGAGCTTCAAGCCTTTTTTCGCGACGCTAAGGATGAAAGAAACGCTTATCACTGCGTATAATGAAGTACTCGCAGGGTGTCACTGCTTACTAATATCAGTACGAGCACGACGAGCTACTCGTATTGATGCTTGATGACTAATTACAATTACGAAAACATGACATGCCACTCAATAGGCAAAATTTGGTCCATGATATTCCGAGGTTGACAATCCAACACATGCTTCTATATCAACCCCTCGTCTCCAAAGAGTAACCTGCTTGAATAGGCAAATCTGGTTGAATTGATGTATTTATTGCCTTGATTTTTTTCACGTTCTCTATCCTATACTATCCTCTTTTTCCGTCCCCTTCATCTTGTACCAAGAACTTCATTCTCAATGAGTGAATGAGGGGACGATTGCGCCTCAACCTTGAATCATCGACTTAAGTCCTAAATTATATCTACCTCTTTATTGATAAGGGTCGCACAAGCAGATAAACGTTTGGAGTCAAATCATTCATTCCAAGAATGTCTCTGAACCTTGAGAAACAGCTCACCTTTGTATGTCGAGCTGTCTAGCTTGTATTGGGACCTCACAGGACAAGTGCTAATGTTGGATCTAGTACGGGGCCTACCATCACAATCCTACAAATATCCTCATTCATATGACATGTGTGCCCTTAATTTTGGCTACCAGTCTTTTCCTCGTATGGCTCCGAACTCTCCGCGATCCTTTACTGGTGACGAAAGGCATGCTGACAATGTACCGATAGTGCTCCAACAGTCCTACATTAATACCTCTACCATCATGGCTTACTATTCCGAATTTACCTTTAAACTTCAGCACGATTGGATCAATCCTCTATAGCGGGTTTTATATCCTCCTCGAACCTGTCGCAGGCAGCATCCTTCTCCCATTTATCATCGGATGGACCGCATTCTCGAACCACCTCCTTGCTACCTCCTCAAACACTACTTTGGCAAATCAAATCGCTGGTGCTGTGTTCTTTGTCTCATGGATTATGCAATTTATCGGACACGGCACTTTTGAGAAGCGTGCTCCTGCATTGCTTGACAACCTTGTACAGGCACTAGTCCTGGCTCCATTTTTCGTATTCATGGAGTTGTTATTTATCTTCGGGTACAGGCCAGAATTACAGAAACGGATTGACGTTGCTGTGGAAAAAGAGATTACAAAATTCAAATCCGAACAGTCCAATGGCGCCATCAAGAAGGATAAAGACAATTGAAGTATGACATAGTACCGCAAATGTGGCACAAAACAAGGCAACACAGACGGAGCATGAGGCGGGGGTGGAGAGGAAGACGGGGAAATGATTGCAATAGTGGGGGTGGCAGTTTATTTTGAAGGTCAACGGAACTGACCTTACATTGGCATTCAAGTTCAGAATAGGTTTCGAAGGAAGCGAAGTTCATCCGGAAGAATATTCCAACTTGGTGGAGTTAATTTGAGGTGCGAGGCGTTTCCTACTTTCTTGTGCCAGCGAGTTTTTGATATGCAGAGAATACCATTTTCAGTCCCTCGAATAAGTTCCATCAAGTTTCATTTGCATAATCAATGGAATAAGGATCTACTCTACATGCCTAGGTACATCATGACCCAATAAGAGCACAAAAACAAACTGCTTGACTTGGCCATGATTTGGGCAGTAAGGCAAGGAAAAAATGTGACCAAATCTTGGGAATGCCATTCAATGCCAACGGTGTGCGCTTTGTCTCGAGGTCGTGTTTCTAGGTCCATGGAGTTAATTTTACAAATTCCCAAAATGATACACGCCGATGCCTCCTCACCTGTTTCTCTGCTTCACATTTATACATCACCATTTAAAAAAACTATCTCCCGTTTCGAATCTTACATGTATTTTCAATTTTTTTGGTAGGCTTTTGCCAGGTTATATTTTCTTCTCCATAACGCCTGCAAAGTACGGAACAAGTGAAACTCAATAACTGGACTTACTAAGGAAACTAACAAGGAATCATCTCCTGCTTCTTCTGCCTCTCTGTTCTGGTTGTAGCTGTTGCCAGCTCTCCAACGCGCTGTCAAGTTGGTATTCAAGGTCGGACATCTGTCTTCTCACATTGTGTTCTCCCTCTCTCGTCTTTGGTCTCTGTGAGTTGGATGTCCAAAGAGTGCTCATGGATGACACTGACGACACATCATCCAAGTCCAGTGGGCTTGTCATTGCTGAGACATCCGAATCTCTGGTTCTGAGCGGAGGGACTTCGTTGCGAAATTCGTGTCGTCCAGTGGACGGCTGTGGTCTCACCTGCTCAGCTCGAGGCTTTCTCTTCAATGGGAGCAGGGGAAGTGGCTTGTTTGGTGCTGGTGCAGTACCACGGCTGGTTTGTATTTGGGAATTCCATCGCTCAATATCAATGTGGGCATCCTCGTATCTTGGAACTGCTGGACCGGGCAAGGATCCAGGCTCGCTTCCCGTGATTCCCAAGAACTGTGAAACGACTTCTCGTTCAATTGTGTTGAACTCATCGGCATGAGATTTCCATCCATAGGAAGCTGCTGCTTGTCTGGCGGCGCGTCGTGCTTCTACTGTGCCTATTGTCATGCGCTTCAATTCCGCGGTGGTGTTTGAGAATCGCTCAGCTTCACACTTTTTATTCCAGACAGATCGTCCAAACTCACAGCAGAATCCTCCGTTTCCTAATCTGTCGGCGGAATTGCGGTTCTCCCTAATGCACTTTTCACATCTGAAGTTAGTGTGTGTATCTTCCACATGTCGGTACGCTCGACGTTGTCGTCCACGCTCCTCGTCTTGTTCTTGGGCGACATAAGCGCGGATAATCTCTGTGTCTCGTGCTTGTTGCTGGGAGATCAAAAGACTTTGCCGGTCTGTGCATTTTGGGCACAATCCTTCGACGTTGTTAACCAACTTAGGTCCTGCGCATTGAAAATCGAGATCTGCATCACTATCAGATTCACTCTCAGCTTGTTCCCCGCCGCTGCAGAGGAGAGATTTCCAGCTGCTGCGACGAGATGATCGAGAAGAGGAACTAGAATTGCGTTTCTGTTCCTTGGGTATTTCGGTGGCGGGCACTTCAATTGGGATTACCTGATTTTCTCTCAAAACGTGGTCACACTCTCGATAAACGACCTGCACCTCGAATGCTTTGTAAGATAGCCTTGGAGACATACTGAAAGTGGAGCGTTGGTGTTTTGTTTGTTGATTTTGAATAGAAAAGGTATATATATATAGACAGAAATGAAAGTAAGATGTTCGAGAGTAGCTTCTTGACAGAGCTACAATGGCTATTGTCCGAATTAAGTAGATGGTTCTGACTGTTGTTTGGTACTTGACCGGTCTCGATAAAGAACGAATCCATTGTTGAATGTCTTTGCGGAGCAATGAAAGAATTTACCAATGAATGACTTTGTTGGGGCGAACGACGAAAGAGCTTACCTATGAATGTCTTTGTTCGGGACTAGCCTTTTTGTTTCTGATAGGTCAATTCGACAAAGAACGGAATGTAAGACATTATTCCAACTATGCTTTCAAAAATGTTCCAAAATACAACATGTGTTTTGTACAGTCTCAGCTGCGTAACACCCTCTCAGCCACCAACCGGAACGCATCTCAAAAATTCCCAGGTTCACTAGTATGTGACATAACATAAAGGAAACAGAATCATGTCTGAACATGCTTGAACATGCTTCTACACCAAGAAAGGACCTTAGCAGATCATCATTGGCCTTTGATTTCCACTCTGTACTAGAATAGAAGCACATTCTACACGATTTTCTTCTGCGACTTTCGATGAAATGTTCTTGTTTGAAACACTAGATTTCTTCCTTTGAGCCTACATTTGTATATGGCCCATCATATTTTGTCTACACACAAAGATTATTTCTTCACCCTTGGAAATATCTCTTCTCGCTCACGGACTGAGGCCATTTTGCTTCCTTGGTCGATACCAGCCCCCAGTTCTGTTTGACTCAAGTTGTTCACAGGCCCGTTCACGCCCTTGCAGCCGTGTAAAACACGACGGTAAAGATCAAGCTGATTTCACTTCCAACTCGGCGTCGACAATACAGCAACACTAGGACGCGAATCTCCGGACGAACTCTGGAGGAATTTGGTCTGGTCTGAAACCAGGTCGGTGCATCTAGCTATACCATTAGAGTAAAACGATTAGTCCCAATACTAGCGCGGACGAGGACTTCCTGAACAATGTCATTGAATCCCAGAACAATCCCTCTCGAGGAACTATAAAAGGTAGAGGACACGTCGGACAGGATATTTTTTCCTCAGCTTCATCTAAATCATCCATTCAAACCCATATTTTACATTCCATTAAAATCTGAATCTGAATCACCGATCTTAAAGACGAAAACTAACAAAACACCTACAGCAGCCATGCCTTCCCAACCAGTAAGAATGATCCTCTACCAATGCACTCACGAGCTACCTGATCCGAGATACCAAGCTCCCAAAAAGCCCTCGGTTCTAAAGAGAGTGAAGCGAGCTCTCACATTCACGGAGATCATTCGCACACCCTCTGCAGATTTGTGTCCGTTCTGTCAGAGACTGGAGGACGAATAAGCAGAGCGAGATATAGCTGTAGGACTAACTAGAATACCCGCTTCACCGCGGCGTCAAATTAGCCCCCTCCACGAGCACGCGGTCGCTGTTAGACGGAGCAGTACTGTGGCAGTAAGGAAAAGCCCAGTAACCGACACTGGAAGTGAGGCCGAACCTCAGTTTGTCGATCCACTTCCTCCAAGGAACCCGTACAGGGGCACCAACATGGAGGAAATGGACGCTGACTACATGGAGTGGAGGCGTGCGCGGAGTCTTGCTAATGAGACGCCAAGGGATCGGCATGCACGGGAGCTTCGCGAAAGATTAGTCAGGAAGGAGTGGAGAGTCATGAATGCAGCCCGGGAGTACAACGAGTTTGTGCTTGAACAGGGATTAGAGCAAGCACCCCCTATAGACATGAGCCAGCTTTTTGCTCAAGCCCAAGAAGCACGATAACCCGCCCCGGAGTCAGTTCCAGAATCTCCGGAACCTCAGCAAGGGAGTTTGAGGACGAGGATGGAAGGGAGGAAGGCCGAGAAAGCCGACAAGGCAGATAGGGTGAGGAGTCGAGCGCAGGAAATTGCGAAGAAGTAAGTAAACACACCATTTCTTTTATCCTCCGCGTTATGGATTTTATACTGAATCACGACTGACGACTTCTGCTAAGGAAGGTAACGATTTTTACTAAGCGATATGACTTGTACCAACAAACCAAAAAAATAATTATAATTTTTTAAAACTTTACAAAATTTACTCATGGTGTGCACATGTCATGGCCTGAAGTGATAATAATGTGATGTAATCTATCAGTGACCTGAGCCCTTTAAGTTCTCTTCCGTTATTTTGACTATCTATGGTAACTAACGTACAGGTAGGTGCCCCGTATGTATATATGAGGTCAACTTGACGAGCTAGATACCAAATACTTTGTAGATCCATTATACTTACACATATTCTTAGGAGCTGGATTATGCATTGGCGTTTTCTGAATAGATTCATAGATATGACGATCTAGTGGTCTCGTTTACGAGGTTATCCGCCAAATTTACATATAGCCGCAGGACGTTCTTGCCTACACCTTTCATCACTAAATGAAAAATAATAATACCTGTCTCCCACTAGAGATTTTTGGCTCTTCTCCAACCCGAAAAGCCCGTTCTTTATCTCCCAGAGTCAGTTACAAGCTATCACGTGGTCGCAATCATGTGATTTGTCCCAACATACATTCCATGCTAATCTCTACAAAGTCGACCTTTTTGGAGCTACGTCTGTGGTGATGGAGTAGTTTCTTATATATCTCATGAAAATAGTCAATTTGGCTAATACGCACTGTCTATAATAGAGGTAAAGTGAGGAGTCTAGCTCGTCGGTTTAAGAATCGTCCCTTTCTTCACCGGTATTTGTATTTAACCCCTCCTCAATTTGCTGTGTGATGTTAATAACACAATTTTAATTTAGTCCATGATTGTGGCATGTTAGAAATGCTACGATGTCATCATCTACTTCGATTAGATGGAAGTGAGCAAGTCAAACCCTTGGTTGTGGAAGGGTAGAGCAATGAAACTGCCACAAACTGTATCACCATTGAACAAGAAAAGCCATATTCAGAACTCTAGGCAGAGACTGTAGAATAATAGAGAAACAGATATGAAACAATGGTAAATTAAGTCTTTGTATGAATCTGAGTAACTCCAATGTTGGTGATGATAGCGGTGAGATGGCTGGTAATCCAATTATAGACTGAATGTGTACATCTAGACTCACAAGAAATGGTTGAAAACAGCGTCAGAATATCAAGAATAAAAATGGAACAGCAATGGCTTAAGAATTTCTAAACTCTCTAAACACGGTGAGGTTGTCACCGCCGATGACCAGCCAAATCATCTATGCATTTTGTCTGACATCTAAGTTGACCAAGCATGTCTCAAGTACCCTCCTTAGTAGATAATTAACAGTAAGAGAACAAGTCCAGATAGGAATACCTCAAAACTATATAATGTCAAGAATCCCCTTCTCAAAAGTATTCTTTCTTTCATCACACTCACGAATTCAAATACAACTCCATCCAACACACACAGTCGGATTGAGGAACCCAAACTATTTGAACTTCACCAATTCAACAACTAAAGAAGGTCATGAATCAACCAAAGTTGATCGTTGTGTACAAATGTACACACGAACTTTCTGACACCAATATGACCATAGAGCGGGCCAAGACCACGCCCTACGAATTCGCACCTTCGCTTTTAAGAAAAATCAAGAGAAAGCTTAGTGGAGGCACCACCATCAGAAGGCCTTGCATGGATCTTTGCCCAGTTTGTCTGGCAAAGGAGCGTGTATTTAGCAAACAAAGATCGATGGTGGACATCCCCCAGTCTACTCGGAGCCAAACCTTTAGCCCTCAAGCTTCCGCACGCATGTCATCAACGCCGAATCTTGGTTCTTCATCTGCGTTTGATTCTCAACCAAAGATTCCACCACAGCCATTTAATCTTGCAGAAGGCCCCCCTCCCTTCCCGGTTGTGGAGGCATTGACTGCCGGTTGGGATGCAAAGTCACGCCGAGAGGAGATCAACCCTCGTGGACGTGCTAGGGCCGTCCCCATGACAGGCTTATCACCGATGCCACCTCCACCTCCAGAGAAAGTAGCTCGCATGCTAGAATCCGAAGGTGGACCAATGAGCAAACCTACAGGGCGATGAAGGAGCGTGACGAAGGTTATGTTTCTTTCAATCGCTTTCCCGATATCTTCGAGGAGAAAGAGCCACCAGTCGACCCAGCACTCAAAGAATCTCAGGACAAGAAGCGAGAACCTACCGAGGGTGTTGAAGATGGAAAATGACGAGACGCAAGACAGAAATTGCATCAAGAATGTCACGATTCTCTTATCTCGCACGTTTTGTATGGCTATGAATTCCGGAGTTTCTTTTAAATGATACCCAAGAACACACGATTTACGACAAGCATGGGCTCATAATAAATTTACAAAAAAATGTAAAGGGAGTTTTTTTTAAAACTGACAGATTGAAATCTGTTTTACCTGTAGAACAACCTTTTCCCACCCCACAAAAATTAAAATGAAGCAACTTAAACCAAACCTAACAAGGAACTGATGCAAATGTGGCTCGAAAGAAATTCAATAATACATATAGACAGACAATAAATACCTTTTCTGGGTTTAATATGAAAGAAACCAGTCAAAGCTAGATGCTATAGCTAACGAAGAATATATTTTAAAAAAGACAGTGCTGCACAATTTTTACAGTATTATTTCATTACCACCACTAGACACATTATGTTTAATTCAACCATAAAAATAAGAAATGAAACGTAGATCTGGCAGTTCTCAGCATGCCACTCGGAGAATGCTCTCTAAAGGGGATGAAAATGAATGTGGTAGAAAGTCACGTGACTAACCCCCTGAATCAACCGAAAACGTGCAAATGTGAATTTAGCTGAAAAATACTATCCGGGAGTATCATGTAAGAAAATTTTTGTATAATAATCAAATTCTTGAATATACTTTGTCAAAGTTGCAGGCTTCAATTGGCTCCGTTCTAGATCATGCCAATTGGTAAAAGTAAGTCTGGAGCTGCAGGGACAGTCAAACGGTGCCGGCGCCTTGGGTCTCAGCTTCGAGAGTGTAGAGACTGAATAGTTAGTAAACACATTCTATACAGCGAGAGAACAGATGCTCTATTATGGGTGGACATTCCTAGTGGCTCTTTGGACCAAGTGACCCTCATATAAACAAGCGCATTTTGTGTACTCAAATGCCCCTCTAGTCGTCAAAAAGCCTAGCCGTTAGAATCTCAACTGTATACTCAAATAGATACCGAACAGTATCAGAACAGCTCCTCGCAAGATCTATATAAGGTTGGAGGCATCCTCTTTTACTTATATTCTTCTTTTTCTCATCATCAATCAGCTTAGTAACAACATTTCGAAGACACACCATCTTTCAGAAAATTTTACTATTAGCAAATCAATCAACCGAACAACAAGCTTATTACTCAAAGAAATCAACATGGTGCAGAACTTTATTCTCTACGACTGCGGACACAGAGAACTCGAAAGCCCTTCTCCCCTCAAGAGGCTCAAGAGAGCTCTTAGTCTCAAAAGGGTTTTGAGTAACAAGGTCAGGGAGCCGAAGGACATCCGAGTTGATGGAGCATGCCTAGAATGCCGAAAATATCCTATCGGATTGCTAATTGGCGACCAAGTATTTCGTCGTGTAAACAACCCGATGGAACCTGCCGTTATTAGGGAGGAGAACACCCCTTCCGACTCCTCCGACGAGCCAAAAGCAGAAAGCCAGCAAGAGAGGTCTTCTAGCGAGGAAGAAGCGGCTCACGAAGAGGACGTAGAGGAGAGAGAAGGATTAGATCACGGCGTCGTAGAAAGACCACCAACTCGTATTCCTCGACGACCCGTGGGTGCTCCCCTTGCCCAAGAGCATCCAAAGTCCGCCGAGTCCAGTAGTGGAGAAGATCCATTCGCAGACGGAGAGGATCCTTTCAAGGAAGGAGAGCATGCCTTCACAGACGGATATCTCCATGAGGGTATCAATCGCTGGATATCGCTAACTGAAAAAGAGCGGGAGCACGACAAAGGAGCATTGGGAGCTGACGAGTCGACGATTATAAGTGACGAACAAGAAAAGGAGTAAGTCTGTCGTCACGAGAATCTGAACTCATACTCTGAGCAGATGATCTGATCAGGACAGACCTTCAAGGCAATGTTCTTCATAGACAGGCAATTTTTCATGAACGGTAACGAAACCGAAAGAGCATGACTGTTATTCGAATTAAGGAAGGCGTTTTTACTATATCAATAAATTTAAATTGACCAAAACAAATCAGATTAATGTGAAACCATATGCTCATGTGCAATAAGAATTTAACTAATGTGAATTATGACTTATGTAAGATTAAAAATATAGCTTAAAGCTATCAATTAAGCCCTAGGCTGGGAATTAGAACTCCAAAATGTGTCATCGAAACTATGGGAGCAAAATATATCGTGGTAACAAACCCTTGTGTTTCCGTCTTACCTGCCTTTTACTTGCGCTGAGAATCACTACCGTCCTGATAAAATCACCTACGGGCAATAATATATGAACCATCGACTAAAATTTTTACACAGCGATATGAAGATGTACAAATTACCCCCTCATTTAAGCATTTTTACCCAAATAGTTGTCTTGCAACGACGAGGTTACGCGAGCCAATAAAATCAGTGTAGATAAAGTAATATACGCCACAATATTTTCATAACTTCAAAGAGAAAAAGTTCTAGAAGCAGGGTATCAAAGCTAGCTTGCTATTAGTCAATGGTCAGCACTAACTATTTGAGGTCGAAGACCTTAGAAATTTCTACATCTAAAAAGTGCAGGTATAGATGATCGAGATAGTATCTGTCTGGTGTGTAAGAATCACATGGTGAGTCACTTTATGTATTATCATCCAGCCAACATATCCCCAATGTTGGAATATTAATTGATAGTAAGTATATTGATGCACATCATGACACATAAGAGCATTTTCACTACGAAATATTCATCGGCACAATAGCGACAGGATTATCTTTCGCAGTTACTACTCGTAAAGCATAACAACATCTAGAAAACCGCTGATTAGCATAAATCTTCTCAAAAGCTGTAAACTTACACAATTTAAGATCAAATCGAGCCAATCGAGGGTCCAATTAGATGTCACCCGAATCCCCTAGACACATCGAGAATAATCACGTGACTACGTGCAACCAACCACCACTTGAATGTCGCATCCTTGTTTCGGATAGCTTATCTTTCAAGACAATTTACCACAAAGATAGCCCATTCTAGAATATTTACTAGCTAGAATCGGCTATATTGGCCCGTGATGCAGATTCTCAAAACAATATCGGAACAAGGTTCTGTACTAAACATAAGTGAGCTAAAAATCCCAAATGAATCTAGCGACTGCTTTTTAAAAAATCAACGGTGGTTGACTTGCAAAAACACACTATACGGTTTTAACCGCACAGAGTAACAGGAAGCCTTCTGTAAGTAAGCATGTCACCAACCCTTTCCACCACGTTCGCTTGCGGACACGTAGAAACTACCTCGACCCGAATCGGCACTGAACGAGTACCAGGATTTAAGGGCATTATCCGAAATTTGAGTTGCGGAAGCTCGCCCAGATTTGTGCAAGCGGATTCCGCAGCTTTGTGCTCAAGTTGTCGGAAAGGTAGCCCCTCACTTCCGCCCCTTTACACGCGAGGTAAATCAGTCAAGTTCGAAAAGTCAGTTCAATATATAGATGAGAAGGAACGCGAAGAGGTGGATCCAGATCCGCTCAGACGTCACCCTATTATCACTGATACGGAGAGCGAAGAACTTGACGATATTTGTGTAGATCCGTTCGCTAATAAGTTTGCTGAACTTTTCAAGAACGGCGCTTATGATTTCACACGCAAGCATCGGGATGATGTGGACGAAGGGTTGTACCACCGTGAAGTGGTTCCAATTACACCTGTGTTGGGGCCAAGTGAGCCACAAAGCCCCCCGGAAACTGAATGTTTCCTCCCGTTGCCAATGTTCTCGTTTGAAGTTGCCGGTCAACCAAGCAAAGTAGGGAGCATTGTGCTTGCGATCGAAAAGAAGTCGAAGAACTGATTTGAAGATGATGAAAAGAAATGTTGCGCGCTGTTGAATGTTCTGTATTTTCATTTCGTATCAACTGAATAGTATCTCGAGAATAACCCTAAATTGAACAGAAACCCAAACCCTGAATCAATATTTTCTACCCATGCGATTGACACGCTCCCTTTTTTTTTCTCTCCAAAACTAATGTGCACAAAGATTGTGAAAGATGATAGCCCTCATAAGGAGTGAAATAGTATGCTGAGTAATGCTGCATGCTAGCTTTCAAAATAAAATATTTCCCACACAAACAGCAAATCATTGCCATTGAAGTATGCTTACATCCCAAATCCTTTCACTTCTCAGGAGTCGCTTGTCTTGAAGGTCATGTGATGTATCTTAAAAACATGGAAAAACGTGGTTAAAACATGGTTTGGAAATGAGTATTGGGTTCAACAGAGTACTATAAGGTATATCCTTAATTTAGTGTTACGAGGGAGGATCCAGCACTCATCACAATCATGAATATGTATGCTAGACATTGAGATGCTGATATTGTATGTGAAATGGTAATGACAGGCCAAAAAGAGCACTAGGAGATAATAAAACGTGATCAACATCAGATTTGACTGACGTATATTTCTACCTCAACAAACCAGTAGAACTATCACAAGAAGCTATCGGGGTGAACAGACAAATGGTAGCTGAGACCTGTTCATTGTTCCATGATCCATGTCTCAGATTCATGGATATGTTCAGTATGAGACAACACTGCTGTTCTGCATGATCTGTCACCTTGACAGCTACAGAAAGAACGGCAAACAGCCGATGGAAACAACAACTGCAACATACACGGTGCCAGAACAGATTCAGAACAATTAACTCCAATCCTATATAAGGTTCCATAGCTTTCTTGATGGAACTTCGTTCCTCCTCAGCGAAACAGTACTCAAGCTTAGATCACAAAAAATTTAGGACATCAAAACTAAATACACAATCTTTTGTATCAGACTTTTTGACCGAAGAGTAATATTTCTTCCCAAAACTAAACGAAACAACCGCAGCCATGATTTTCGTTGTGGGTATCATCACAACTTTCACTTGCGGACATCAGTATTGGTCCAATATTGTCAGGAGGAAAAGAAAAGATACCGATGGTACTACAAAGGAAGGGCAATGCATTGCCGGACCCGACACAACATGGATCAAACACAGAAGCGAATGCGGCGAGTGTCAGCACAATGATTTTGACCATGACCAAGTCATCATTTCCCCACCACCAAGTCCTTTGCTCGATCCTCCTGACAATCTTGATAATAGTCGTGGTGCTGTAACGGAGTACCGTTGTGGACATCGAAGATTCCGTACGGAAGACGAAGGAAGACTTCCCGTTCTCGGAATGGACAAGCTTGGCTTCTTGTTAGCCGTATCACGCAGTGAGTGCCCCCGTTGCGAACATGAGAGGTTCAAGAAAGTATACGGAGAGGACTTCGAAGAAGAGACCACAAGCGCATTGTCCCAAACCCTCACTTTCCCTACAGAAAGCTGGAGATATACCATGTTATCTCAGAGAGAAGGCGCTGAAAGTCCACCAATGCGCATGTCTCAGCCAGGTCGGCAACGTGGTATGGCCATTGGACGATCTTTTGACGCACACCTTGATCCAGACCAAGGAATGAACTTGGAATCGGCAAGACACAAAGAACATCAACAGGCTGTCGATGAAATGATGCGCAGCAGTACAGCCGATCTTGCACCAGAATCTAATCCTCAGAAGAGAAACCAAAGAAAAAGAGAGAAGATCAAGGCAATCGGTAAGACAATTTGGGGATCAATCAAGAGGAAGATCTGAAGAAGACGAAGGTAAGGAATTTGCCCCTTTTTCATTTGTCTGAAGTATTTCGGCGACGCTTGATTGACCCACCGGAGAATTGCTCAGAATTTCGTTGAATTGGTAAACCTGGTTCCTACTCAAGAATGTTAAATGATTTGAATTATGAAAAATTACTTGTCAATATGCCATGAAAATGTGATGAATGTGACTTTTTTTAATTATTAGTGACTGATGAAGAACGATCAATAGGAGCGAGAGAGGCGCTCTATTATACTCGAAAAATAAGAGGCCAATGGAAGAGAAGAAATCCTAGCTTGATTTTACTTCCCGTGGAAGTGCAATGCAGATTTGATCTAATTATGGCTGTACCAACAGGCATGGCTTCATGTATGATATCATATGGTTAAGATCAGACGCCAAGGCAGTCCCTTCAGAGCATGGCCAAGCGCGTGTTCATGTCCGGCTTGAAGCTCTCGGGTTTATACTGGTATGAGCTGAGTCTTCGTACAAAGAATTAATGAGAGAAATGTATATCCTTGGTAATGGAGAGGGGAGTGCTTGTCCTGTATTTCAAAGAGTGCAAACGCCACCAGGAAGCTCTGTGTGGTTACTTTGAACCTCGAAGTGATTTGCTTGCTCATGAAATCGATATTATAATATACCGCCGAATTCCAAATGCTAGAGCCAAAGACATGCACATGACGGCCGAGGTCTCGAAAGGTATACATACTTATTCGAACCGGTGAATCAGTCGCTCGATCAAATATTAAGGGGAAATCAAAAATGGCTTAATTCATGTGTTCGGGCTAGAATGGCGGCAAAGATATACGACGATACGTGGAATTAAGGTTTTCGGATGATAGGACAATACAATGCGTGGAAAAGCCGATAAAGCCGGGAAGTACGGAATAGATGGTTTTCAAAAAAGGGGAATCTGAGAGGTGGGGATTGTTAAGGGGTTTCTTTCTCTATTAACCTTTTAGATTCCGATTTGGTTCGGGAATAAAGTATAAGGTTAATACTTCTAATTAATTGAATTATTTGTCAGTTTGTTTAAGAATACGGTGAATTAGTTTTATGCCCCTTAAAATGAAATAAATTAGATACTCTGATACCCTCCAAAATGACCCTATTTTACTTCCATGCCCCTTGGATTATATAATTGAATCTATCTATTCCTAAATAATTAGAATATTATTCGGGGATTTATAATGATCCGAATTTATGATGGAAAGGTAGAATCCATAGTGGAGCGTGGGATCCGTTGTCTGTGGATCAACCTCAAGATTCTAGTTGATAAGGCTAGAATCTTATTATTTGAAGATAAAATTTATGACAAGGAATATAAGAGTAAAATAGGTTCAATTGAAAGGCATAAAAGTAATTAAACTCATTTTGAGGGGTATGGGAGTAATTGCCGTTAACAAAAAGATTTGTAATTCTTCATTGAACTATTTATAGTACTTCGTGTTAATATAGTATAATTTCATGCCTAGAACATGTTGATACTTCGCCCCTTTCGAGTTGTTCATAATACCGGCGTATCATACAATTTTCTATGTCGGAATCCGGTTTGAAGCTTTTTGGTAACGCCGCGCTGCATTTCTTTGCGAGAAGCCTCCACATCTTCAAATTGCCCCGCGCTCCGGGATTTGGGAAGGATCCAGGCTATCTGTGGCACTATACAAGAAAGCCTTGGGAAGCGCTTCCAAAATATATATACGTCAAAAACACTGAGGAAGTCGCACCAGGCTCACCAACAAATCCAACTTTAAAATCCTACTCTTGCTCTCATCCTTTACATTTCATCCATCCTAAGCAACCGAAGATCTATGCATCACATATAATTTTGAATCGTCCAATACCATCAATACTCTCTGAATATACATATCGACATCGTTCTCCAGCCGCTACTAAACAATATGTGTCTAGCCACCATGTTAAAAGCACTAGAGACAAACCTTGAACCGAATGTCCAGGTAAATCTCGGCATGGGTTTACTGGTCCTGATATTAGCTTTCGTCGGAGCTTGCTGCCGTCAAGCATGCACAAAAAACATGGCCAGTGAGCCATTGCTCCTCACTGTTGAGCCTAAAAGTAGCAAGTCGCTGGAAACGGAAGTAGAGACGGAAAAGCACTTTAATGGTTTGTTTGGATGGATGGGAACGTTGAAAATTGGTCGCTAACTGGAATTCTAGGATCACAGAAGATCTCAAGGTGCCTTGCTGTGTCAAAGACCAGCAATCATTCTATCCTTGGATTGCACATTAGATGATATAGGTATAAATACCATTGAAGATACAGAAAAAAGACGATGAATGACCTGCTCGCGGATCTTTATGCTTGACATCCCCGAATCGTTTTCGAAACGTCACGAAAATTGCACTTCATTGAAGGGTTAAATGTGGTAATGTTTCTGGGCGGGGATATTGGATGGTGTTCCGGGGGAAAATAGGGCATGGAGTTTGGATATTGGCACAGCCAGGTTTGGCAGTCCCTTGGGCGCAAGTGGTTTTCGGATTCGATCACCAAACAACATGTTGATAGTGTAGGATATTAAGTGTTTCAGCACTTCGGCAGTTTAAGTGGAGTAAAAATCGCAAGAGAACGAGCTCATTTATCGTGTTTGGATTTTACCTCCTTGTAGTTATATTACTGTCCTGTTATAAAAGACCATAACAAACCTCCCTCTTCCCATGCCGGCCAGCGGTGAAGTTGAGAGGAAGGAGTATCGTCAAGCGCTAACTGATGGATATGATCGTCAGCAGATATCTTATTGTGCGTCGGTTCGTCCTGTCATTGGACTTAGTTGCTGAGAGCTTCTCCTGACAGATCGACAATATGATAGGCCTAGAGAGATTTTCGCTACCACAGACTACATACTGTAACCTAGACAACAGGAAGAATATAAGGATTTAAGAATCGTGCAAAGATCCGAATTGCCGCACATCCAACGCAGCTTTCGATCAGGGAGAATTCCTTTGCGCAATCATGATACTGTACAGAATCCACATACCATACCATAAACCAGAGGAACCACGATCCTTTACAGCTTTACTGTATCGCTTCGATCGCGTAAACGATCTGCAAGCATTTGAAGGGCTCGGGACGGTAACAGACGATACTTCAATACTGGACTCTGTGAAGAGGAAGCGGACTAAAAGAATGCTCTTGATGTAGCTTCTGTACCTTGTTCCATGACTAGTATAAATAATCAATCCATTTTTAGCACGATTGTTGCATCTCCTTTGAACGGTTCTTTCACTGGAAAGCTGTGAACACTTTCCCATCACAAACATCTTCTAGCCAGAATACTGAGCATGGTCGTCAGAAATTTGTGTACTCATTTTCAGCAGTCGGGAAAGAAAATCCCGAGTTGCATTTGCCAGTATGGAATATAAATCGTGGTGTGAAGAATATTATTTCTGTGTAGGGACTTTTGTGTATTGGTGTAGTACTGAGCTTACAGTTGATAGAGCCTTTCTAGAAGTAATATCTGCGGTAAATTATCTGAAAGGATCAATTCAAGGATCAACAGAATCTAGAAATACATGGCGCTTAAAAATTCTCTAGATCGTTGCGGGTGAAAATTGGGTTGGGATGGAAATGCAAAAGTGGAAGCGTTGGAGCGTTGTCATCAAGCGCAAGGCTAAAATTTGTGGCAGCTCATCGCATGCCCCACCAACTTAACACACCAACTGAACCAAAATCAATGTTCGGTGCTGTGTTTTATTTTAAGCAATGCTAAATGTACATTTTTTGACATCAATTCTTCGGTGACAATGGCTGGGCAGTCTCCCTCTCCGCACAAACCTCGCTCGCGAGGTCAACGATCTAAAAAAGCTATGTCTGAGAGTGATTCAATAGCTACCCCTACATCGCCGGCGGCGCAGACGTACAAGCGGAAATCAACCTACGTATCCA